CTTATACGGTCTGAAACAATCGCCCAGATGCTTCAACAAAAAACTTGCAGAAGTCCTGAAGAACCTCAACTTGACTCAAAGCCAAGCAGACAATTGTCTCTTCTACAAACGCGCAGAAAACGACCTAATTCTACTCGTCGTCTACGTCGATGACATGATGATAAGTACCACCAGCGATCGTCTTATGACAGAAACACTGGATGGCATATCGAAAAATTTCACAATCACGACATCCCCACCAGGTCTTTTCCTCGGGATGCAAATCACTGTTGATAAAGCCAACAATATCTGGATCAATCAAGAAAAATATACCAAGAACGTTTTGAAGCGATTCGAGATGCAAAACTGTCGCGCTCAATCCATACCAGCTGATTCAGGAATTTACTCAATCGAGCAAGCGACAACGCCTGAATCGAAACGTCCTTATCGAGAAATCATCGGAAGCTTGATGTACCTCGCGATAGCCGTCAGAATCGGCATTGCCTTCATCGTCGGCTGGCTCAGTCGCTATCTAGACAATCACACCGAAGCTCATTGGAACGCAGCTCTAAGAGTCCTGCGCTATTTACAGGGTACCACCGATCTGTCAATCGTGTACTCAGGCAACGGTGATCCAACCCTTACCAAAAGCCTAGAATTTTACACGGACGCCGATTACGCAGCGTGCAAAGAAAACGCGTAGAAGTGTAAGCGGTCTTGTTTGCAAACTAAACGGTGGTCCAATTCTATGGCAATCCCAAGCTCAAAAATCAGTCAGTCTGTCAACTACAGAAAGTGAATTCATAAGTGTCACTGAAGGAGCTAAAATCAGCCCTGTGGCTCAAGATCCTATACAACGAATTGAACATCCCGGTCACTCCGACCATTTACGTGGACAACCAAGCGGCAATAAAACTCATCCAAAATCCGCAGTTCCACAAACGGACCAAACACATTGACGTCCGCTACATGTTCATTCGAGAGACTCACGAAAACAAACAACTCAGATTCGAATATATACAAACTCAAAAACAATTAGCAGACCTTCTGACGAAAGCACCAGCCAAACCAATATTCGAGAATCTTCGGAATCTGATCGGTCTGAGAAAATGGTCTCCAAAATAATGATGATCGTGATGCTCTTGACATCACTCTCATCAGCGACCCCGAACTATTTCACTTACGACGACTGTCCAACCGAATGTACAACAAAAAACATCAGCTGCATCATTGAGAAAAATCCAATCAATTTCCTGAAACGATGCACACCTTCCAACTCATCCTGCGCGGAAGAAGCGAATGACAGCACAGTTTGTCTCAGGCCGAATCTACCGCCCATTGGAGGCGAATCTATCTGGCTAGAATTCAAGGAGAAATTTCATCCTGAAAAGAAGCCAAACACCAGCAACTCTGATCAATTGTTGCACATGGCCCTCGCCATCGGCAGTGCAATACTCGCACTCGCGCTGATCATTGCGATCACAACTCTGTGCATGCTTTTCAGTTCCCGAACCAATTATGAGCTCATACCAACAATCCCCAGCGATAGCATGGAAAATGTCGTTGACTTCCCATACCAATCAACCACAATCCCAGCTTAATTAAGATCATGATCGCTTAATTACAGATCGAACCCCGGCTTAAAACCTCCCTCGATTAAAACAACCACCCGCTAAAATCTCTAATTCGAACGTTTTTTTTTTTTCTCTTGCTGTGCCTAATAACAAAACCCAGATATGAACCAAGAATCAGTGAAACCCAAGAAGAAATGTAAACCCCAGCCATACTGGATTTTCGCACTAGAATATCAGAAAAAACACCATATACCCGATATAGAAACCCTCAAAATTGTAACCGACGAACCATGGCGAAAAATGACCGAAGAGGAAAGAAGACCATACAGAGAGAAAGCCCGGCAACAACGCGGCCAAATCGAACCCCAGCCATGTCCTAGGAAGGACTGTCAACACAACGTGGAAGCACTGGAAATACTCAAAAAGGCCAACGAATCATTACGACAGCAATACTGGCGAAACAAAGAGATAACAGAAAGAGAAATCCAAATGCTCAAAAGCAAAATACCCGCTCCCGAACAAACCGATGAAGAATTACGGAGACAGAACCGTTTGACTCCCACAGCGTGGAATCCAATAGAAGACGAAGACAACTACTGGCCAGACAACTAAAGATCAAACACATCAAAACAAAAGAATTACTTTTTTCTTTTGTCTCAAGAAGATCAAAAAGTTGAACCCCTGCGAACTTCAACAAAATTTGTGAAATAATTACATTCAATCAAAGGAATATCAGAAATCGGCACAACGTGCACCGACTCAGGCTTCGTCAAACTCAACAAACGAACACATCTCCGATCATCGAACGAAAAACAGACAAGCTCCGAAAGGAGCGGACGACAAACATAATCTAGCAAATTAAGTTCAATCGCATCTTGAGGAGCATTGGAGTTGGAGGTTGCCGGACTCATCGATGTTGAGGAAGGAGCGGACGTCGTACTACTGAACATGATCACCGTCTCGGTGGTCGTGGACGTCTTTACAATCTCCTCGCGTCGATAATGAAATCCTTTCGCTGAAAGGAAATACATCCCAACCTCACATACATATACAAACAACACCATCCAAATTCAGACTACAAAATAAAGTGGACAATTGGACAACTACCGAGCACGAGGACGACGGCAATCCACAACAACATGAAAACCAACGATGATATCCAACAACAAGAAAAACGACAAGGTCGACGACTTGGAACACGAACTTCAAAATTCATCGAATCCCTGCTCATGGCATCCTCAACGACACCGTTCTGATCGATCGAGTCCAACTCAATAGACTCCATGTCTTCCATGTCTTGATCACGACGAAGACCACGGAATCCAATCCTCCGATCACTTGAACGATAAATGCGACCAGAACGTGTCTCAACCATGACAAAACCGAGAACTTTCCCTTCTCTTTTCCAAACAAAAAAAAATCAGAGAGCACGGATGAACTCGTGGTGGACTCAGCAAACCAACGAAGGAATGAGCCCAGACGATAAATTAGAACTCTGAAATCTAACGGTCAGAATACCTTTCCTTCACGAAACATCCTGACTCAATGAAAACGAAGCTACGAAAATATTCTAAATCAACTTCATAAAAATTATTTCAACTCCGATCCCTCGACACTGACTCGGAGGGGAATACCGCTAAAGCTTTTACTCCTCAGTGTCTCGGGATCCGAGATATTGGGAAAAATCACTTCTCAACTCTATCGCGCTTCGCTGCACCATATTCGCAACACCGATCCGAACGATCCAGACACTCCGAGCGAGTGCTCCCCCGCACTGTCTCCAAAACACGCTGCCGCCGCACGCAGGCGCCGATCATCGCGAACTTTCTCGACGAAAAATCAAGATTCGAACGGACTCGAATCAACGCTGTACGAATTATTCGCATACATTCTCGCATGGCAAAGTATTATCTATCTCAAAACTACCACTCATTTTACCCCTATTTTCGGACCAAAATTGTCCGAATTTTCGCTTAGAAGCCTTCGATGTTACCTATTAGAGGGGATGTTGGGACTAACTTTAGAATAGCTACACTCATTCTTCTAAGCTAAACTTTCTGTCATATCTATTTCGGTAAACCCCGACTCCGTACTGTGCCACGTGCCAGAGGCTCCAGCTCTGACACATGTCAGAGGCTCCACTCATCAGGCCTCTCTTCTGATTCCGTATTTAGTAACCATCTGGAAATCTCACTCGATGCCTTACGAACTGTGCCTCTCGGAGAGGGTCAACCTACCGATATATAAGACGACACTTTCTCCAATAAAATCACTGTGGTGTGCTCCCATCTCAACCTCCGGTTGTCCTCTCTGAGCTCGTACGTGTCCCGCTGATCTACCGAACCTAGCCTTCGACCAATCTAGGAACAACAGTCTCTACTCTACGTCGTAGTGGAGGCTTAAGAGAATCCAGACCGAGGAGTATCGGGCTCCCCTCCACAGAGGATGGAGGCTTACGAGTTCGGATCCACGATTTCGATTTCCCTCATCGAGGATGGTGAGTCGGGAGATCGAGGGCAGGAGTTGTCATCGATGCGATGCTCGGAACAGCAAAACTGGGAGCTGGCAACTGGAAACGTGGGAACTAGAAACTGGAACTTGGGAACGGGGAACTGTGACTACACACTGCGCAGCGATTCCACCAGCCCGTGTCCGCCGCCCAACGATTCCGAAAATTTACGGTTCAAGAGCTCCAAAGTCCGAGTTAATGGTTATTCCGGATCCCGGAGATTTCGGAGTCAGTCGGAGTTCGGACTCAAAGATCAGAGAGCAACCTAGAGAGCGCCCAATGTCCGAAAAATGTCCCATGTGTGAAGAATGGCTTCTATCGCCTCCGATCGGCGAATATCGGCAGCCCTGTCACCATTGTATATAGTCAGATAGCTTCGAAGGGGAAGCGATCTAAGTCGATTTTCCGTCGCGCGGCGGTTGGGAACGCCAGACGCCGCGCGTCGGAAAATCCCCCGGCCAACATAGCGCGCAGATTGTGCGGACTCCCTCGCCTTTCCAACCGCCCGCTCATGACAGGCCGAGGGGAATGCATCCATCATTGTAAACATTGAGGCTTTGTTTACTACCTTTGTACACAGGAGAGAGTAACTCACTGCCGAACACGTTGTCCGGCGGAAAATTTTTCTCCCTCGGACTCTCGGAGAGGTCCTCCATCGTTCGACCATTCCGGACAGATAGACGTGGCCTCCTCAATCATTGCAGCGTATAACGAGGTTCCCCCGTCCGCCCCTAATCTCAGATTTTCGTGTCAACGGAGGAGATTCGCTAGCGCGGATAAAAAACCTTGACATGTCGAAGAAAGGCAAGAGCTCTCTCGGGAGAGCTCTCATCCGGGACAGAATGCATAAGGTCAGTCTATGGTACTTCCCAGCTCCCCGAGTAGTCAATGCCTCCTCCCTCCGTACTCTCCAACGTTTCTAGTAGACGTTTCCAATAGACGTTTCTTCTCTCCGCAGGGTGCTCGTCCGGATAGTTTCCGGCATACGACCGAGCTCAAAGATGGATATGACTGGTCAACGAATATGCAGTCGATAACCGAACAGAACGATCTGGACGAGTTCCTCGCGACGGCAGAGCTCGCTGGAGCAGACTTCACCGCCGAAAAACTGAACATAAGAGTGAGTCAAGTCAACTATCATCAAACGCTTTGTCTGGATTCATTGAGGAGTGTTTCAAGTACCTAATACTTGATCGCGATCTTTGTGACAGGTTGTCACAGAACTGAAACCCACCGGGGTTCTATCCGAAGCGGAAAAGAAGGCGCAGAATGACTTGTATCAGCAACACAAGGACTCCATCAGAGTTCCGCGCAGACCGTACTGGGACGCTCGGACCACCCCCGAAGAACTCGCTGCAAACGAACGTGAATCTTTTCTAGCCTGGCGAAGGGAGCTCGCTGAGTTGCAAGAGACTGAAGGTGAGTGAGCGACATTGACTCTTGTTCATAGCGGATGCATCGCAGTTCAGAGAGATCGTCATACTGGAAACGCTCCTTCAAGGAATTCACATGACGCCCTATGAGAAAAATCTGGAGTTTTGGAGACAGCTGTGGCGGGTGGTGGAACGATCCGACATCGTGGTGCAGATCGTGGACGCCAGGTAATTTGCCCCGGAGTTTAGCATTATTCATTATTACAATAGTCTTACTCCGAGGGGAAGAAGCGTGGCCGATGTGCATTAGGCAGGCGCAATTCCGATTTGAGATCCGATCGATTTCAGGAACCCAAACCTATTCCTGTGTGAAGATCTATTCGCTTACGTGCGCGAAACTTCGCCGCACAAGAAGTGCTTAGTTTTGTTGAACAAAGCAGACTTCCTAACCGAAAGCCAAAGGAAGTCGTGGTCGGATTACTTCAAAAATAGAAAGGATGAGCTCAAAGTAGTTTTCTTCTCGGCCTTAGAGGAAGCGGCCGCGAAGGACGATGTGGAAGAGGTCAGTGAATCTTATCGGGACGATGGTCTCGTACTACAATTCTCATTCCCCGTGCTACTCAGCCTGATGCGTAGGAATCAGACTATGCGACATTCCGAGGTTTCCGCGCAGATATCCGGTGATTTCATCCGACTGTCCGTCGAAGAATACTCTTCTGCCTTGTGGACGAAGGATCAATTGGTGCATCTTTTCCGTACGTGGCATACGGGGACGAAGTACAAGGCGGGCAGCACTACGGTTGGGCTGTGCGGCTATCCGAATGTGGGCAAGAGCTCCACGATCAATGCGATCACGCAGTGCAAAAAGGCGAGTGCTCCCCCACCGCCCTTCAAGGTTCCTTGTCGACAATCGAGTCACACCGGGCAGTAATCATGAATCTCGGTCTCCTTCAGGTGTCCGTCAGCAGTACACCCGGAAAAACGAAACACTTCCAAACAATCATTCTCTGCGAAGATTTGATACTGTGCGATTGTCCGGGATTAGTGTTCCCCAACTTTGTGTCCAGCAAAGCTGAGATGGTTATAAATGGTCAGTGTATGGACTCTCTGCGTATGCAGCCTCACTCAGCAGATGGAGGGAACCGTTCGGTTCTTCTGATGCGGGAAACCGAGGTCTCATCACTCATCGATTTCAGGTATACTCTCAATCGATCAATTGAGGGACCATGTGCCCCCTGTCAGCCTCGTCCTGTCGCAAATCCCTCGCCACATCCTCGAGGAAACATACGGTATCTGTATACCTCATCCGCCAGAAGGGGAAGATCCCGATCGACCTCCAACGAGTGCGGAGCTGCTCAACGCCTACTCGTACAATCGCGGTTTCATGACGTCATCAGGGCAGCCCGACAACCCGCGTGGTGCAAGGTATGTTCCGTGAACGATGATGGCACTTCCGTGGGTTTTTGTGGGCGATTTTTTTCTCGGACACTCTGCGGCTCATCCTCCTTATCATTCCTCAGATATATTCTGAAAGATTATGTCAACGGAAAACTGAAGTATTGCATCGCTCCACCGGGAATCGATCAGGATGAATATCACAAATATCCTCCCCCGAAGCGGTCGACCCCATCAGCGACAATCCCTGTGCACGTAAGGATGACGAAAGAAAGAGTTCTCGGTACCGAGGATATCGATCATGAATTCTTCAAGGATCAGATCGTCAAAGTTGGTTTCAAAGGTGTGTGATACCGGAAACTTTCCCTCGAACGACTTCCGATCTCTTTCGTAGGGAGAAGCGATGATGCCAGTCTGAATTTCCGTTCACGCACCTAATTTGAGAAATCTCTCATTCAGGTCGTCATCTCGTGAAGTCTGGACTCACGGCCAGTGGTGCATCTATAGTCGGAGACAAGAAGCACCATAAAGGGAAGAAGCGAGAGAAACTGAGACGATTGCATCAACACAAAGACGCCTAGAGCATTGAATAAAGTGCCGTTGTTCCTTGTTCGACCCTGTCCAATTCTTCGGAATCGCTAACCGCGCCAACGTATTTGTGGCTTATGCGCGACTCCGCTTCGTAGCGACCGACTCCTTGGATCCGAGCCTCTCCGTAGTGGATTTGACGGATCGCTGGTATTGTCCGCCGATCTGTCTGGGAGTCTCTATCTATGATTTTTTATTACCGTAACACTTCCGAAGAATTACATCTTATGGAACAAAATGGAGAGGGGAAAAAACCGATGGAAATAAAAACCTAAGGTTGCGAGATTTCTCCGGCGCACGGGAGAGACGTCAACCGATTGGGTGGCTCCCAAAGTTTAATCGACCTTAGATGAATTGAATTTTTCGTCTAGTGCCCAAGTGCGGTGTGAGCGGAAAGGAAAACGAAGAAAAAACCTTCACTCGGAACAATTGAAGCCACTGACTGTCGAGACCGGGGTTTTTGGAATAGGATGCTCAGGCGATGCATGCATCGAAAGTCAATCGATCATGGAGCAAGTTCGAAACCAAACCTTCTCTGACCGAGAAACATATACATATGTAGAGCAGACTGACAGATAGAGTAGTAAACGCTTTCAAGGTTTATCGACATGAAGGCTTCTTTTATTTGTTCCGCTTTTCCCACCGATCTCACTGTCGAGGACGTCAAGAGAACCCGTCAACTGCAGTTTTGGACGAGGCCAGGCGACCGAAATGATAAAGCAACTTCTCGGGGTCCATAATTTAGCATTACGACCAGAGGATTTTCGGGGGGTGGCATGGCCCCCTTGCCTCCCCCCCCTGTGCGCGCCTCTGGATCGAGGAGCCGTCGAGCAGAGTCATCATCCGTACACCGGCCGATCGGAAACGTTCGAAGCCTACGACAAGCCTCTAGGGACGCTAGAGAACGGCTCCAGACGAGCGCCGAGCGCGTGGTCACGAGTAGGAGCTCATGCGGGCGGTCGACACCATCGGGAGCGTTTCTATCGCCTACAATGCCGGAACCGAGCAGCACTCCAACTACTGGAGTGGTATAATCGATGTAAAAAATGATGCTGTTCATCTCGACGGATACGGTCCCGGAAACGGGACAGACATCCGGATCCTCAAGAGATCTCGTAGCTACTGCTGGTGCGACGATGGATACTCCGGCTTCGCCACAGGGGGAGGCCCCCGGCGAAAATGATCTTCGCTTATTCTGCTTCCCCTCTGCATTGCCGAATCTGGAAAATCGCGGTACCGATGAACCAATCGATGGCTGGACTTCGGGTCATACGACTGGCCGTGAAAGATATTTTGAGCTTATGGAGCATCCGAATCACTTGTGAATGGAGGTTTTCCCTGCTCCCTGGGATTCTTCCCTGCGTGAATTCCGCTCGAAGTCATACCCACGGGAAGTATCACTTGTGTCTGGGCGTAAGAGGGAGTGTGCACGGCCAGGGAGCCCTCCTCGACCAGAAAGAGGGACTCTGGCCGTTGCCTTCGCTTATTGTTGAACTAAGGGTAGTTGTTCAAGGCTATCTATGACGCTCTCCCATGCGAATCGCCCCATCGATCACGGAACGGAGCAAGAAGCATTGTCATGCGAGTATATAAGCCGAAAACATCTCAGGAGCATGATCTGTTGCGGCATATCGAAATGAAGGCTTTCGTCGTGTGTGCAGCCCTCTTGGTCTCCGCCTGTCAGGCGGAGGTTTCCCCCAAGCTCATGAAGGCCGCTCTCCGGGCCAAATGGACTTCTTACAAAGCTGCGCATAAGAAATCCTACTCCGCCGCCGAGGAGAGCTTGCGCATGGCCAACTATCTCGATAACACCCGTGTCATCGAGGAGCACAATGCCCGCTTCCACCAGGGTCTCGAGAGCTATGAGCTGGGCCACAACGAGCTTTCCGACCTCACTCTGGAGGAGATCAAGAGCACCCGTATGGGTCTCGTTCTCCCTCCGAACGCTGCTGAGATCGCGGCCAACGCTTCCCGTCACTTCGCTCCTTCGGATATCGTTGCCCCTGGCAGCGTCGATTGGAGATCGAAGAGGTGTGTTCAGTACGTCAAGAACCAAGGATCCTGCGGATCATGCTACAGTTTCTCCGCTGTGAGTCGATAGGTCATCCGGTGAAATATTATGATAATAATAGCTCGCCGCTGTCCGACTTCATCAATTAGTTTCTTCGATCTCCTCATGTTATGAGCTTATTCCCGGCGCTATCAATAAGTTCCTCCGACCTCAATTACAGCTGGGAGCCCTCGAGACCTCTTATTGCAACAAGCACGGCCAGCTCCCTGACCTCGCGGAGCAGCACCTTGTAGACTGTGCGGGCCGCGGATGCAGCGGTGGATGGATGCACGACATGTTCAACTACCTTCAGTCAAATGGAGGCGCAATCGATCAGAGACGCTACCCGTACACGGGAAAGGTGGAACAGTGCAAGCAGGACCGCATGCCCAAGGCTGCCGGAGTTGCAACTTACAAGCAGATCAGCCGTGGTAACGAGAACGAGCTCATGCAAGCCATCGCAACGGTTGGAACTGTTTCCATCGCCTACAATGCCGGAACTCAACAACACTCCTACTACAGAGGAGGAATCCTCGACGTTCCCAACTGTGGAAACACTCCCACTCACGCCGTGCTTCTCGTTGGGTATGGAACCGAAAACGGAAAGGACTTCTGGACCCTCAAGAACTCCTGGGGTGAGGGCTGGGGCGAGAGAGGATTCTTCCGTCTCGCCAGAGGAAAGAACATGTGCGGTATCGCCGACTGGGCCTCCTACCCCACTGCTGCTTGAATAAATTCGGATTCTCCGATATCTTGTTACCGAACGATTGTTCTCGAAACGACGAAGACGAGTCTGTCGAAAGTCCTCATCACGGGGTTCCCCAGAGATGAGCAACACTCTCCCTCGCGTCGTGAGGGAGAGTCTTTTTCGGCTCTCAGATGATGACGCCCAGGCGGGAAGAGATAGCTCGGAATTCTTAGAGGCCGGATGAGGGTGACCTAATGTTCGCTCGTTCGCCGAAGGAAGGAAAAAATAATCAGTCATGTCTACGGTGGCATGATATCATCCGTGTACTGAACCATTTTCAGCGGGATGGTTCGGGGGGGGGGGGGGGAAGTACTCCCAAGGCTCCGCGATCATTCATGGGAAGATAGTCGGTTTCGAACTCTCGGTAAGACGGAAATACTGTACAAGAAGACGATCCTGAGCGGGGATAGATGCAATGTCCCACCAACGCAAAGTCGTCACAACGAGAAGTTCATCCTTCTGATGAGGATGGATCTAGTAGCCGATCGGGCTGCTACATCCACTACGACGTTCTACGTGGGAGCCTGTCGGGGGAAGAGGATGGAGCTCTCGCGGAAAAAAAAGATTTTCCATCAAGGAGAACCCACGAATGTGCTCGCCGGAGTTTACCTGACGAATAAGGAAAGAATATCAAGGGTCTCTTCCGACGCAGTCACCGGCTTGCATCGGTTCCTCGGACTGTACGGAAGGTGTCGGGGAAGGCTTTCCGAGCGAATTCTTCCACGGAGATTCCCCAGCTCTTCCCCAGCGGTGAACTGGGTTTTTTCTCCGCAACACCTCATTCATTGCGGACACGATCTGTATACAAGGTATCGGATATCATCCTCTCCCGCGCGATCGATGCCTCGCACGGGCCCGGGTCTTCGACTACAGGGACTTGGTTTTTTAAAATCTCAGTCCTAGCGAAGAATGCATTCGTCATTCTCGCATGTCAGCGCCGAAAGCAGCCGGGAGGAAGATTAAAGCTCGAATCTCATTTCCATCAGCGAATAGCTCGACTCCCTACGTTGCTCCGGGAGGATTCGCCCTGATCGGCAAACGACAGGGGCCGTGCTGCCTTTGTGACAGGAGGCAGGACAGCCTAGAAGAAAGCTTTGGAAGGCATAGCGAGGAGTTCGAGTGACCGAGTCTCTGCGCGCCCGTATTCTTCCGTACTCAATTGACACGTGCGACGCACGGGGTGAATAGCGATGGAGACATGGGAATAATCCACGAAAGTCGAACGAACACAGGCTCTCACCAGCTCAGGGTCGAGACAGGCTGAACTTGTCTCGACCGATGCCGGCGATGCTTGTCCGATTCGCGTTCTGCAGCTTCTGCTCCGGTGCATGTCGCTTTGGGAATTTCTGCAAGGCGGTGTCTCCAGTCACGGGGAGGAGAGAAGGTGTCGGGCGACGGTTGACGTCTCACTTCGAAGAGCTAGAGGCATTGTCCACCGAATATGAATCTTCGAGGCGCTTCCAGGGAGGTGATCCAGCACGGAAACTCGAAATTAAGCAATTCCTCGTTCGCGCTGCTTTGTTAGTCTCCGTCTGTCGGGCTGAGGTCTGCTCCAGTCTCGTCGCCCTTCGCGCAAAATGGAGCTCGTTCAAGGCTGAGCACAAGAGGCTTACGATCCGAAGGAGGAATGCCTCCGTTTGGCAACTTTCCTCGACGACACCCGCCTAATCGAGGAGCACAACGCCCGTTTCCATCAAGGTCTCGAGAGCTTCGAGCTCGGCAACAAGGAGCTCTCCGACCTCACTCTGGAGCTGGAGAAGTCCGATATCGCTGCCCCCGGCAACGTCGATTGGAATTCCGAGTGTTCGTCGCGTGAAGAATCCGGGACTTCGCAGTGAGTTCAGCCTCTGTCCGGAAAGGCATAGGATCCAGATCCAGGATCCAGGTATAGAATCCATGGTCCAGGTATAGAATCCATGGTCTTCTGGGAGGTTTCCCAAGAACTATGGAGTTGACAGATCGGCGCTCTCGAAACTTCCGTCTGCGACGAACGAGGCGAGTTTCCCGTCCTCACTGAGCAGCACCTCGAGGATTTTACTGGCCATGGATACGAAGGTTTATGGATGCACGATATATACAACTTCCTTCAGTGAACCGGTGGAGCCATCAACATTGAAAAATATGCTTGACCCGGGAGAGTCCAAACTTGTCGAAGAAAAAGCCCAGGCGCCCGGGTCGCTTCCCACAATCAGAATGGTCGCGGTAACGGGATCAAGCCCAAGCACGTCACCGCTATCGCCAGAAGTGTTCAATCCAAATCCTGAAATCTCTGACTTGGGCGCCGTAATTGGCCGGATGGATGCGTTTTCTCTATAGCGGGTGGTACGATGAAAACAGTCGCGATTCGGCTACCGTACCCGGTGGAGTGTGGAGCTCCCACTTCCGAGAACCCACTCCGGCAATCCTCGGAGTGAGGAAGCCAGAGATTATTGGAGTTCTATCCACTGGAGGCTATCGTTCCCCCGCCCCCATCTACCCCGTGACATGAAGCTCCAGTGACGTGCGGCTTCGATGCGCGGGGTGAACGTTCTCAATTACCAGTTCTGAAGCTCAATCTGATGCCCTCTCGGACTTAATTCATGTATCTCCTTCATACCTTCCATTTTCGATCGCCATCTCGATGAATTTTCGATGGGGCTCAACTAAATAAGTCGAGTTTCGATGCCCCGTAGCTTAGATGCGGAGTGCACCCCGCGTCCCTGCCCACGGTACGCCCCTGTGGAGCACCCTGTCAATCCCGATTACTGAGGAACACAGCCACGAAAAATCAGTCTCCCTGGTCGAACGCAGATCAGAACAAGCACCCGGAGCTCCCCCTCAGAGGGACCCCCTTGAGGTGGAAAAAAAACCTCCCGTCCGAGGCGGGAAGAAGGACTGCTATCGATCGGTTCCGAGCCTTTTCCCTCCGATGCTGAGCTACAAGGATCAGACACCTGAGGCTCCTCCGAAATCTTGCCGGATAGGACACATTAGTGTCCGGCCATACGACGAGAGATTCATCAGAGGAAAATCATGCAAGGAAAAACCTTGGACATTCATGATGTGTTACGAATGATCGAGATTAAAAGTGATCTGGAAGGAATCATAGGAGGACAATCGCGAGACTTGAATGAAATATCAGGCGGCAGTGAAACGAAAACAGTCTCCCACTCCAACGAGGGAGCTTGGAGCACGAGAATCGAACCGGAAGCCCCTCTCCGACCGGAGAAGTTGTTCGGACGCGAATCTGAGGAACAGACAAGCAACTGTTCTCGTTAGAAAGTCCCGATATAATCGAGATAGGGCTCTAATGTTTGCTCTCGCTCACTCCACCAGATCGCGATGGCGCTCATATTCGTGGGGCCGCGCCGCTGCCGTGATCTTTTAGAGTCAGAGAGAGTTCACTGCTCAGGTCCCGCAGGCGAAATCAATGGTGTGAATTAATTTCGCCTTCTTTGGGACATCCTCGCGGCTCTCAGCTTGCTGAGAACGGCATCGTCCCATTCGTCGGAGACTGTTTGGATGAGGGATCTGCCGACTTTGACATAGCCTTGTGAAATACCCTCTCCATCTACCGAGCCCGTATCTCTCTCCTTCTCCTGGGTGATCTGGTGTTCGCCCGCTCGAGAAAGGGCTCAACGTGAATGCACACAAGAGACATCCGGGCGGTGGGCACACGTGCTGAGATTCAACGGCTGTTCTCCAACTTCGAACTTATCCGTTAGGAACATAGGTGGAACGGCGCTGAGGCCGGAACCGTTTGTTTGTACGGGACTCTCCGGCTCGGGAAAGCCCTTCGAGAAGCTTGTCCGACTGGACGAAATTCTTGACAGAGTGCCGGCCGCGTTCGGTGTGGAAGTGCTGATCTGTGCCAGAACTCTCGCAAGACATTAGACAGGTTAGTCCGGTGGCGATCACGACAGGTTCGGGAGCCTGTAGCGCACCAGTCAAGCAATAGAATCACTTGAATCCCCAGCGCGCAACGTACTCTGCCCAGAATGGTATCCATCTGAAGATGCGCGTTCTGATACAGTGCACTCGACACTTGTTTGTCGCACTCGATCCGGAAACCCTCAGGGATATTATACCATCCGGAGGTACAAGGGAGATATATCGAGAGCGTTCCTAGCAGGAGCGATCCGAGCGATTTCGCGGGAGATTCATGGAGCAGAAAAAAACTTCCCGACCAAATCAGCTGTTTGCGGCCGAGCAACCGCCATGAATCGTGCTACGCGGTCAGAAGCTTTTTTCCCGACCCTTGCCTGCTCGAGATCGGGAGCGACATTCACTGTTCTATCTCTGGCCTCGTTATTCAACTTTGGAGTGACAGGGGTTGCGCGAGACGGGAAGCATCCTAAAAATCGTGCTGGGCTTGACGCTATTCCGCCTGACGACCATGCTGATGCGTCGCTTGGAGAAACCGTAATTTAGATAAGATCTCCATAGAATGACTGCCTCCGAGATAATGAAGAACGAATCGTCGCTGCGAGAGCGTCTTTGCCTGCCGGAACCTTGAGTCAATCAAGCTCATGATCGGCATCCCGTTCCAGGACGGTCGGGATTCGCGCCAAGGATAGTGATCGTCCAGATCTCTTTCATCAGACACGGAATTCAGTATTAAGTCGGGGACGCTCTATGTAATGTATGGGCCTGAGCACAAGGAACGCGGGAAGAGTCTCCTGATGATGATTCAATCAGTCGACCTTATTTCACAATGCAAGTCGGTGCGTTTTCGGGGGCATCCGAGGCGGGAGCGTAGCGCCGCGCAACCGATGGCCGAAAATGATAGCTTCAGAACTCGATGATGCCCGGAAAAAGAGATTCTTTCGGACCGATGGATCATCGAAAAACGACTCTGGTTCAAGTCCGACCGTTTATAGCTTCGCAATTACGATTGTTGACCCCGTAGACCGATCGGCCCGCGGAGCCTCGATCTAATCAACGATCCGAGCTTGATGGTCCTTGTGTTATCGTGGGCTCGAATGGATGTCGTCTCTCGGCAGAGTACCTCTCATGTCGGTCTTGTCGAAGGAGGCGCTGTCTCTTCAGAGAAGTGAAGAGACCCACTGAGTGTCTCGTGCGTCCCCGTCTGTAATTGGAGCTGAATGTTTCGGGTCACGTGTTTATGTCTGACGAGTTCTTTCATTCTCATTCAACAGATGGATTAAATATTCGGTCGCTGAACCGCGCCAAACAAGGTCCCGCACCATGGGAAATCATGTGGAGTTGAAGAAGGAGATCGGACTACTCTCTGGAGTTTTGATGGTCGTGGGGACCATCATCGGTTCTGGTATCTTCGTCTCCCCAAAAGGAGTTTTTGAGCCAGTGCAATCGGTTGGGATCTCGCTCCTGGTTTGGGCCCTCAGTGGAATTTTCGCCATGTTCGGCGGAGTTTGCTACGCAGAGCTCGGAACTTCGTTCCCTCGTAGCGGGGGCGACTACGCGTACACGTTGGAAGCCTTTGGACCTCTATTGGCATTCCTACGTTTGTGGATCACTGTGGTCATCGTTCAGCCGGCGAGCCTTGCCATCCTATCGCTAACCTTCGCCACATACGCCGTGAAGCCTTTCTTCCCGGACTGTGACCCTCCGACCAGCGCTCTCAAAATCATTGGGATCCTGTGTCTACGTAAGTATTGCTATTGCAGCCGGTTGGCATCTCAGATTTACGAGAAATTCGGGGCCGTATCGATCGGGAAGGCGGGAATATTCATACCCTCAGTATGAGATATCAACGGTTCCGAGCCAGGACGGATGCAATCTTCGACTCTGTACAATTCTCCTCTTTCCAAGCATCACGAACGAGGCAGCGGAGATCCGAGCGCTTCCCGCTCTTATCTAGGAACCGTGTGCAGATCGAGTGGGCTCTCACTATCGTCTGGCTGCCAAGTTCTCCCGTCAGCCCTGCGCCGTCGACAGAATGAAGAGAATTCTTCTCGGCCCTATCAGAACTTGGTCGCCTAGCAACCTCCGGCTTGAGAGATTGCCACAAGAGATCCAAGGATCGTTACTGCTGTTCTGTGCGGGACGGCCGGAATATATTGGGGATCTCTTCGAATGGGGAATGGAATGCTGGTGATGACTAGGAGTCACCCACGATTACTCCGACCCAACTCACGATAGGAGAGAGATTGACCGAGCTGGACTGTCGTCCCCCGCGAATCTCCGATTTTTTATGATCAGCAGAAGTTTTTTTTTCTGCCCGCAAGCAATGGAGTTGGTTCCACGCAGAAGCTCACGGGCAGAGCTCCCCGCATCTGAAACTCTGAGATCCTGCCGCGAATTGCCTCAATATTGGTGGAGTCACGACCCGACGAAGCCATTAGACCTCAAAAGCTAGGAGTCTTCACCCGTGTGCGTCAGCTATTCAATCTGAAAGCTCTAGATCCTCACTGACACGAACAAAGACAGAGGTACTTCGATTTCAGTGCTTTTAACGTACATCAATTGTCGAAGCGTGAAATTGGCCGTGAAAGTTCAAGACGTATTCACGGCAGCCAAACTCTCGGCCTTGGGGCTCATCATTTTTACCGGAGTCTACCGGATATTCAAAGGTGAGTTCGCACCCGAGAAGCGGGACTTGTCTGGAAATAGAATAGTGCGGACAAAGTTTTCCAACAACAGCCGAGTTCCTCTTCAGGACAAACCGATCACTTGGATTCGGCATTCGACAACATTTCATTAACTCCTGGTGGCCTCGCGGAAGCCTTCTATTCCGGACTCTTCGCTTTTGGGGGCTTCAACAATTTGAATTATGTAGCCGAAGAGATGAAAAATCCAAACAGGTGAGTTTCATTTCTCGTGCTTCCGCGTGGACTTTTTGGGATGGGGCCCTAGCGTTGAATATTCAATTTCAGGAATCTCCCTCGAGCGATATACATCGGCGTCTCTTTGGTGACGATTGTCTACGTGCTGGCGAACATCGCGTACTTCACCGTGGTGTCTCCCAGTGCCATGATCGCATCTCCTGCTGTTGCCGTGGTAAATAATTACGACCTCATTTTGAATGAACTAGAACTATTCGAATACTACCGCAGGAGTCTCGACTTAGGTCGGATCCTTTCCCCAGACTTTCGCCAATCAGATGTTCGGCTTCATGGCCTGGACCATGCCCGTCTTCGTGTCCCTTTCTACCTTCGGTGGTCTGAATGGGATCATGTTCACGATCTCGAGATTGTTCTTCATCGGAGCACACGAAGGACATCTTCCCGCTCTCGTCGGAATGATTCACATAAAACACTTGACACCAACACCGCCGATATTACTCTCGGTGGGTGTATCTTCAGACCTCTTCCGGCGTCTGCTTAAATCTTCTATCAGTGAAATTTCCTAATTCTTTTTTCCTCTCTCGCAGACTGGTTTGGCTCTCTTAATGTTCATCACGTCTGACATCTACTCCCTAATTTATTACTTATCTTTCAACCATTGGCTGTGGATCGGAGTCTCGATCCTCGCTCTTCTGCAATTACGCCGCACCCAACCTGACGTCCCACGGCCAATTAAGGTGCGTCGATCGGTATGCAACGTTCTTTGGTTTGAGGAGATTTCCCAGAGAGACATTCCGGCGAGCTCTTTCTTCGATCCTCAGGTATCCATATTCTTCCCGATCGCCTTCCTGTTCCTGTGCGTTTTTCTGACAGTTGCCGCTATCATTGGGAATCCATTAGTGAGTCTTTTAAATATCGTGATTCTCCTGAGCGGTATCCCGGTGTACTACGTTTTCGTCAAACCCAACAAATCACTCACTGCCGTAAGAGAAGCGTCAGGTGAGAGTCAATATATTCGACCTACAGATGAGGCACGAAACCGCTTCGAGTCAGAACTGCAGGTTTCCGCTCGATACTCTGAAAATTACTTCAGTGGCAGCGGCTGTCCTCTCATTCTGCTTAGGGAGACCGCTTACTCCTTTCAGCTCGTGTGACCCGAGAGATGCAGAAATTGCTACAAGTCGTTCAGCCGCAGAAAGAGGAGAAACTCTGAGTGCTCCACGTCGGGCGACACTGTACTTCCGCGCGCATCTGGGATGAACTATAGCGTGTCAAATTATTGACGAGAAATCTCCGATCTGCGGGCTCGTCCTGCCAACCTCATCGGCCTCCAATCGACGATCGCTGGCTCAGCGCCTAATGGTTGGACTGCGCTGGAAGCGACACCAAAAGCGGGAGACTCAAATGGTGTGACCGATGGACCTCCCGCAAATCACCGAGCGCTCCTCTCCCTGAGAGAGAAGGAGGTGAAAGAAGATGATCGAGAATAAATGTTGGTTTTGGTCGTTTTTCCATTCGTCCCTCTTTCCTCTTTTCAAGCTCGTCCGAGACTACAACCCCGCCCTGCTTACGAAGAGGAAGATTGCAATTCCAGGCTTTGCGCAGTCTGAAGCGTGAGGTCATTGTTCTGCAGCCCTTACGTATTCATGCCTTCCTGCGATGTGATCATTCGACGTTTCGGGGTGGTAACTACTCCCAGGGTGTCAGATTCGAGCTTCCACCCCGTCCTTGTTCTCGCTCTCCCGGGCTCCCCTTGGCTCTGATGCGCCAACCTGTTGAAATGAGGGCAGCTAGGGTTTCGCTCCCAGAGCAGTGCGCGAACAGAGCGTTGGCCATAAGCGCGCGAGCGGATGGCGGGATTCGATGCTGCGACCGATCGATAGCTCAAGATCCGCTCGAAGCTTGCGTGTCACTCAATATCTGGATCGGGTGAGGGAAAATTCTGATGGATTCATTCGAAAATCAGGAGCGCGCTTACGTGATTCAATGCAGACAGAATCGACGGTGGCGCCATCTGTGATTTTGGCCAGCTGTTTACCACCGATTCAGTGGTGGTGTTGCCAGTGTACCTCCGAAACAATATTCTCTGGAGGCTCGTCGAGTGTTTTTCGGAACCAGACGGTTTTGCGCCTTCCTCGTCCAATGTGAGTGCACGCTCTTATATCGTGAGATTACAGGTTAAGTGAGGGTCAGACTCGCGCGGATCGAGTCGAAGCTCGGGGAATGTACGGTGCCTCCGATCGCGGAAAACAACTGACCCTGCATGTTTACAGTAACGAAGGCTCCGTTCCATTCTCCGAGATCTGCTACGACCGATTTTTGTTGAGCGAATTTCGCAACGCCCTTGTTCCTGCTAGATTGAAGAGTTTCATGATTATCTTTAGACGTAGGTCTTTGCGGAATGCACTCGCTTCAAAGAGAGGAAGTTGTTCCCTGTCTATCTCGCAGTCCGACATGACAAAAAGGGATGTCGACAGCCTTGAAGCTTTCCTGTACAGTCAGATAGCATATTCTGTTCGATTCGTCGGCCCGAGACAGAGTGGATAATGCTCGATCGGAACAAGCCGCTCCGTGAAACCGCATGCTTTTCGGCGAACTAATTGCGCAGCGCGACGGCGGTGTTCAGAGTGCCAACCGCAAGCCGCCGCTGAGGCTGGACCGTCCATCCCATTCGTTGTATCAGGTCATTCAGTTGAACATGCAATTTCGAAGAGTCGCTTTCCTTGGGCAGTTTTCGGGAACAATTCAACTCCGAGAATCGAGGCTCGAATCGATCAGGGGAGGGTGACGGTAAGCCAGGTCTCATTGCTTCCTCCCAGACGAGGACGAACACGCTAACGAGAGGTTTTCATAATCGGATCGCAGGTATCGAATCTGAAACATTTCGTGCACAGCAGCAGCTATTGCCAAGTGATCCGCGGAGATGGGGAACACCAGCAGCGGGAAACGGGAGAGGACTTTCTCCAACGAAGCTCCTTGTTCCCCTGGGAAAGAGGATCGAGCGCTGGAGTTCAACACCAAACGTTTCCAGGCTCAAAACTCTCTGGACGAGAATGAAAAATTCCTTAACAGCCTCCGTCAGAATGAGGATTTCATGCGTCCGAGAGCCTCGACCGTTTCCAGCTCGACGCCGTCAGCGCCGATGTCAACAGGCAGTACGTATTGGTCCTCTAGTAAAATTATTCGAGAAACTTTCGAGGGAGGGAGATGGACGTTCCTAGCCAAACACGTAACCTGCCGATGCTTACATCACTCGCCATTTTCTTCACAGCGGGCAAGAACGGCGTTTTGCCAACCGTTTTCAAGTGGGAAAAGGGGGAAGAGATGTTGCTATCTGTGGGACATTCACCCAATGGAAACCGATCCCTATGGTGAAGAGCCACGGTGATTTCGTGATAATTCTTGACGTTCCCGAAGGAGAGCATGAGTACAAGTTTAAAGTGGACGGAAACTGGCACTGCGACGAAGGGGAACCTCAGGTCGATACCGAAGGCACAAAGAAGAACGTCATCAAGGTAATAGGGGAGATGGATCCTCAATCACCGATTACGTGAATACGCTCTATGTTCCATCGGTACATCGCGCGCAACATCCCCGTTCACAATCAGAACCTTTTCTGTCATTAGGTGAAACAATCGGATTTCGAAGTGTTCGAGGCTTTGGCGGTCGATTCACTCGCCACTCAGTCAGCCAACGTGGTATCTGGATCCCCGACTGGAGACTACACGCAAGATATTCCAACGAAGTCCGTTCAAGAGCAGACTACGTCTAGCAAACAACAGGGGCCTCCGATATTACCCCCGCATTTACTACAGGTACCTACGATACTGCGATGGTTCATCGTTGGATGGGAGTTTCGTTAGCTCTCACGCCGACTCGCCCCCCCCCAGAAGCTAACAGCAGACTGACTCCCTCAGGTTATTTTGAACAAGGATATTCCGCTTTCGTGCGAACCAACTCTGCTTCCGGAACCCAATCATGTGATGCTCAACCATCTTTATGCTCTGTCAATCAAAGATGGAGTCATGGTATTGTCAGCGACTCATCGTTACCGCAAGAAATATGTAACCACTCTTTTGTACAAACCAATCTGAGACAGCCCAAAACCTCGACTCGCAGCCGTCGATCCCACGACTCTCCAAGCCTTTCCGAGAATACAGCTGTACGGAAGATGAGCGTTTCTCCGAGGCGGAACAAATTTTCCGGCGTGATGCACAACGTGCGTGCGAATATTTTGCTCTACACTGCACGACGACCGTCGATCGGACAATTTCGCCCCCATCGCGTATGTGGATTATTCGGCAGCTGCAATGGTTTCCGTCACCGTCGGTGTCGTCGACGAGGAGGGGGCTCGATGTTGAGGGATTGTTATGGGAACGCTTTGTACATACATAGAAGCGTCACAGTCGCGATTATTATTTACATACACACAATCCGAGATTCAGAAATTCGACCCTCTCTTAGATAAGCCCGGTATTGATATCTACAAGACATGAACCCGCGATATTTCCCGCTGAACTCTTGAAGGCTGATGGACTGACGACAGACTTTCCATTTTTCACCGAATACATGTGCGACGTGTGGCTTGTGTCGAGAAGTCCCTGCGCGTCTAACCGGAGGAGCATTCAAGTTACCATCAACCATCAACTGATGTCGTATCACGATTCCGAGAGGAGTTGTCGCGACTGCCGACGCGTTTTTGTGACTTCCTCGGACGGGGTGCTAGATTCGAGTGCAACGATCGATGGATGTTCGGTCACAAAATCAGTTGTCTTGTAAGGCACTAATATATGTTGGCCGGGGCGCCCCATGGGGGCTGAGCGTTAGTTGCGAAGTTGAGCATGCGTGTGATTCTGCCGCACCCATCTCGTGCGCAGAAAAAAATTCCCCGACGTGGTATCGGAAAGAAATCCTTTAAACTTTACTTGATTACTGATTTATCATTATTCGGAAGTCATGGTCGTTGTTGGCATGAGTGAATACCGTTGAGTTTCTCTTTTTTGGTATGCTCTAGATTATTCCAGATTGACGCCAAGAAAAACACACAATAAATACTAGATCTGATTTCTGAGAACCAGAAGGAAGTGCATTTGACCATTTCTCGAGGACAAGATTTACATATATGTACATATCATAAAGTATTTGCATTATATGTACATATCTATATGAGCATCAGAATAGAGAAGTCGTGCGGCGAGAAGAGTCCCGTCCGTCGTCGGCGCGCGGGACGAGCAACCTTTCGAAAACTTTCCTTTCGCTGTCGGACTCTTCGGACGTCCGGATTCTCTGCAGGAAGTCTCTGCAATCTTCTATCAGGCGCTTGTCCTCACAAGAGCTGGACATTGTACAATTCAGGAGAATTTTCGCAACGCGACCCCAACTGCCCGCCACACCTCCTCGAATGAGCATGGACCGAAGAACAGACAGCGCCTAGGAAAAAGAAAAGTTGAAAGGCTTCTGAACTCCACTCGAAACCTCTCTCCGTAATAACCCAGCATAATTCTCACAGAGTTTCTTGTAGCCGGTCCGGAACTCCAAAACTCGAGAACATCCAGGGTCATGTTCGTGTGCTCAAGGGTTGCTTTTTTCGAGGACTCGACAATTTTCCTCAGAACCTCTGCGTAAAGTAACTTCTCTTCCACAGTTATAGCCAGCGCACAGCTACGGAGTATCAGTCGGTAAGTCTCGCTCCTACGATGATGGCAGCGCTTGGCAGAGAAGAGGAGAGCGTGGATCCCCTGAAAGATGAGTACGCATCGACATTTCGAATCTCATGTATGAGACCCCGACTCCCGATCGCGACCATGACACCAACCTCGTAAACGGGACCCAAAACTTCCAGATCACGCCCGCGAGAGAGTCGTATCATAGCGTCGAGGACGGCGTCGGCGTCCAATCCATCTCCACCATCATGATCGGGAAAAGCTGTGGGGAGACTCTCAGGATTAGGCGACTGGCTTGTATCGATGGCATGCTTGTCCGTATTGTCAAGCGTCCGGAGCAGCGAATCATATGAGTCTGAACTCACCACTGACGAGGTGTTTGAGGCTCACTGCTGCAATCCTCCGATTCTCCGGAAGATGTGAACCGCCGATGTTGGAAATAAGTTCCAGCTGCTGAGTCGGATTCGGGGATATCTTGCATATGGACATCAGGATATATCTCTCGCCTGAGGACAGAGATGAGAACTTGAATCCAATTCCCAAACGTCCATCGGGTCCGAAGGAATGTCACGCCGCTATCATATTGCCCTGTCACTGACCCAAGTAGTAAGGCCAAGATTCCTTCGAGAGCCGCGGCTTTATCATGGAGAAAACACGATTCACGACATCTTCCGGGAAGCTCACTCCATTAAGAATCTGTTGCGCGAGATTACTGCAGAACTCGGAGGAGTAGGGGGCTAGGGGATCTTGATGAGCCATCAGAAGGGCTAATATAGGCCAATCACTGACGGCCAAGACCGTTCCTGCGAAAAATATGGGTTTATACGGTCAAAGGTGGAAATTAGTCCAGTACCAGAATAGCTAGGAAAGTTTCCCCTGCCCCCGATTGTGCCCTCACCTGATCTGAGGAAGTGCTTCGCTTGAGCTAGGCATTCCGGGAGCCCTTTGCGGAAGTCTGAGAATTCACTTGCTTCGATCGCGCAGTCCGATACCTCCGCCAGCTTTCCCGGCAAACCTCGGGATAACAAATCCATAGGGATGAATTCCCCATCGGGACCTCTCTGTATGTCCATCCTTAGGGATTCAACGCCTGGAAGACACATCGTCCAGCCAGGGTGTGCGAATGAGTATTAGCATATTTTCCTGGAAAATTCGAGTTTCCTGAATATTTTCCTAGAAGAAGGAGTGATGGAGCGAACCTTGTTAAGGGGAGTGACGTTCGTCAGATCCCCAGATGCGCCGACGGAAGCCGAATAATTTTATGTTCGGCGACTAGACACTTGACTACCCTAGAGAAAACGTTGAGCACCGGAGCGCGCGCATGAAAAGACAAGTCTCTGATTATCTGTCATCTGTGCCAGCAAGAGAAGGCATGGGGATTGGGGATTACTTGGTTCTCACCGCGAGTCCGAATGTTTTGGCGGAGGCCTTCCCGCCAAAATAGAGAGCGATCGAACGCACGTGCTACCCCATGTTCTTCTTCGAAGTCATCAATGAGTGGACAAGTGGTGTGAGGAAACTTGACAAATTCTAAGAATCAGCATCTATGTGCGTTCCCGACAAGGTTTCTTCGAATTCGGTTTGTGACGAATCGTAGTCAGCATGAGTTTGGCGAAGATTGCCCAACGATTAGCTGCCGCAAGACAGACCGCGGGAACAGCTGAAGAGAAGAAAGGCGAAGAGACCGGTCAGATCAAGACCCCTCGGATAGGGTACGCAATACATATATCGAGTATGCTCCGGTGAATAATAATCAACTATCATGACCGCACCCCCCTCATCACTGCGAACTTCCAGCCTCGCTGCACAATGGCAAAGCTCTGCCGAGGGCGCGGACAAGAATCCGACACCACTTCCTCTTGAGGCCCTGGGCTCTCTCTTGTTCTCATTGTCCGGCCACGCGATTTCCACGACCAAAGAATATTTCAACGTGTCCCACCTGGACCGATGTTCCCAGGTCCTCCTCGTGATCATAGACAACATGTCGGTTTTCGACCTCGAGGAGAAACCGAATCTCTTGGGTGAGAAAATGTGAGAATCAAGAAAACAACTTGCGGATGCATTATTCACCGAGTCTACAACACAGAAATCGATCTATGCAGGCAAGCTACGAGAAAACGCGAAGAGGAGCGGATTATCAGCTGTCGTCATGCCGGCATTGGCTGCCGACTTCAGCACAGGATCCGACCTGAGCCACGTTCAAGTGAATTTTCAAAAGGATACAGCGATAATCAAGCATCTCCTCAAGTTCGTGGTGTAGAGCAATTCAGATTATCCATGGTTTCTTGCTGCCACTAGCAATTTCATGAAAATATCACTTCTCCAGAGAAACCGCTGGAGTGCGGAAACTGAAAAGTCTGAATGGCGAGCATCCCAAAGCCTTGAAGTCTGGCGGAGCCGATGAGATCAAGACCGAAAATTTCGACTCTGGTGCAGAGAGCTCGGAGGAGCCCGCGTCTGAGGTGATTAAATTGATCGGAGGATCTTGGTGGCCCGGAGTAGTGTTGAGTTGAAGGGTGTACCTGGACGTAAAATTTCTGATTTTATACAGCCAACGCAAGTGGATGCAGTTCAACGATTGAAAAACCTGAAACTCCAATTCCCACAACGTCACGCGCGATTACTGAGGGAACGATTGCGCGCGGCAAAGCTGGGGTCAGAAGAAAACCCGCCGAATAAACGGCCGAAACTTGATGCTCAAGACTCAAATAAAACGGAATCGCCTATCACTCACCTAGTAAAAAATGAGACGCACGAGAAGAAATCGAAGAATCTCGAAAAATTGAAGGAGTTGAAGCAAGCGCACATGGAGGTCCAGCAGAAAATCGCGGAGATCCGAGCAAAGGAGCCGAAGAATGAAAAGCAGGTGCGAAAAATCAAGGAACGGCTCGCAAGCCTCCGAAAAGACTCCCGTGCGAAGAAGCAGGAGTACGAGCTCGAGAGAACGAAGTGTATCCAGGATGAAGATGGAGAAGATGAAGGAATCGAGAACGGAAAGTCCACAGAAGCCCGAGGGAACGAGGGAAACAAGCCGAACGAGGACTTGTTGAATTTCCTCAACCAGAAAAAAGCCGAGTCCGATGCGGGTGAGTGCTGTCATTGCGCATATCGATTGGAGAATAGTTCATCGGACTCTCGCGCTATCTTTCCGGCAGGGGTCCGAGTGTGGTCTCGATTCTTTTAATGAAAGCTCTCCCCTTGCTAGTGATGCCTGTAACTCCCGTCGGCACCGTGCTACCGCCTGGCAACCTTGATTTGTCGAAGCCGGAAAAATTCGATCGCACACTACTGCTATTGTCCGCGTCTGAGATGAAATCTCAAGGATTCTTGTTCCATTACAAGCCGTCTCTGCGAGCATACGAGCCGGTAGGTCGAACCATACTGATATGAGATCATCTCTCATCACCTCTCTTTACATGGAAAAAAAGATTCCTCCCTCCACGATCGATGCTTTTTTTTGGATAGGTCTCTTCGAAATCAAAACTTTTTGGAGTGGATTGTGAGATGTGTCTGACAACACACATGATCAATGAGCTCACGCGGATAACAGTGGTTGATGAAGAGGGAGTTGTGAGACTGGATGAGCTCGTGAAGCCGAGAGCGAAGATCATCAACTATTTGACGCAATACTCAGGTTTGTTCGAGGTCTGTGGTCGACTCATCGAATTCCATGGTGGTCACAATCCAGGTTGTTAGAGCCATCTCGAGGGAATCCGCAAACTTCTCCGCTGAGCACCGATCTCCGAAAAATTCAGGAATCACGCCACAAATGCTGCTAAATGTGACCACACGGAAGGAAGACATACAGAAACGATTGGCGGAAATATTGCCTCCCGACGCGATCCTTGTCGGACACTCTCTAGACTCCGACTTGAAGGCACTCGAGATCTCCCATCCATACTGCATCGACACATCAGTCTGCTACAGCGTGAGAGGTAAAAAAAAACGATCGGTTGCTGAAGTATCGTGGGCACAAAAATCTTCGAACATGATGGTTTTTTTCACGGAATCGTCTCGTCTTTACAGGGTTCCGACAGAAATCGAAGCTGAAAGTTTTGATGAAGACATTCCTCGGCGAAGATATTCAAACCGCCGGCGCCGCCGGGCATTGCTCGGCTGAGGATTCCTTTTCGGCCCTGAAGCTCGTCCTCCTCAAACTACAGAATGATATTACCTTCGGCGACGTCGACTTGAAGGGCGATTTGGAGTGGAATGGAGTAGATTATAGCGAGGCGCTCGAGGAAGCTCAGCAAATCGTGGCCAAAGAACGAATGCAGCAGACCATGTTCAGAGGCGGCTGGGCGGGGCGTTCCGCGCCACCGGAAGGCTCATACCGATACCGATTCGTGAACCACGACGCGGATCCGAACTTCAATCCGATCTCGAAGTTGGAGCCCCGTCGGGATGGAGACTACTGGCGAAACAAAAGGCTGCTCTACAAACTCATAAGGGAGCGCAAAAGGCAAGAACAAGCGATGCATGAGATCAGGAGCGCGTTCCGGGCGAGTGAGAGGAGCGTTGACTCGATCGCGAGGAGAGTTCTGAGGGAAAGTTATCAGAGACGGAAATTCGAGAGCCGAGCCCGTCAAGACAAGTCACAAGTCGATAGTCTCCTCCTGGAGAAGCTGCGAGAGATCGAGGATAAGAAACGGGAAATCTTGGGACAGGATCCGAGGTTAGTGTGAGAGGTTCATATACAATTTTTCCTTCGCGGCTACATGAGCCTATATTGCTCGTGGGTATTCGTACGTCGAAGTGACTTATTTTTAATCCGGAAATTGCTGCCCCATTTCGCAGTGGCTCGAACAACGATACGAGCGGACAATCCGTGGTGGTGCTCCTAGCTAGGAAGAAATTCTTGGAGCAGAAGCTATCGACACTGAAGGAGGGCGGAAGATCGAATGATTACAAAGACTTCCGGAAAGTTTTCCCGAAGAACGTCAAGAAGGAGCTGCGGGCAAGTATTGCTAGGCTCACGGAGCAGATCGCGAGTAAAGAAGCAGAGGAAGCACAAAGCGCGAAATCCGAACCTGAGGAGCCTGAAAGTGACCGAGCAGGCAGCGAAAATGAGGAAGATGACGGTGATGAAGTTACCTCCGACCTGGACGCCGAGGATCCCGCCCAGGAAACGGAAGAGGCTCCGGTGGGAGAAAAGGAAGTTCTGAGAACTCTTGAGGAAAATCAGATCGCATTGGAGCAGCTTCGCCGCGAGGAAGCACTCTTCCGAGAGGAACTAGATCGCGCAGCGTCGGACTTTTATCGCACAACGATGGAGAACAGGATCGCCGCGAAACATCAAGAGAGTGAAATTTTAGCGCGAAAAATTGTCAACGGCCTAGTCAGCATAGACGTCGTCTTCAAGAATGAATCACTGCTCCACCGTTTCATCGAATATCAGCTCTTTGTGTTGCGTAAGAATGAGGAGTTCATCCACAAACGAGGGAAACCATTCGGTACCGTAGCATTGAACCGACTGTACTTGAATTTATTCTCGGCTTGGAGAAGTGCGGGGAAAAAATCCGTTGTGGTAGCCCCAAGAGATATCGCAAATTTGAACTACGACCGAGTGAATATCAAAGCTCCTGAAAATGAATCTCTGAGGTGAGTTTCTCTTCTCATGCGGGAGCAATGATATTCCGCTCATTTCCCCATCGATCTAGCGTCCTCTGGAGCGATCATAACAAAGCCAAGTCATGTCTGATTTTCGCAGCTGCATCGTGAAAGACACTCGGAAGTGCCTCCGGACGAACGACCTGGTCATAAGCCACCTCAGCTATGACGACGTGAACGAAAATGACGCGTCGATCGAGAGCGCTCTGGATTTGCTCTGGGAACGCGTGAAACCTTCCGGAGTGATGATAGTTCTGCTGGAGGGAACGTACCTATACAAGAAAATCGGGCACGGCTTAGCCCTGCTTTCGGTGAAGAATGGTGGTTGTCTATGAAGTGGGGTTCGAAATGTACATTGTTTGGATTCTTCCCATTCTCAAATAAAAAACATCCCTTCATTATGAGGCCGCCCATGCTTACACAGATACACATATTTTCGTATACAGCTGCGCCGAAGACAAATCATCATTCCAGGGTCCGGGGGGTGTGATTCGCTGTGATTGATAAAGAAGATCGGACTCTTGAGTAATTCTGAATTCTCCTCACCGTCTCCCAGAGAGTCGAAATTCTTTGTTTATTCGATTCCAGTCCGCGCTAGGCAGTCGAGTGACTTTCGTAACGCGACCGCGCCGTCTGGTAATGAACTCATCTCCAATCGAAGGACCAAGATTAGAGGGTCTGGTCCTTCGTCTGGCAAAGGCACAACGGCCAGCCTCAATCTAAGGATGCTCCGAGGTCGGCTCAATCCTGTTCTACTATGCGGTGTCGGCCCACAAACTGAATAATGAGTCTGGCAATCTGAAAAGCCATTGTTTCGAATGGGCCGCCCGTATCGCCCCCCTCCCCCATCAGAACCCTGTGGGACTCCCTCCCTATCTATGGGACGTCCCGGTCAGGCTTGTTTGACTATGGAACGGAGCTATTCAGCACAAATGTTGTTCCGGAGAAAGCTTGCTCTTCGCTTGGAACTCGATAATTGACGGGATCACGGAGCGATCGGGCGAAAGAATGTCCGCCAGCTTCGAGATGCTTTAGGGATGAGAACATAGCCTTTACACACTGAATTTTCGGAATTTCCCACCGAGAATCGATGTCCTTTCAGCGTCTCTATAACTTTGAGACATTCATCTTGTCGAATATATGTGTCTATGCTGCTGCCAGAGACCGCGTGTCGTCTGCTATGCTACTAGCGCCGCCGATGGACTTTCGGAGCCAATAGAAATTCAACACGAATGTTATTATTGTGCGGAGTGCGAAAGCTGACGTGTGGTAGTGGAGAAATTTCTCTCGAATGCTGACTTGTTCGTCATAACCAGTATTTATCGCATCGTACGGGCTTGCGACCTTTGTGAACACGACTTTCCACGATGGGGGTGCCCACTAAAACTTGCACCCTCCTCTTTGTGATCCTTAGTAACGTATATGGTGAGTGATCTTTCCGAAGAGCTCTCCCTCTCAGGGATTTCGAACAGCCCTATCATCCTCCGACCATCTAGATAGAGATGCTTTCTTAGCTGAGTCGGCGGAAAAGATCCGATTTATGGCCATGCTCAGCTCGCATCGAAGAATTGAACCACTCTCGGCGGAATATCAGAAAGTCCCGGTGTCGAGCGCCGAGTTTCACCGGAAACTCCGTTCGCGCTCCGAGCATCGGCCGCACCGAGGAAACTCTAAATCAGCAGCGGATATCTGATTCTTGAGAATGACTATGATATGCGAGATATTTCATAGATATGAAACACGCGCAAGCGATGACACAGAATTCGATCCTCTGCCCACTGCATCCAATTCGTACGGGCTGGTTTCGTCGGTGCTTGACCCCGGCGCCTCGGCGGCGCTGAAAAATTTTCGCGGAGCGCAACGCGATCACATTCAATAGAGCTTCGGAAAACTTCGCATCATTCATTCCGAGATGAAGATCCTATGTCTCAATTGCCGGCCTTGACCGGTGAATGCTACGATGACTTGAATCGAACCACTTTCGGTTGCCCCTCTGGATCGATACCTTAGTTAGCCAGCTGAGGGAATCGATCGCTTCTCCGGAACTCAGATCTGAGTATGTACGTGCTGAGCATGACGTTGAGGCGCGATCGGACGGTCGAGCGCCCCGGCCGGTTTCTCCAATCGGGAGCGACCATGCGGCTCACGCTCCGGAAGAAGTCGAATCATCATTCCACAATGATCAGAGAGCTCAAACAAGTCATTACGCAAGGTCTCACGGGGCACACGCTTTCCAGATATGGTCTCATCGTCTGAAGTAGCTAAACACCTGGAAATGGGCATGCAACTTCTTCACAGAGGAGCCTACCAGGACGCTTTATCGCATTACCATGCTGCCATCGAGGGAGATGACTCTAACTACCAGTCATATTACTGGCGGTAAGTGTCGAAACCTCTTCCTTAGGCCTTCTCCGCGCATGATGACTCTCAATCGAAATTATTCGACTTTGCCGCCGCGCCGCAGCCATTCGACGGAAAGCATATCTGTTGCAGAGCCACCGTGTATCTCGCGTTGGGGAAATCGAAATTAGCCGTTGAAGACCTGAACAAAGTGATTGATCTTAAAGAGGATTTCATCAAAGCCAGAGAACAGAGAGGAAACATCCTGCTGAAACAGGTGAGCCGAGTCTCGACTCTTCGTATTGTGTGTCTTCTTGAAGCGATGGCGACGTCCGGAACACTTTATCGAAACCGATTATCTCTACAGGGATACTTGGACGAAGCGCACATCGATTTCGAGTATGTGCTCCGTTTGGATCCCCACAACCTAGAAGCCTTGCATCACTACGAGGTGATCGAACAACTCAAGAACGACATCGCCGTAGCAATGCAAATGCGTGACCAGGGAGACTGCATGGGTGTCATTTCGATACTCCAGGGAGTCTTGGAACAATGTCCGTGGAATCTCAGATTGAGGTGAGCGACAGAGATTTTGAATTCTTCCGATGCATGCCGCCGTGCCACCGACGATGTCCTGCTGAACTGACTCGATTCGATTTCCTTTCTGAACAGAGAGCTGCGAGCAGAGTGCTACGAGGCCATAGGAGATCTCAACTCGGCCATATCGGATCTCCGTCCCGCCATAAGATCGGTTCCAGACAATACGAAAGGATATTTGAAATTAGCTCGGCTCTTCCATAAGCACGGGGAGCCCGAGGAAGGCCTGACAACGATCAGAGAGTGTCTCAAACTCGATCCTGACCACAAGGAGTGCATGACTTTCTATAAAAGCATCAAGAAGCTCGTGGCTCAAATCAAGAGTATGCAAGACCTGTTCAATGCCGGGAAGTACGGAGATTGTCTGGAGAAAGGAAAACAGGCCCTGTCGAAGGAGAACACTCCCGCCATTGTCACTCTCGTCAAGACGAAGCAATGCCACTGCGCCAGCAAGGTACGTCGAATCTCTTTAATGCCGCGGAATCTTCGTTATCGGGACGCCGTGGAATGTCTCAGTCTGTTTCCATATAATTGGAATGCCATGGAACGCCTCAGTTCCCTTATGATTGAGACGGGATGAAGTATTTCCACCGGCGACCTTCTCAACGACGCATCGTTTCCGACCGTTCTAGCCCCACACAGAGGTCTCTAAGTGAGTGTTTTCCCTTTGCAGGGGGGTGCCGAGGACGCCGTGAACCTCTGTTCGGAGGCCTTACGATACGACCCACAGAACCCGAATATTCTCTGTGATCGGGCCGAGGCCTACTTGAATGCTGACGATTTCGCGAACGCCAAACAAGACTTCGCTTCAGCCCGGGAACTTGACCAGGAAAACCAGAGAGCCGCTGAAGGCCTGAAGAGGGCACAGAAACTCGAGAAAGCCAAGGGCAAGAGAGATTACTACAAGATCCTAGGCGTCAAGAGAACGGCCAGCAAGGGGGAGATCACGAAAGCCTACCGGAAGCTGGCCGCAAAGTGGCATCCCGACCAGTACCAGGGAGACGACAAGAAAGGAGCCGAAAAAATGTTCATCGATATCGCTGCGGCCAAAGAAGTACTTACAGATCCCGAGAAGAGAGCCAAGTTCGATCGTGGAGAGGACCCTCTGGACCCGGACAGCGGGCGCAGCGAGTTCAACCCCTTCGGAAGAGGAGGTTTCAACCCCTTCTCCGGAGGGGGCGGCGGCGGCGGCGGAGGTGGATTCCATTACACGTTCCATTTCTAGTGAGCCGGCTCTTAGTTATTTGAATTCAAGCAACAGCTTGCGGTGGTTTATAATTCTGAGCACATCCATCCGTTGACAATGAGCTATCCGTAGACGACTCTGATGCCCGGGAGAAGCCGAGCGTCTCGAACAGCTCCCACTGCAGAGCTACATTTGCCATTTAGGAAGTGCAAAAGACAAACGAAGCGAAAGTGTGATTGTATCAAAAGCTCCGCGATCGTCTCGGGCCATCGGCGATGAGCTGCTGCTCGGGCCGAGAGCGCGAAGGTGTTGAACGTTTAGTCTCTCGAGTTTTCGCAACACTCAAAATTTTACGGACGCGTGCACGCAAGCGGCTCCCCCGTAGCGCGCAGCCGGAGACTCTGTATTTATTTTTAGATAGAACAGGTAGTCGACGCGGCATGGTTCGCCGCCGAGAATCGAAAGCGATTGTAAAATATTATGTACAAAAATAAATTAAGAAGGCTATTTTGAGAACGCGTTTACACGGTGAAGTTCTCTTTGACGAGGGAAACGCCTCCTGGAAAGTGGAAAGGGCGTTGGGGAGAGGGAGTAGCAGCGAACTCGGAAGAAACTATCAAGTAGAGCCAAATGATGATGAGAGTATCCGCACCCCAAGCTAGAGAGGTGATCAAACTCCCGCACCGTGCGACTTCCGTGACATATGAATGATGGTTTGCGAAATTGACCCCGAAGCCTTCCATGAGTCTCACTCGGATCAGAGGGTTCACTACGTCGAAGGAAACCACCCACGCCGGCCTCTCCATGAATTCCCTGCTCGAGGATCGATCTCGGTGCATTCGGACCAAGATTCCCGACAGCGGGAATGACAAGAACTGTATCAGGCTCTGATAAGCAAGCCGTTAGCAATTGAGCATGAGTCCTTGAACCGATCGTTTCGGTCGAAGAGAATCCCGCTGAGCCAGTCATTAGGTCGCAGACCCCGCGGGTCCTCATCGAGGGAGTCAGTTTGATCGGCTCTTCAATTCCACCGACGGAAATTTCTCTCTGAATCCGAGCTTTGAGCGGGCCGATGGATGCTCCGAGAGGGACGGACGATTCCGCATTCTTCGCAGCCGATGCGCCGAGGACATAGTTGGCGATCGCGAAATCTAACGAGCTTCCATTTTTCTCTGCGAGCTTGGGAAATTCCCCGATCCGGAATCTGTCCGATGAGGTAGAAAAGGAGGCGCATCATGCAAACTTGTTCGGGAACCTAAAAGAACCTCCAGACCGTGGAGGTAACTGGTGAATTCATATGAAGAAACTCGAAAGTTCATGGCGAGGCCCCGAAGAATCCGATTACATTCGAGGCTTAGATGAGCACGTCAGGGATCACCATTACAGCGGCTCTGTTGGGGCTCCCATCAAATATGCAAATACGATCAGCTGGAATAGAATAACTATGTATTGGCTGCGAGTCTCCTCCTATGAGGGGTCGCATTTCCCGCAGTCAACGCGATCGTGCGAATAGCTCCAGGCGGGTCTGTCCGCAAATGCAATGTTGAATATCTACTACGATTTTCACGATTTCTCCCTGCTCCGCAGAACCTCTTCTTCTGACGATCTTCATGGGGTTCTGACAATCTCCATGCGTAAACCTAGTCCATTGGCTAACCACATGTACGTAAGTCGCGTACGCGAGAGAATGAAAACATCCGCATCTGTGTTCTTCGGTGTTTCTATTTTATTGAGATCGATTCACTCCAGTCCACTTCCGTTTCGCAGACGGTGGAGTTCCGGGGACTGGGTCGGGAAGCGCCAACGACACTCGATTTCAGTTTCGGTACACCTCAGAACGGCGGTCAGTGTCAGTACTGATCGTGACTACGGAGGTGTGACCTTCTTGGGGACCCAGAACTGGTTATTGGCGTTTTCGTCGGAATTGTCGCTAATTTACTCTATCTAGTTCGGAGACTTCGTTGCCGGCTTTAATCAGGGAGCGTACTCTTGTTGTTTAATGTGGGAATCGACGAAAGAAAACCGCGAAGTCTACAGCATTAGCGAATCAGAGTGACATAAAATATATATATATATGTATCTTTTATAATCCTTCTCCGGTCGCTACGTAACAAGGGTGTGCTTTGCTCGCTGTTTTTTGTCCCTGCTTCATTTTGTTTTCGACCTCATCGCCTCCCGAAAAACTGTGGGGGGTGAACTGTGGCTTGAAGAATGAAATTGGCTCTGGGGCCGCTTATCCGAGTCGAAAGCCATTTCAGCGTGAACCACGATCCATCTGAGCATTCCGCCAGAGTTCAAGTTTCATCCGATCGCTTCCGAGAGGATATACTTTCCTTCAACCCGGGCAGAAAGCCACCGTAGGGCCTGTCTAGACGGTGGCCTTATTGAATCAGGCTTGTAAAATGTTCACGAAATCATCCGAAATGCCGGAACAAAATTCGAGGATGTCCGGGCCGAATCAATTTGGGGAAAGTCAGCCCGGTTGTGGAGGACTCCTCGGGAATCCCTCGTGGTCAAGGATACCTTCCTTCGGGGATATATACTGTATTCCGCCGGACCGCGGAAATCGAATGGGGTGATGATAAGCGATCGAGAGCAAAGAAAAATAGTCGGATTTTCGCAAGCTACGTAATTCGATAAAGGGGGCAATTCCGTCGTCTTCCATTTCAGCTCCGTAGCTCGCATAATATTTATCACCTCGCTCCGAGTTTGTCGTACTCCCGCACTTCCCCTGTCCGTCTACTCGTCTGAACGTCTTATCTGTAATATGAGGACAAGTCCATCTACTCCTTGAGTTTATGCCATTCGGCGATCTGCCTGCGCGGCGAGTTGCAAACGTCCGTCCAGTGCTGGCGTGCAGCACCCGAATCGACCTGAAAAAAAATGAACCTTACTTATCGTGGCTAGACGTGCGATCTACGTCAACGCGATTGTCCGGAATCTGAAGACGCCGCATCACGCTCAGGTACGCCTACTGATCCGCGCGGTTCGGCGGCTTTATAGCGGAGCTCAGTATGTGGTCCTGGACGAGAGCCCCGGCCGATTCCCCGTGCTCTCAATGAGCATCCAGCCATTGAGAGGAGGAACCATCCCATCGACGAGTTCCGCCGCGTTCGGACTCGCTTTTCGGTATTTATCTCCGTTGGAGTTCTCCGGCGAAACTGGACACGACTCTCCTTCGCGGAGTCACTATTTCGCTCCGCGGTCCGACCGTTCATGACGTTAGTCCGAATAAGAGTTTCTCAAAAGATAGCCGAACGTGGGATGAAGACAAAATAGTAGGTGGGAGATCGTGTTCCCCAGCTCGGGGTCCATGGAGCCGACGTTGAACGTGAAGTGGAATAGGTACACAAGCCCGGGAGTTGCGGAGCCGCTGGCTACGATTCTCGAGTTCCCCGGGGACAAGTATCCAGCGGCAGGAGAGGCGCAGCAAGTTATCCGCATGAATTCGCCTCCTCACCGAGACCTCGGAAGTTTTGTCTGGCGAATCCCCCCGTTCACCAGAACTTCCCGAAAATAAATGAGATCCATCGCCCGAGGCTGGAGGTCTCACGTCGAGACTCCAAAGCGAAGCAGAATTGTAACTTGCTGCGAGGAAGATATTGTATGAGCATAGCGCTCTCTCCACACGCTCTGCGGGGAAGGAATCGTGCAGGTTCACTCGTTTCCCCGACGTGGATCTGACACTCGGTGCGTGACCGCAATCTCCTAATGCGGGGAAGTCGATTTCCCTCGACTCCGCTGCAAGCCGTCCGAGGGGAGAAGCCGGGTGCCTGCTTGAACGCTTATCTTTACCCGTAAGGCTACGCTATATCCACTTCACAAAAAGCGCAGAGTCCCCGAATGATTCAATGCCAGGCATCGCTCAGACGGCGTACAGAGACCATGACCTCGATCGGAAAAAGCGAAACGACGACGCACATTCGGCTCTAGAATCGCAGTCGGAATTTTCCGTTTCGCTCAATCGGATCTCGAGATGATGAATCTTCATCTCCGCTGAGAATCGACCCCGAATCGATATAGCCGAGTTGACTGACGGGTCCGATCTCCGAGACGTATCATCCGCGTCATGGACAGTTCGGCTAGTGGCGTCGGCGACAGGCCGGGAGGGTCTAGGGAATCGAACAGAAGGGGAACAGGGGGCAATTCCGTTGTCCATACAAACCTTGGCTCCGAGTTCGAGGCGGCCAATGACTTCATTCTTGGTGACGCGGTCCCAATCCAGCATCAAGAGCTCAATACTGAGGTTATGGAGCCCCTCGTTGTAAGGGACATCAAAAACAAACGACTCATTGAACACCGGGTTCACGGTTCGCTTCTTGACGTGAGTTTTCTTCTTGGCTATACGCTGTCCGTTGTACAGCAAATACATCTTCACGTACGGATCTGCAAGAGAGGTTCATCGACATTAGGTGATGACCGCGTTCGCTCTATCGACCGTCGACCTGAGCCGCCGACGTCGGCTCTACAAACACTCGAGAAGAACGATAACAGAAATGGCTCGTATACGCTCGACCGAGAGAAGTAATATTCAAGCCGGGTCTGGTCCCTCTTCCGATCGAGAAAGACTACTCGACTACTGAGAGATAATTAGGAGCTTCCTCCCTCCTCGCTAGCTCCCACAGTTCGGGTGGGCGAGCTCCCGGAAAAAAAGGAGCCCAATGCTACGTGACAGTGTGGTCGAGAAATATTGTTCGTCCGGAACGGTCGCGGTCTGCAACCGTCGACGACCGCAGCGGATGGTTTCAATGCTCGAGGATGAAATCTCTTCCACGAAAAGCTCGGTCAGTGTGAACTCCGCTATCAGAACGATATTTCCCGGATCAGCATGGCCCGACAAAGAAGAGGGCGTCAACGCCAACCATATTGGAAAAGCTGAAGTTACTCCGTATCGGGTAGTCGATCGGAGAATCGACTCTGCTGTCGGCTGAGGTCCGTGGAGATCACTGCCAGTAAACACGGAAAAAGCCCAAAGCTCCCTGCTAAGAGAATTATTCTCGAATTCGGACACCGGGGAATTGTGAATATTGATACTAGTGACCCCGATGTCGTCGAACGCGCAAGATTGTGTAGCGAATCCTCCCCTCCGCCCCTTTTGCAAGGCTCATCGCTCATCGTTTCGATTTCGAATTCTCGAATGGAGCGTCCCGGAGACGAGCTTCACTGGGAGAGGAAAATTCCCTCGTCGCCTTTTTCTTTCCCGCGTACTCAGATACCGAAGACGTTCCACTTGCGAGGTATAGACCGAAGTCTTCGCGAGCACGAAACGATCCAGTCAGGCTGTCGTGAATGCTTCGTCAAACGTACCGCAGAGTCCACTGTCGTCCACTTTGGGCAAATTGCGAGCTTTCAGTACGACAACAGTCAAACGATTCGCAGCTGGCTGATGGCAAAGCGAAACGAGGAGCTCTCCGCGTCCCTGGCTCTTGATCTGAAAGGAGAAGAAAAAACTCTTTCAGCGCACAGCAAATCTTTCATCGAATACTCTACGCCATTGTACGGAGTCTTTGGGGACGAGAAGCAAATCTGTGGCGGGACCCGCTGAGGTCGAGCGTGTGTTACCCGGCGAGACCACAGACGCGGTTCCCTTCATCTCGAGGAGACCGCAGGCTTGGAATCGGAATAAGCCACGGGCATTGGCCGAATGTCCCGCGAATGCAGGAGGCCATCCGATGCGATGTCTAATCTTTGCGGTGCTTTTTTCGATTTTTTTGTTGGCGGAGGTAGACGCCGTGTCTGTTGCGATGGGACCGAAAATTCAAGTATTTTCTTCCCTCTGGAGGAAACTTCTCGGCTCGGAGTGACTAGGCCTGACTGAGGCGAATCAACTCGCCCGTTCGTCGCGGCGTCAGGGAGGAGAACCCTTGCAGTTGCGTTTTGAATCAAATTTCAGCCGTGACTCAGAATGGTTCGTACGACCAAATCGGAGCAACTTTCGTGGGATGAAAAAACCATTCTGTATTTATCGAACTCAGGCTAGAGTTGACCGGGCGACGGAGCCGGTGCCTGGGTTTGTGATCATTAGTTCGCTACGCCTGCTCAATCGATGAATTTCTAAATCCAGCCTCCCCAGTATATGCTGATCTTCAGATCTTGGTAGCCCTCCGAAATGCGCGCGCGTTAAGCTGCTGCCGGCGGAGATGCCCTCTCCGCACACTTCGCGCCTCATCTCGCCGTATACGGCCTCTTCGAGAGCACGATGCAATTCATGGCTTGAGAAATTACGTGGTTATAACCTCGAGCTCTAATAGCCCGTGAACTCGGGCAGACATATCAAACAGCGGACCGCTCACCTTGAAATGACGTGGCGCGATCTCTTTGATGAAGGATACTTCTTGGTCGTGCAGAGATTCTCCACGAATGAGTTCGGCTACGGGACAGAGCACTTCGCCGATGACGTCATCTCTCGAGTAGCGATCAAAACTGAGGACGACGAAGTGCAAGGTGCCGGTGACCGCTTGGTTTGCGGTCACTCCGTAAAAAGTGAAATCCTCGTCGTAGACGGGATTCGTCGTTTTGCGAACGACGCGAGTCTTCACCTGTAAAATTGGGGAAAGAGTAGGTAGATGATAGGCAGCGACTCCGATTCTCGTTTGATCCCGTCAAACCTTCCGTCGTCGTTACTTCCACGATTCAGACAGCTAGCGGAGACGCTTAGCATGGGGCCCTACGAATCTAGTACTGCCGCGGGGCATAATGTTTATCAATCTCCTGACTTCGAGCTACGGTATTTCCGGAGTTATATCTCCATCGAAGACGAGGGCAAGCCGCGGCAGACTTTTCACAGTCCTTTTTTTCTCAAGCAGCACAAATCTGTTATTTATCTTGGAAACGCTGAGCTCGGGCTGCGGATACCCTTCTCGTTGAGAGCTTCAAGATCGACAGCTGGAGACATTTTCGAAGCGTTATCCCGGACACCGGGCAGTGAATGGGCCAATATCGTCCGTATGAGCGGCGGAATCTTCCGATGAGTTGGACAAGTCGATCGCCTCTTTTTTCAATCTGCAGACGCCTCCACTTCCCATGGTGGGATGAGACTCTGATCCCAGCAATTCCCGTTCCCTCCTACGCGGAGCGCCTCTTTCCCGCGGAGGATTCTCGAGAATTTTTTCTGCGAGACATCCTTGCTGAAGATGAGGTTTGCGAAGTTTGATTATGCTGAACGTGTGAATCATGCACTTCGTCTTGCGTTCGGGCATTGACGCTTTCAGGCAAGGATCTCGCTCATGGTAGGGAACAGATCGAGGGCTAGAGACGGGAGCTCCTCCAATGCTCATCCTTCACGGCGGAAGGCAGCGAGAAAGTCGGAGCTTCGGAGAGTCTCGCTCCGAAGAATGTCGGTCGACGCCCACTCATACTCGGGAAGTTTCCGCGCATTCGTAGCGATGAGAAGCTTCGCTGCGTTCTGATGCAGGCGGAACTTTCCCCATCGAGATAGAGCGATAAAACAATTCAGACATAAAGAAGCTCCGGGATTCCCAATGCATGTGGCTCTCAAACTACTCCGGGACGGAAGTGCGATTTTGAGGCTCGATCGGGTTTCACGGAAACTCGATTCGACTCGACGCGAGCTCTTGTCTTCCGCATCGAGGAGTGAGCGGGATCCCCTATCTCGGTGTTTCTCTTCTATCTCATCAGGGTTGATCCCTGGCGAGAATCTTGAATTCTCTCAGCTCCGTGCTTTACGTATCGCTCGCGGCGTATAAGACAAACAGATCCAAGCGTGCTGTCATTGCACCGGACGTTTCCTCTCGAGTCCTTGTCGGTCGAGGGAACAATCTCGATCCACGCTGGTCGAGCACGAGCTGACTCGGTTTTCTTGGAAGCGTTGCAGAGGAGTTCCGACTTTCTTTGGGCTCCGCATCAAACGAGGCTCCTCGTCTTTCTCTCTCACAGTATCCGATCAGGGATTCGGATTTATTTCCATCAGGCATAACGGAGTCTCCGGAGCCAGCGGTCTCTAGATTCTTCATCTGGTGCCTATGCGCGGTGCCATCCTTTCCTCGGAAGCAGTTCCGTATTGGAGACGTGCTGTTTCGACATGTCTCGCGAAAAACTACTCGTTGGATCGGCGAGGACCGGCGCGGATCGGGGCCTTGGACAAAGAGATCCCGAGCGATGCCGGAGAGATTATCTTATCAGGAGCTCCTGCCGGATGACACCTGGCTCGGCGGACGTCGAGTATGAGGAACCGATCCGACGCCGATTCCCTCAGGGAGAGAGTTTCTCCTCCAGTCGGAGTAGTGCAGCAATCTACTCTACTCGAGCAATGGCCTCGATCAAATCCTACTAGACGGTGTCTGGCGTTCCGGATGGACATCTCGATTCCCGAGTGTCCTTCCCAGATGGGTCGATTCCGATAGCGTGGTCATCCTGAATCGTGATAGGGCTACAGTCGTCTAAGATTCGGCCGAACCGGCGGTCACTTGATCGATAGCGCGCCGTGAACGTCAGGCCTCTCGCCTTTTCCGGATGCGTCCGCGCCCCCAGGGGACAGCAGAAATAGAACTCCGTACCCAGCGAGATAGTTCGCTGCTCCCTTCGAACGACCGCCGAGAATGTCGATGGTCATTGAGGCCTCTTCCTCGAAATGGCACAGTTACAAAGGATATATACCCGATTTTACTAATTCAGATTATCTAAGTTAGAAAAGCCGAAGGAATCAGCTGACTTGGGCGATGCGCCGGCGCCCCTTCGGGCCTCGCGCTCAAAATTCTCCTCGATAAATTCGAGCGATTGAGGAATATTCTCGCTGGCAGCGTCTCGAAGCGAAAAAGCCCATTCGAAAGTAGACGCAACGGTTGAGCATACCGTGTGGGGAAAATCCCAAGGTAGGATCGGCTTCGAAGTCAGACCCGATATCTGACGAATGTTCGGAGGAGGTTGTCTATCGCTTCCATGCTATCCTACGGCGCCACGAAGCCAACCTTTGGATGGATCGAGATCTTTCCTGAGGGGTTAGTTTTTCGGACGCGATTTCGGTCGATTTAAAAACCTACTCTACTCTAAACAGGTCGAAACGACCTGCGCAATATGGAACTTCAAGCAGACGGTTATTTCCTCGGTCGCCGAGTGAGTCGTCTCTAATAATTCGCTCAATTATTGAGCTAATCGAATGAGATTCTGTTCTCCAGCCGAGTTGTCCGTCATTGCGCCGCCAGAAGGAGCGCAGCTCCGAATACTATGCCCTTCCTGGCACCCGATAAATCAGTCAGGGATACGGTAGCATGTCGGCGATCTTCGGAAAGTACTCAACGAGGTGCTCCCATCGGGTAGCGGCTACGAGCGAGTATAGACCCTCAGTATACTCAACTTAGTCAGTCAAAATACCTGACAGGGGAGCTCCTCTCATATTTCCGCGTAAGGCGTCTAGAGCAGATCCCTGGCGAGGAATCAGCGGTAGGTCGGGCGCAGATTCCGTCGTAAAGTCTTCTTTGCGCTTCGCACTCAATGTGAAGATCCTTCTCTGAGCTCGACATAGTGGAGGCTGCGTGGATGAAGCCACGCCTATCGCTCGGACGGGAAGAGGACGAGGGCTCAAGCGAGCTTTACGCCTCTCATGACAGGCGACGCCGACGAATGAGATCGTTTTTTCTTCGAGATCCTTCTGCCGATATGTACTAAGAGTGGTGGACTGTTTCGGGAGCCTTCAGAATTTTTTCCTCTCCCTGCGGAGATACCTACGCGAGAAATTCTGCGTGAGCTGGGACTTTCCACCAGAATCGCGAGATCACACGCCTCCTCCGACTTCGGAAGGCGATGGATTTCTCAGCCGATATTGTGAGACTCGGTTGCAGCGGTCCGTGACTGCGTATGGCAGGAGTATTTCATCCTCTGCCTCGATACGCGCGGACCGAATTGACATGCGTGTCTCATCTCCCAGCACGCATCTTCATCAAGCGAGAATCATAGATTTATCGATTTGGAGTCAGAAGCACGAAGGCCGCTAGGCTACTAGCCCGATATTCTTTTGACGTGTTTCGTGTGAGCAGTCGAGCACTGAGCCAGCGTCCAGGCTCGAGCTACGGGGTGAAATTCCATTGTGCTCGTCCTCTCGCGCACTCTGCTGTTTATTAGTTCTTCAGGAGCGGGGACCGGAGCGAGGGCGATGGGGGGATCGTAAATGATCATGATCAATACGTCACATTTATGCAAGAGTGTCAGAGATTTTCGAAATTGATGCGCTTTATTCTTGGATAACGATGATGTCGAGCGATGTCTTCGCGGCAAGACGACCGCTGACTTATAAGACGGCACGTGGATCCTCCGGTCGGGAAACCACGGAAGACCGAGGAACGATGCGAAATCGAAACGGCGATCCTGCCCATTAAACATCCGTTGCCTTATAGCGTGCGACAATCTGTCTGAAGAGCTCTGAACTGACGAGATCGCACGTCAATGGACTCCGACCCTCCGAGGGAGGGCGAGGGGTCAGCGATGCTGTTCTCTCTCTCTGTGTGTTGCGACGGACCGGCGCCGACGTCTCTCGAAATCTCGAGAAATGCCCTCGGGCAAAGCCGTATTCCGGTTTCATATCGTTATCATGGGGGACTTCGGAAGACCTTCATTCCGGCGCGTAGTGGAGGACGAACTTCTCGCGGTTCGCGTCATTTCCTTCATATGTATGAACCAAGCTATTCGGCGATCGTGGTCGGGTCGAGCTGCTCGAGTCCTACAGTTGCTGAGATTTACTTACTTTGTGCTGCTTTTCGGGCAGCAGCTGAAGTTTGACGTATGGGTCTGAGGACCCAGCTGCAGGATCTTTCGCTGGTGGAAGGTTGCAACATTTGTTAATCGTCACGAAGAGAGCTTGCTTGTCAGTCGAGTACCGGAGTTTGTAATGAAGCTCTCCGAGTCGCATGGGTTTCTCATCGTCCATGGTCTCCCGCTCGATTTTCGATTCGGGACTTTCGGCCTGGAACAACGGAAACTTATTGGTGAGAGTCTATGGAAATAACAGGCGATTGTCTCTAGATCCTCCGCAATCCTCCTCATTGGCAGAGGCTCGTCTAGGACCACGATTTGGATGAGGAATCTATGGGCAGACATCTCGGTCGATATTCGTCGATTCCGCTCGATGTTCGAGGACTCTCTCGATCCGGAGATCAGACTCAATCGGATAGAGAGAGCTCGCCCGTAGCCAAAAAAATGGCTCTTGTTGTCCGGACGTTAAATTAGATCCTTTGCTGGAGCGAAATCGATTCAACGTTCGGGAGGCGAATCTCTTTCGCTCCTTGTGACGTCACTGATACTCTTCTGGGTAAGGAGAGACGGTAACGAGAAAAAAGAGCACAACAAGACTTCGCAACCTCTGTAGGATATTTCACCGGAGACTAGATGCGAAGACTCGGATCGTGAATTTCAATCGGGGCCTCATTCGAAATGACCGGTGTCCCATAAGGGAGTGACTGTCGAATCTTCCACAGAGCTGACGTCGAATGGATGGAGAGGATCCTACAGAGGATGGATGTTTGCGTCTGAGCTTCTAAATTAATTGAGGCTGACAGTCTGCTACTGTATACCACGGCTTTATCGGACGAAAAAGATCCGGGGAAATCGATCCCAGGAGTCCATGGGACGGAGCTAAGTTAGAATTTCCCGCGCTGTGTCCTATCATCGCGTTTCGGAGATAAATGTTGAGAGCGCCATTGAATTATCAACCCCATGAGCAAAGAAAAATAGCTGAAGCCCCTTCGTTTTCCCCCTTCTTGCATCAGGTCGTGGTGATCGAATGGCCAGCGTGAAATGTTCGTGAAGCGCCGGAAAATTTTGAATGTATACGTGGCAGCTCGGCTCCCGTATATTCCATAGGGGGATCATTCCAGATTGCACATATGCAAAGAAATCCCAAATGGGAGTGATATGCGGCTCCCCATTTCGGAGCTCTCTTTGCTCTCAGAAGGCCCTTTCCTCCTCTTTTGATACCCGTAAGGAGGCCTCGTTGCGAAATCTCGGGGGGAGAGGCGGATTTCCTCTCAATTTCCGCTGGTCCAATTAAAACTTCGTCGACAATGCATCCAACTGCCGGCTCCGTTTTTGCCCTTGAAAGCCGCATAGGCACCTCAGCTGGCGAATCTCGTAAGATGGGGCCTAGATTTTTCCCCGTTCAGTCTTCGAATTCGTGCCATCGGATGTGCCCGATCGCTTGCGCGACTCCCTACGGCGCGGCATCTTTACTAGAGAATAATGTATCTATTCGATTTTCCTCGCACTCCAACTTCGCTCGGGGTAGAATTTCTGGAAATATCGAAATTCTCGATTTTGCCGTGGGAATGGGACGGCACCATCCGGGATTCCCATCATCTTTCGACGACTCCCGATTCTTGCTCAGACCACCGTTTCCTTAGAGTCCCCTACAGATACTCGGACCTCTCATCGCGATGGATAGAGCAGAGTCATGAGGAAGAACTCCAGTCGAGTTCGTCGCACGAGAAGGGAATGTTGATTCGATGCACTCATGAAAGACTTTCGATTCGAGAACCGAGACCGAAAGCGAGAAGGTCATTGGATGGACGTGCAGACAGCAGTGCCAGCGGGGCGGATGAGCTTATTCAATGTACAATACAAAGCTCTCGGGCCAGAACTAATTTTCTCTTTGACCGGAGGATCGGGGGCACCGACGGATAGAACCGACGGCGTAATAAAATCTGTATTGGGAAGCGACTATTCGCTTCGGATGTTCTGGTTCTCTTGATATCCACAGGGCTCCAATCAGCGGTCGGCGTCGTGTTTCGTGTTTTTCCAATATTTATGTGCTAGTCGTCCCATTCTCCATTACGTCGATCTATTGCGTTGCGGCAAATTCTCCCCCGATCGTTGTGAGCTTAATCCTGGATCAAGTTGGCGAGGTTGCTGTCAATTTCATGGGGCGTCAAAATCCGCGGTAAATACGCGTTTTGCCCGTAGTCATGCCTTGGCATGGACAAAAATGAAACGGGATCAGCTTACCGGTGTGGGCTTATGCTGTTGAACGACCGGCTTCGTAAGCGGTGGATGCGGCTGCGGGCCGGAAAGGACAGTGCGTCCTCCTTGCGTCGGCGACGTGGTCACAGATGGAGGGCTCTTGCTTCCGGTGGGTGACGGTGATGTCTTCAGAATCGGGCCGGATCCTGCACAAACAAAAATGGATTCGAACACGGATCTTGCAGCCTCTGAGCGGCGAAGTCGGTGGAGAGAGAAAAAAAGTCGACGAGGAGCTCGGAACGATTCGCGGAGGCTAGCAACCTCTTGTGAGTCAAGAATACATTACCTCCTCCTGTCGGGCTCCGTACGGCAGGAGTTTTCCTGAACACGAGACCCCCCGGCCCATTGAGTTTTCCGTCCTTGTAGCCGTTGTTCTTCTTCAGGGAATGTTGGAGTTGGTAAGAGCCAGGGGATTGCAGGGCAGCGAGAGTCTTCTTCCGGTAACAGGCATAACTCGCTGCGGCCACAATGAATGCGAACATCGCAGTCCCAACGCATGCCCCCACGATGAGGGGTCCTGCGCCTGAAAAATTGAAAGTCAACTCAGAAATCGTTCAGCGGCTCGCTTCTGTCTCTGGCGCGTATTCCCGGCCGGATGTTCCAGTCGTTCTCGCTTCTCCTCAACCGACTCGACCGAACCTTAAAGTGTTCAAGGTATGTACAGGGCATTGGAGCAGAGCGGCGATCAAGACTAGGCCGAGACACCGAGGAGACGAATACTACCAGAGATCTCGACATGATTTTCTTTTCCTCCCTCCGGAACCGTCAGATGTCCTATTTCGGAATCGTAGCCTTTCCGCGAAAGCGCGGTACGGCTCGCTTGGTTCTCTTGCTAATTATTCAGCGTAGAGCAGACTGTAGAACGAGCGAGCAGACAGCCAGAGCGTAGGCGAGACCCAAGTCTCTCGAGCCCAGTCACCAGTCCTCGGGGCAGACAAGGACCGCACGTTGAACACAATCTCTGTGTTCACTTCCGGCTTCGTTTGGTGGGAATCGCGACCCCGGAGCTTGGGAACTTCGAATTCACTCGGGATTCGGGACTCACAATTCAGTGACCGCTCGCTGTTGTCAGTTGCGAGTGGAATATACAGATTATTCTGAATTCTTCCTGAATGGTTTATCTGAATTCTACACCGGACTAAGATCATCCCAGGGATCGCTCGACTCCTGGGTCCCGCAACCGCGAGGAGCTAGTCGAGCCACTTGCGAGAGTGCTGTGTTGCTGATTAGCCTTCGCGGACGAGGAAGCGAGACTACTGATGTAGCGAATTATTTACTGATTTCTCCGCTGCGCCGCCGGCGCGGAACACGCCACGACTGCGGGAGGTCTTCATGCCGAGGTCCTCGATGGAGCGCTGAAGAGCGAGGCGATGCAGCTGACCAGCCCCGTTCGCACTTGCGTAAACATTGCTGGGAATAGATCGTGTAAAACGCTCTTCTGACGGATGTTTACAGAACACCCTTACGAATCGATTGTTATCGGAATACATCATCGGACCGTTGCGAAAACAGGCAGTCAGAAGCTCTCGACAAGCAGGCTGAATCGTTATCAAACGGAGGAGAAGCTCCGCAGGCGGACTCCTGCGCTCCGAGAGTAACATCTTGGGAACGTCCGATCGAGCGGAGGAAACTCGCGCGTGCAAATGCCAAGCGTTCTCTATGGAGTTCCGTCTTCCTCGGTACATTCAGAACTCACGTCCGGCATCATTCCCGCATGAGGATGAGGTCACCGAAGAAGCAACATTGATTGTTCCCGTGATCTTTTGTCCCGATCATCGGGCTCTGCCAATCCAGTAGAGAAGGTGAAACGGTGAGAGCATTCTTCCGGCCATTCAACGACAACAGCGTGCTCTATTCGCAGTACGTTCACGCCGCTGAGAGTCCGTCGGTGGGGAGTGGGCGAATCTCGCAACTATGTAGATTTCGCCGACAGAAAACAGGGCTGCCATCCGCTGCTCGAAATAACCACCGCGGCTGGCCGGAAAATTCCTCCAGCTCAACACGAGCTTCCCTGTGCGTGGGAGCTGCACTCCTCATGTATTTGCCCCTACTGCAAGAACCTTGCACAGGGTCTGTCGCGGGGTTCCTCTTGTGAAGCTCATATGATGAACTTGATGATGGACCGCGCTTCTTTCGGTGGAACGCTCGAAACGGAGACACAAGCTATAAACACGATCAGCCATATTCGAATTCGTCTTCTGCCTCTCATTTCGATAATACTCGAACAACCTCCGCCGTGGAATAAAATAGTGATCGCCAAATCACATTTCAGAAGATCAAATCAGTCCGGCTTAGCTTCTGTCTGCCCCCTCGATTTGGGATTTGCGTGCATACGGTATGGATGGCTGACGCTTCCCACAGCCAGAAGGTCAGCGAACCGTGAAAATCTCTCGACTGCGGATCAGTGACAATCTGCCGCTTGTGCATCCCCGCCAAGCGCTCGCATCGGATAGTCGACTCAAGCACGAGCGTTCCCGCTCTGAATAATTTCAAGGTTGAACAGTTGTTTTCCTCGCCTCCCTTCCGAGCATCGAGGCAAACATTCAGCGAATCATCCATATTAAGCTATATGTATGCAAATGACCGCGAGCTACGCAATATATTTACACGACGACGTGAGATACCGAGCTCTGATTAGCGCAGAAAAGTGGCACTATTGATGCAAGCTCGCTGGGCGGGAACAAACTTCATCCCTCTCATTCGCCAGCTTGCCCGCCTGTACGAATGCCGCTCGCCTCGAAGCCTTGATCGCAGGACGGTAGGTCGGAATCACGGAACGCGTAGTCACATCCGCATCGGCTAGACGTGACTACGACTTCACGAGTCTCTACGGCTCGGTAGCTCTCAAAAATTTCTACTCGAGTGATAGTTACCCACGGACGGCCGACATACTGGCTCCATATACTGTGTGGTTTTGTGCATTGGGGATGCACGCCGCCAAGCCTTGCCGAAAGACTCAACACAGGAGCATACCGGACCCGATAGACGAGTATGATGACCTTGCACGTTCGGAACTCATACGTGTCCAAGCCCCTCAAGATATTCCGGGGCAGCGACGACAATGAGCGTTTCCAAGAAAGTGCGAATCGATCGACGGCTCCGAGGGCATCTGGATTTCACAGGGACACGGTCCGTGAATCTTTCGACACTTCGCGGCGTGCAAGCATTACCGAGACAATGATTAAGCGCGACGGAGTGTTTATGCTTGCCTCTAATGAGTTTCAAATCCCATTAGTTTCGTACCCGGATTGTTCTGCCGATGAGGTCCAGAAGCTCATTGGTACAATGCCGCCAAACGCGTATGTTATTCTCTCGCGAGAAAATGTTTGACGGCCTCAGAAGCAGCAGGTTTCCCATTTTTTTTCCGTTCCTCAGAAAACCGAATCCATCGGTTTTGTGCGTGGGCGGGCTCATCGTATACTCCTGTCTGGCAGCTCGATTGCTCATCCCGTATCGAGCGTCCCCGAGACGATGGGGTCAACAAGGACACGCAGAAAACTGATAATTTCAGCGGAGGCTCATTGGATGTATGCTTGGTGGACTCGCAGAATGTCCTCTCCGAGCGAGAGTTCAAAATTGGCGAGAAAATATGTTAGTCGTCGAAAACTTTTGGGATCCACGTTTTATTCCATCGCAACTCGGAACGAAAACTGCCTCAGCCAGACAAGATCGATGAAACCATGATCGGGAGGCTGCGGGCCCATCGCAGGGAATGTCTCGAAACCACCGCTTCCTCAATTCGTTCAACGGTTTCCGTGACAGCTCAAAAAGCGTCATCAGGGGTTTCTCGCCAGTTTATTCGAGAGTATCGATTCCGAAGTATTCCAGAGCAATGAATCGAGGGTTCCCATTGATGGCGAGTGACTTCCCCCGATCCGCTGCTCTCGGGGCATATCGTTCTTCCACTCGGGTACGGGGTCAGCATCAGGATTACGGAAGTCGAGGAGGTCTCGACGTCGACCCTAGATTCATCCGCACCCCTGGCGACGCTCTGCTCCTCCCAACACTTCCGAAGAGGTACTTCCGAAGCCTCGACCGTTTGAGGGAGTCCAATCTGGAAATCTTGCTATAGTAACGCCCTTCGATCTCAGCTAGGAGAGACGCCGATGGCATTTTTTACGATCCGCATCGCACTACGATCTCATTCACGATATCATTCGACCACCGGTAGGAGAAACTGCCCAACTCAAGTCGGATGTTTCCCATTCCACATGAGCTCGGATCTAATCCAAGAGACGAGATTACTCAGCTCGATCTGACTCATCAGGCTCGTCGCTCGGAGACAGCGCGCATCGATGACTCTGACTCCTCAGCTACTAGAGCCCCGAGGAGGATGCCAACCTAATGGGGAAAGCCTTCTCGTGAAACACCCGCTAGGGATCAGATGATGAATCAGATGATCACTCGTATTCGCAAAAGATGTCGGACGGGGAACTTCGAGACGCAATCTCCAATGGAGCCTGCCGAACTGTTCTCAATCGGCTCGCTTTGTTGTCATGACATCTATTGTAAATGCCGTGACCCGATTCGAGGCCAAATCCATGAACGAGACACGTTCTCTCAATCCGATGCGGAAAAGAAACCCCCAAAAGACTTATCTAGACGTCAGTGACGTCATTCGGCTTCGGGCTTGTGCCTCAGCCGAATCAGCGGACGAGCTTATCCTCGTCTGTGAAACAACATTCTGTCGCTCACACTGCCCTTATCTGCCTCTGGCTTCGTGTCAGACCGTCGGATCTCGATTCCCCGCAAGAACGCCGAAGGTGTTCCTCTGTTGAGCTCGGTGTGAACTCGACCGTTTATCCAGATCTTTCCGGTAGTAAATCCAATGTGTAGTCAACCTACCATTGGCCAGATGTTCGTGGGGGAAGCCATCCGTCGTATACGTGCGGCCGTCGAAGTTCCCTGCTCGGCCTAACTTCATTTCTCCGGCGAGGCGATGGCGGACACTTCACGAAAAAACTCAGAGTCTTGTTGTGCTAGAACACTTTGCCAGCTGTCGGCCTTCTCAAAACGCCATCATGGCAGCAACGCAAGAGCTTCAGCTGCCAGGAGTAGCCCACATTCAGGAGTACTTAGGAGACTGACGAAGACCTGCGCGGAGACGATCGCAGCGACCCCTGCATCCTAATGCATTGACTATCGAAGCACACGACAGAGGGCGCTGTCGCTCGCGCGATTTTTCCACCGGGCTCGATGTGTGGGAAGCGGTTTCAATCATGAAGAAAGATGAATACCGATGGATATCCGCTACGGATTACTGCGGCGAGAGAGCCTGACGGGGCCGGGACATATTGAATGAATTTCCGACTTCCTTTCTACGGAGGATCCCTCCGAGTCGCTCAGGCCAAAAGTCGAGAATTACTTCATCACGGAGAAAAGATCTAGCAATGAGCAAAGCTAGATACTTGATTCGATGGACATTGTCCGGAGGGCGAGTGTCTCTTGTGAGAACCGCATGGACGAAGAGGAGTACGAGTTTGAATGCATCTGCCAGGTTTCCGCCCACAGAGTTCAGCTTCCAGATATCCGAGACGGAATACGTTTCTGGCTCCCGAACCTGTTCTCGACTCGTAAGGGAAGGATGTTCAGACTAGCTCCCGCGATTCCCCTCTTGAGCTCGCGGCTTCCGTGCCGCAGTCGACTCAGAATCGGATGCGCCTTGCAGTCCGGATCGATGCACCGGCAAAAGAGGCTAAATTACCGTTCGTGACTCCCTTCAAAAGTGCTCATTCAAATTTCGTCCCTCAACTCAATTTGCGATATGGACCGGGACGGAGGCATGATGGAGGATCGTTCGGTTCAAAATTGGCGATATGCATATAAGCTGTGGGCTTAGAATTCTCGACGAGTCCGACTCATGTCAGACGAAGACTCAGTATGCCGTATGTGGGGGAGCCTTGCAGTTGCGTGGAAATAATCTGAACTCCCGTTCGTCATGCTCAGGCATCTAGATTCGTCTGGGCTGGTCCATGTGAAATCTGCCGGAGACCGCCCCCCTCGGAGGGTTCAAGACATACTACAAAACTCGAAATTGGTCGACTGAGTGGGGTGAATATTACAGTCGACGCTTGGTGAACTGATGAGGCTAATTCCTCGGTCCTTCATCGACAGTATCGCTTGGAATCTGACCTAAGTTACGAATTTATGAGGCGCGACTAAATCAGGATTTCATAGGTTGTATCTGATGATGAAATCTCTCGCCTACTATCGTGTGGATTTTGATCGAAGTCCTTGATTCCTTACGGTGCCGAAAAGTCGCAGCTTCCGTCTTGAATCCTCAGTTTTCCCCCCGACACTCCGCGGAACCGGTGAAATATTTCCATGGAAAATTTCAGCCCCGATGATCGCTCTTCTGGAAAAGAGACTCCGATAACCCTGAGGATCCCCTAGCAAGGGTATAGTCCCTCGCTTTCTTGGCTGAGATCGACTGGCGCAGCGTTTTTAGAATCAGAATAAGTGGCGAGGAGCTACTCTCTGTCAAAGCTGAGGGCTTGGGCTCCCCACCCCGAGAGGGGTGAGGAGGAGGTAAGAGCGGAAGTTGTTCGCCGCCGCCCCGCCTGATCCCGATACCACCTATGGGAGGATTTCTGGCTCCGTCAACAAATCGAATAAACGACTCCGATGTAAGCCCGAATGGCGAGTATATTGAAAGAAAAGAAGGATACGAAAAAATGGGTTTCAATCGATAAAACGGAGGAGAAAGAACTCGAGGAGAAATCGGCATAAGCTCCAGGAGGGATTATTTGTGGCTTCCAGGCACCTTTGATGAGCCCGCGGAAGCACTTCGGTGATGATTGATGATGGGAAACGAGCTCACCGAATCTCGATCCAGGAGAATCTATTGCCCTATTCTTTCTATATATTCATACAGGCGCGTATCCAGGATTTTTTTTGAGGATGGGGGGGGGGCGCACACGATGACTGTGGCCACGAAAACTCGGGAATCGGCTACAGAAGGCGACAGAGGTAGTATGAAACACACATTTTTGGGAGGGGCATTGGCCCCCAATGCCCCCCCTGGATACGCGTCAGTATTCATACCCCAAGCGAGGGGAGCGAAGAAGACCTCGAAGCCCTGGTTTTTTCCGCTCCATCCAAAACTAAAACACGATCCGATTCGATGACTCGCCCATCTGGCGGAATTCCTAGTGGAAGCCTCGGATCACGAGCCTCGTCCAAATAGTCAGAGAGGAAGCGGGCGCATCCAACGCGTGTGCGAAGTAAGGTTCAACAGTTCATCTCGGGTGTATGTATTTACCTATCTTTCAGAATGAAATCTCGATTGCAGAGCACATTATAGAGCTCCCGAGAAGCGACGGAACCGGGGTAGCCGGTGAGCCATGATGGGATAACTTTGTAGCAAGTTCTGCTATTTCGTCATGCCGACGATGTTCATTTCCTGCATAAGGTGTCTCCTCTTCCGTTGCACGGAATAAATGACTCCTCTCCGACTCACAGGTTTCCAAAACCGATCCTTGAACATTGCAAACAAGAATGATAGGAAACCGAAGCCATAGGCGTAACATGAAAGATTGACGAAGAAATCGAGATCGCTCAAGGCCAGTCGTCGTTCCTCCTCGGGCGGAAGTTTGAAAACTATGAAATTTTTGCGGTACATCTTTAGCAATCCTTCGAGGATACCAATGTCGAACATTCTTCGAGAGACGCGGAGAAAACTCTCGGTCAGAGGATGCCCGGGAGCGAACATGAACGCGGAGTAAAGCGAAGGCATAACTGGAATGCTGCTGCGAAAGTCTGGAAAAGTCGCCCAGTACGACGTCGGCGCCAGCGTCAAGAGGAAAGCAAAACCGCTGCGATTGGCCACCAAAGTCACGCAGTCCTTGTCTGAATTCTTCATGATCATGTGCTTGGTGCCTCGTAGCCGAGCGAGCCGCCGCAGAATGTCGTTGTGAGAGTCGAGCTTAAGTTCTCGATACACGTAATCATGCCTGAACATACAGAAAGCCTGCAGAATTCCACTGTCGAGAGCGTGATCTATATCCTTCACGGTGTTTAGAGGCGGCAGGAAGGGCAAGCTCAATGATGAAATTAGTAAGTTCCGTATCAAAGAGGGAATGATGAGCGAGAACAGGAGGAGGTTAGTCAAGAGAAGCACGACCGAGCTCCGAAACGGACGGAATACGTCTTCTTTAATGGGTTGTGAGTTGAATAAAGCCCAGGCGTAGATCATGACCTCGGTTTTTCCAGTAATCACCCGGAGAAGGAGGGTCGTTACGGAAACGAACAACACACACAGCGCCCAAGTCAGGGGGTCGAGCAGCTTCAAAAAGCCGAAACCGGCAGTTCGTCGGATATTGCTCGACGACATCGTGAAGCGCGCATCATTGATCTCCACCGGATGAGAGTAAGTGATCCGGGAGAATCTCTCATAGTTTATCCCGAAGGACCACAAGGAGACATCGGCCCGACGCAATTTGAGATCTCGGATCGAGTCTTCAACTATATCGTCCACAGATCTGAACTCGAGACTCAGATTGAAGCGCTGCAGAATCATTTGCAGCTCGGGCTCGCCATCGTACTCCACGCATTTTCCACGGGAGCACTCGGAGGTAAGCGTTTTCACAGGAAATTTTTCCACGAGGCCCAAGCTCTCGATACTCAAGCACCTCCGCTGCGAACAATCGTGATATTCGCCCGGTGCGTCAATCCCGTTCCCGCACGAAAGGAAGCACAGGCACAAAAGCTCCGGCGAAACTCCGGGGAGCTCACCCAGCGTGGTATTCAGGAACAACCAACGAGTGAAGACTAAATCAGGCTTCCGGAGTTCCATCGCCTTGAAATCACTGCCTGTCAATCGAGAGTGCACCATGATGATGAAACGAGTGCGTAGTTTGAATTCCGAAGCACTTAGGTTGCTTATGAAGGTCACGTTCGATGAAGTTTGATGGGGAAGCGTACCCAAATATTGTGGGATACTGGTCTCGTCGGAAATGAAGTGTATCAGCGTGCTTCGAGGCAGCACCGAAATCAGTTTCATCACGAGCAGTGGAGACATGACCGCATGGTACTTCACGACCGTGCCATAATCAGAACTCAAGAGATGTGATGTGTTGAGCTCCCCGGAAACGACCACAATCGGTTCCCGCTAATACATATGATTGATATTCCACACGCAAAATAGACGTCTCTTCGATCGCTCTCAGAACGATCATCGTCGGGTCACTCGTCTCTTGGGTATTCTCAGTACACGTTCGTCGATGAAATTGCTGCAGCGTTTTGCAAGGAGCGTTCCGACATCCTTCAACCTTGCCGAGACGGCGGGCGGTCGGAGCTTCACGGGTCCTAACGGCATTCAAGTATCTCTGTAACGTTAAAAAAATTTGAGCCTGGTCGGGTCTCACAGCGGACGCTTGACCGCATTTCAAAGCCTACCTAAGCTCAGGACCGGCTGCCCACTCGGTGCCTTACGAAGATGGTCTCTCGAATATTCCCAGGAGGCCTCGCGGTTCCTCATTTTGAAAATGTGATTTATTCACTCTATACGGCATCCCGAATTACAAATGCACGAATAATCCGATGCTGCGAACACAACTTCCTGTAGAAGTTATCCGATAGCCAGCATTTCCACACCTCGAAGTATATTCCTTAGAAAAGCTGCTCTTCTTCAATTGTAAAATGTATATAAGTCATCTATTGATCATGAGCTAACTGCTCATTCCGGAATTCCGTTACTAAGGGGAGAGAATCGTGATGAACCACGTCGTACGAAGATCATGGAACTTCTTGTCTGGGAACTCATCGTTCGCAGTCGACCTCATCGCATGAGCTGGAATCATCCCATTCCAGGTCGAAATCATTGTTTCATTCAGAATCGATTTTTTCGTATATCGTCGTTCCCTCATAGTGATCGCCTAAATATTCATGATAGGATCACGGGGCTCCACCGTCGTCTGACTCGACCGGTAAATCATTCTTCCTTCATCACTCCCTTAGAAACCGAGGCTCTCCCTTGAATTTTCGGCTCTTCCAAGAGGGGGGGGGGTTTCGAGGAGCGGGTCGAACAGAACTGTCAGCTAACGAACTTGTGGAGACAGAGACGAATAAGTTTCGTAGAGTTGATGGCGCCAGTGAGATTTCTGACAGAACTCGGGTGGACCAAGATATCTTCCCTTATCTCGCGAGAATGCTTCGTCTGCAGTCTCTTCTGCCTTCGCCCGAGCATCATTCCATCGCGGGATCCTGACCTCTCTGTTGAGACTGGGATGCCGAATTCGGTACTGTGCTCGAGGTTTCCATGGGCATTCCTTGTTGCTGTTGTTGTTGTTGCGGCGGAATATGATTACTCATCGTCTGTGCGATATGCGGTGATGTGAGACACGGCTCCATGTTAGATCCTGAATGATGTTGTCCGCATTATTTGATTAGTGGCAGAAAAGGGACGGAGAAATAATGCTTTCGGCCATTCATCGTTGAAAATTACTTTTTCATGTATACAATCTCGAAAGTCTATCCAAACACACCGTAGGCCGAGTTCGATTGATAATGATAGGCGTTGGGACCAACGAATCCCCCCAAAAGCATTTCCTGCAGAAGCGAGTCGACGCGAGCGTTGTTTAATGTCTTGGCCATTTGAATCATCTCAATCATCTGCCGCGTGATCGATAGGAGAGTCGGTAGCAGGAGCAGGATCTCCCCGAATCGGCCTCGAGAGTCGTACTGTCTATCGTTTATGTAGTCCTCGAGACAAGTTTGAACTTGATGTCGCAGAGCCTTGATTTTGTTCGGCTCGCTGAGACCGCGAGCATCTGGAGAATCGAAGCAAGGACGTCTGAGATCTGGTTAACCGAATCGTAGGACGAAATGGTCAAGCAACGAAGTACGAATATTTGACTTCTAGCGAGTCCCGCGGGTACTCACTCGGATCGAAGAATACGATGGCTTTCAGGCAAGCGAATTCGGTGTCGTCCACGTGGACTTCCCTCAGAGGAATAATCAGCTCATCCATTACGCGGGCTCCGATGCAGGACAGGTCGGCTTCTTGCGGAGTATTCCTCGGCATGAGAAAATCGTTACCCAACAGTAGGACGTCCTTGACAGCCATTGAACGTCGCGCTACGCCCAGGAGGAGGTGCTCGCCTGCGTGCGCTCTGAGCAGTGCGACCTGATCGTCTAGATGCAGCTCCGAAAAACACGGCAGACTTTTCGCCCACTCGACCAGAACGAGGAGCTGTTGCTTCATGGAGTCGCAAACATCGCCTAGCTTCGCGATTTTTTTCGTTTGGATATCTTGGTCGTGTTCGTAGCCCGCGCTGTTCTGTAAAGCATCGGTAGATTTGACGGCATTAGTATCCTCCCGTTCTCTTCGAGTACTCCAGTAAGTGAACTCTGAGCAGAGGACCATTTTTTGAGAACTCTTTTTTCCGTCAAATCGCCCGGACGTATCCGAACTCGCTCAGGGGGTATTACTCACGTTCCTAGAGTGGATGTCGGCGGTGACCAGGCATTGGAGACTTAAACCTTGAGCAGCTAAAGCACCGGTGTCCTCGTAACTCGGACGGCGGCAACTGATTCGATCACGCTCATTTTGTACAGCTGTGGAGAAATTATTTCCATTTTATCATCCACTCCGAATCCCAGAATGTCCAGAAACATCTGCGCAGCTACTCGTTTCGGATTCGTCTCGTCAATGCACCAGGACACCTTCCCTAATTTATTTACGTGCTGAAAAAATCTATTCGATCATCATAATCGTTTCCAGCGAGCGACCCGCTCCGAGTCTAGACGTCGAAATTCTGTTCATCCCCGTGATCTCGCGCGATGAGCCCTCTCGGACCGCCACCATCCATAGGCAGTAGGCAGACAGATAAACGGACACTTGAGCGTGATGATGATGATCCGGACTACGCCTCACGGGCCGGTGCGATATCAAAAGGTTTTCGGCATGAGACACGTGATTTCAGCTCGTTGTCGTCATAGCGTATTTCTGCTGCTCTTTTTTCCTCCCAATCTCTTCTGGTTCGCATCCTTCCGCAAAGTAAACAGCCGCACCCGTGTTTGCTGATTGCTGCTCTATAAGACAGGACCGCTCGGGCAGAAAACTTTCACAGCGCGCGCTCAGAACAGAACTCGGCCACAGAAGGAAATAAGGCGAGCGAAAAATATTGAGATGACGACGGCGGAGGAGCGAAGAGGATATCTCTTTTGGGCAACTTAGCACCGGCACATCGAGAGCAGAACTAGATTTATGTCGTGCTGTTGAGGCACAACGCATGGAGGAAAGGAGCGACATGTCGCGAAGGCGGTCGGCTCGCGCAGCGAGAGAACGTTCCAGCGACTAATCGCGAATTATGAGATCGCGTCAAAGCGTGTATGAATGTTGTTCTATACCGTACGTGCACACGAGCTTGTTGAATTTGTGATCGCGGTGAGCTTGAGTGCGTGCTTTCGCGACTGTCACTCTCGTCTCGGGTAGGCATTCGACGACAACGTCGCCGCGAGCTGTTCGTTTCGATTGGAAGAATCCGAGAAGTGCTCGTGGCCAAACACACAATGCTCCATAAAGAAGAAGCGACATTCACAGCGCGTCGGCTAGTTGCGGCGGGCGGTATCATCATCGACTTGTCGAACACGAGCGAGTGAGCAAATCTTCATAAATAGTCTGGAGGCCAGCGCTTTCCTTTTTTTCCGGTTTCAAGTGGGGAATGGTTTCGTTAAGTGTCTTTCGGTCGGTTCCAATCCCTGTGAGCTCGACGCGAACCAGAATCTAAGGTTTCGGCAGTCGATGTTTTCCTTTTTTTCGTTCCCTGCACGCCCCCCCCTCCCGCCACCCCCTCGTCCCATTCGATCCCAGTGTTCCCGTTCATTGCTGGAGCCGTATAATAATCGGCCGCGATCGTCATTCTTCCGGGACTAACCTCCGTTGAGCCTCGGGCGGGACAGAGATATGATACGGTGGAAGAATCAAAGCATTCTACCTCCCCGCGCTGGCACCACCAGTGCCGCCGACACCACCGCCAGCCAAGCACCGAGATAGGTAGCTCGGTCATCATCAGATGGACCGACGCACGGACAGATTTACTTTTAAATAAGCAACCGGAGCGTTCGGCGTCCGTACGAGCACGTCCGCCGTAAGTCACCCCGTGGAGCGCGCGCTCACCTTCGCGCTGAACACAACGAAATAACAGAAAAAAACAGCGCCCACATAAACATCAGGTGGAACGTCTCCTTCGTTTGGGAAACAGGCTCGCGGCTAAGTCAGTTGGTTTACGAGAACTAGTTTGCTCTGGACTAACTTTCAATTCGTCCAGAATCCCGATTTCGGGCGGAAGCCGAGCCCGTCGCTCAGTGCTCGGCCCGGATTCTCCACGAGCCAAACGTGGAACAGATTCACTCGAATAAGCCTCGAATCAAGCGGCAAGCAAGTCGCCCGGCATATCGTATTTCAGATTCTAGTCGGAGCCGGTTTGCCGCTGCCGCCAGTTTCCATGTCGAAAGACTCGACGCTTGACCACAGACTGCAGAGGAGCTCTGTATCGTGCGACTTTGTTCTCTTCCACAACCCTATTCCAGTACGCTCTCGGAGTTTCGGACGTTCGTCTTGGACGAGATCCCACAACGGCAAACCACGATGACCGGCGACCATATGCATGTGGACCGGGTTGCGGCACGCCGTCTTAGTTGGCCCACTTAATCTCGATAGGTTCCGCGAGGTTGTTCACCTTCTTTGCGCATTCCGGCGCGGAAGCATTTCCTCAGTCTGCAGTAGCGACATTGGTTGCGTTTATCTTTGTCGATGACACAGTTCCGATGGAAGCGGCAGGTGTACTGGTGATTTTTTCGGACCGATCTTCGGAAGAATCCTTTGCATCCGTCGCAGCTCGAAGCACCGTAGTGTTTCCCCGTGGCACGGTCTCCGCAAATGGCACAAAAGTGGGATCCTCCGGGACCACTGGTAACGGTGGCCACTGGAGCGCATGATGTGACGTACGACGGCGCCGGACCTTCAGCTTCTGCGAAGAGAGAATATATAAGCATCGAATGAGGATCAAATTCAACAACGGTACCAATGAATGAGGATCTTCCGCTTCAACCACGAAGGATCCTGAGCTCCTGAGCGGAAGTCGTAAAGAATTCTAGGGTTTCCCTCAATCGTACCCGAGACCGCTTTCTAGGCTGAATTCGCTGTGTTACAGGAGCTCATGAGAAACAATCTCGCAGAGTATTTTTGAAAGGCCCCGCGTCTGGTCTCTCTATCTACTTTATCTGTTTGTCGCTATCTCGAGATTAGCCGACGCTCTATCTCTCCCGGTATAGTCAGCCAGTCAGCAGCAAACAATCGAACAAGAGCCTACAGGAGCCTTGATGGTTTCTCACGAGTCAGTCAGAAGGCGCGGACAGCCATATTCTCATGTCTGTATGCGACGCATCGCTCGAATCTGGAGCGACTTCCCCCCGAGAGGTATCCGGCATTTCCTAGCAGGAAGAAAAACTCCCAAATAATCCCATCCGATTCCCCTCGATGTGATCACTATGGAGGAGCTCAAAACAGAGAAATATAATGGTGCAATACTAATCGTCTTTTTAGCGAGTCAGATGGAGATCAGCGTTCGGGACCGCTCCACTCGGGCAGTCAGCGTGGGTGATTTTTTCGACGGGGAGAAGCCTCAAGACTGGAGCGATTGACTGATGTGCGATGTCGATGTGACGATACCGCAAAAGACTCGATAGATTCACTTGACTCCCGCGATATGACTTCACTCCTGCTCGGAAATGTGATTGGATGCAGCGATCAGCCGCAAGTTTTCGGTCTACCGTCGATCGAACTCACGACTCGAAGAGATTTGATAAGTGAGAAGCATCGACGCGTATCATCCATAGATTGGGTTCGAAGGCTTTTGCAATCTATTTTCGTTCGAAATGAGCTTTGTCTCGCAGACTTGAATTCACGCGGTGAGCTTTGAGTTTCAAACTCGGTCGCAGCGTCGAATCGGTCCAAAGGAAAATAAGCTGTACAGGGAGCACGGACAAATGGGACTATTCATACGATGCCGACGTTCTCCTCGCGTACTACTGTTCGAGCTCGGAAGGAGTATTATCAGCCTGAATATCGAATGTGGGAATCGAGCACCAGTTCTGAGAACGCAGGCTCCTTCGACGGATTTTACGCGGTAGATCGAGCTCTTCGGCGATTCCTCGTCCAAGAACCGCATCTCTCGCCGCAAGGTTCTCGGTTCCCGCAGGGCATCGGATGCGACATGCCGAGACTTCAGAAGAAATAGTTTTCGGTCCCTGGTTCCATGGACCTCCCAAAGTTCGCCTGCACCAGTCGCTCCAGAGACCTCACATCTACAACGGCCTTTCATCGACCTCCCGTCGACGAACTTCTCGGGACGGAACTCACCATCTTTGATGTTGGAGCGTCTTTGCTCCCAGCGTTCTGGGCTGCTGCCTCCTTCGGAACTTGTATGCCCGCTGGCATCGTCCAGTCCATGTTGATGTTGGGGTCCCCTTATCGGAGACCTTTCACTGTCCTCATCCCGAAAACCTCTCAGTGGCGGTCGCGTCAACTTCGGATAGTCCAGCTCCCTGCCGTTGCCGTTCTCCTGCACAGGAACGAATTGTCTCGGCACCTGATATCCTGAGCATACTTGATCGTAGCAGAAACCCTCAGCGGGATTGAATCTCGGGTCGCGCGTATTCTCCAGCGCAACATTCACCAGCGAGCCTCCGCCGGGTCCATTCCCGCTGCTCGTCGGCAGACGATTGAGTTCCCAACGAGGATCTTTGATGTCACTGAGGCACCATTTCTGGCCATTCTTCACAGTGGGCAAAAGCGGTTGCAGATGGCACACGGTCCCCGTCGTGGTGGTGGTTGGGACGGACACGAGGTTATTGCGAAACTCCGTCGTGTTGCCGAATTGGAACACCGTCTCTCGATAATTTGTCGCCGTAAGCTCGGGAAGCGAAAACGTATTTGCGCCTAGTGTCGTCAGTCGAGCTTTGGATATGCGCTCAATCGCGGCTAGTGACACTTCACGATGGTCTGGAGCAAAGAGGATCAGAGATCGGGGTTCGAGCCGACTTGGGAGTGGCTTTCCGCGAGCTCAAACCGTTCGGGGTTCTGGTTCTACTTTTCGGGTAGTGGGCCGATTCGTAGGACCTCGACTTAACTGTACGGTCTGCAGGGAGCGGGGAGCGACAGCCACTTGTGTCGGAGGTCGGGATGGAGTTGCGTATTTCGTTTTGTTACTCTTAGCATTCAATGGCTAGTCCGATTGACAAACCGCTGGTACACTTCACGTCGTTCGATCGTGTCGTTTTCAGAAACTTTGTCCGAACTTCAATCGTCCCGGATCACGGTCAGAAAGTCGGCCGAGTGCGGGATGTTCGGATACCGAAAATTCAGCAACAAGTGGCTCCCTCCAACGCGGCGACGGGCTGTAGATCCACGGAGCGCTCTCTAGATTTCCGAAGACGGATGTGAATCGGAATCAGACACTTCTTCGGTAGCCATCGTCGTCCGGTCAGTCAGTCAGACGCCGCTCCTTCGATCGAACCGTATTGGGAATAATTCCGATCGGGACACGAAGCACGACCCGGTCGTGCAGAGGCTGAGTCACAATTGCCGACACACGCACTCACGGAAGAGCTTCTCCCAATGGTGTTCGCCCCGACCGCTCAACGGTGATGATGCACGGATTCGGCACTGGGCTGGAGCGCGGTGAGCTCTCGAACGGTCAATCAGATTCTCCGTCGAACGGTAGTTGGCACCGAAATAACTGCACAGTGAAGACAAGTCTCACAAAAGAAAGATTCCACAGAACAGTGAAAAGGAGAACCGTAACGACCACCGAGCGACTACTCGGCACTGCGGGCGAGGGTGAACTTATCACGTTGAGGCGGAGACATAGGAGGAGCCTTACGCCGTCATTCACGCTCATTGCGTCGCTGCCGTCGCTGACAACGCCGCCGCGACACGCATGTGGTACTGTCAAGCACGTCGAGCTCCTCCATGGATCCAGGGCATGAAAGTTCGCTCAGACCAAATCACGATTCCACCTACATTACATCATTATTTCGGAACGCCAATCCCCACATCTTCTTAGGAGGGAGATCGGGCCCGTCCGAAAAGTCTATCGCCTTACGCTCTCCTCAAATCTGTCACGGTTGGCACGCTGTGCATAAGCAGTGCTCGGAAGCCATTACGTAACGCGCTCAAGACGAAAGAGGTGGAAAGCTTGCAGACGACGGAGCGCCGAGCCAAACTATCTAGGAAACTCACTCCAAACTGCTATCCAGCCCCAGACTCGATCTACCGACTCGGTGCAGCTAAAAATGACTGTCATCGCCTTATCTCTAGATCTTCGTACCTACCTGTGCAATTATCTATGTATACAGGGGGGGCAGTATAAATTCCCCATTTTGAATGATCCCCATGAAATCCGAACCGAGGCGGCTAGCGGAATCCTGCTTGCAGTAGAATGACCACGAGGACTTGCAGTTTTGCAGGTGGACGATCAAACTTGACGTTTGGAAAATCAGCTAACGGCATTCTTATAAAGCTCGGTATTGATTTCTGTGGGAAAACCCATTTTCCTCGCTTTCCTGCTGATTCCTGATCTCCAGCTTGGAGATATCGGACCAAAGGATTTTTTTTCTGAGAGGGCGACTCCTCCCGAACATTTTGCCGCAAACAGAACTTCGCTAGCCCTCATGGTTCGGATTCCATGAGCAAAACGAACTGGGGAGAATATAGTGCCCCACCTTGTATATGACATACAACGAGCCCCAACTAGAATCGAGCTCCGCGCTCCGATCGACCTGCAGACGCCGGTGTACTCACTGAAGAGAGGACGAGCTTCCGTCAGATGGACGGTCATTCTGAAATGCCAAGTCGGGGAAGCGGAAGTTCACTGGAGTTCCGGTCACGTGTCTTCGGAGTCAACACAGTCTTCTGTCAGCCGATGACCGGCAGCCGCAGCAGCAGTATTCGCAAGGCTAGGTGTATGTGAATGGAAGACCTTTAAGGCAAGTAACAAAGTCCGCCCATCAGAAGGGCAAAGGACAAAGGTCACCTTAACCTCTATAATCGCTCATCGTATTGGTCCTAAGCAGCCGCCGCTCGCTGGCCCGTTTGTCTGGTTGGTTGATCGCTTGACCAAGGCTTCGATCCACATCTAATCGCAGGGCGTCAGTCAGGCTCTGCACCGGGATTCCATTGCCAGCCTGTTTGCTCCTCCATCCGCTCGACAGAGCGAATCGAGCGGACTGGGTACCGCAACCGGTATGCATCTTGAACCTCCCCGGAGAATCGAACTTCAGGGTTCCGTTCTCCGCCGGTGACCTCGCTCGGCCAAACGACGCTCCGGGGAAGCTTCGGCCCGGAGTTGGGAAATCGTGACCACGGGAAGAAATTCGGCGAACTCCTTCACGCTGTCGGTAGAAGTCGCGCTAGGGCGACAAAGTTGATCCGCGAGCTCTCGCGTCGAAACTTTTTTTTTCCTGAAAGAGCCTCGCGAAAGAGCTCCCTCGAGTTCTCGTAGTTGCGTTCGCTTCCAGCCGAAGACGGAGAATAGAAAACTTGTCCAGAGCGGGAGCGATAATGCTCCTCCAGGGCTGCGGCCATTCCAGCATTTTATGAGATACCTATTTGCAGTGCAATCGATATGCAAGGTTTTTCTTGATCCTAATTCGGATAAGGCTGCTCTTCTTATATTATGATCGGCGCCAACCCGTCCCGTTCAGAATCTCAGCTGATAATCTTCCTCGACGAACGGCTTGTGGGCTCGCCGTACGTCCAGGCAATGCAGTCTGCCTCGAGTGAGCGTTCCATCGGAACATTCCACCATTCGCTGACGTCCAGAGCACATCTTCCTCTCATCGACGACTTGAGGGAAGGACGCACGACAAGTTGCGGTCTGCTCAGGAGGGAATGGACATTAAGCTCCCCGCCTCGATCGATCGATGGCACGGCCCACCGACGGAAGAATAGATTGAGAATGGCGGTGAGCCCCGAGTCGCCCTCCGTCAATTCTAGTTTCGCAGCCAAAGACATAGCAGTAAAATTTATGACATTCATCGCTGCTTATCAGCTGCTGCCGCCGCCTCAGCCGCCGCTGCTTAGGAAGAGAGACACTTGTACAAAGCTGGCTTAGCTTTCGCCGATAGTATTGGGAGGCCGCCGCCGCCGCCGCCGTGTTGAGCAACGACCGCGACACGAACGGTGCCGATGACAACGGCGATCGCGAGGAGAACGCCGTTCATCAGCATACCGAGGCAGCAATCTCTTGTCGTCGTTTCGTCGTCTCTCTCTCTCGTGCATGGAGAAGAACGACGACGACGACGACGACAGCGAAGAGATGTAAACGAGGAAAAAGCGTGAGCGAAGCTCCCTTGTCTGGCTGAAATCTGCTGCTCCATCCAGGCTACGACGACGGATAGCAGCCGTCGTCGTTACCGCCGTGGCCGTCGCCGCTCTAGAAACACAATCAGCTCAGCAAACGGCAGTTCAAGCTGGAACGCCAGCCGCAGCGGCATTCGAGATGAGTGGCCGTCCGTTCAGTCGTTCGCTCGTCCGTCCGGTCCGCCTGGTGGTCGGTGACTCGAGCGGCGGCCACCCGCCCGCTTACCCGCTCGCCTCTTGTCCGTGGGGGAACTCTAGTAGGATCGATGGAATGAACCGGAAAATCGGTGGACCTGCACATGAATTCACTCGGAGACCGAGAGCGCTCCGAGCTGCACGGATCCTGGGAAAAATCGGAAAATCATCCCCAAGAACTGATTACAGCCACTTCCGCGGAATTGTCTATTCGCTGCCGCCGACGATAATGCCAGCTCGCGCAGTGCTGGGCTCCGCTGCGATGTGTGGTTCTCCACGAATAGAAACGTCTCCACGAAGTCATATCGACGATACTCGATCGTCCCGAGATGATCGAATCCATCGAGTAAATAAAAATATTTTCCCTCGATCGTTCGGCTATCGGCCAGATAATGTATCGAACGACCGGCGATTCGGATCGAGAGCTGTGCTCTGGTTGTAGAATTCGGTTCCTCGAGGAATCGCGGCCGCGTCCATCGTCGTTTCACCACTATCGCTGCGACGAGCGTCCGTTTCGATTGTGGCTATTTAGGGATACGGAGTGGCTCGAGCGTGAAGCCGTGAAACCAAATGGTAACGATTAGAGTATTCTACCGCATTCTCACTCTTATTCCTCACACAATCTCTCCGAGTTCTCTCACATTTCCTTTGTGGTTGCCATTGCTGATGGCCGACCCTCTTCCATTGATTACGACACGGCGCATGCGCTCTCAACAGGTAGATGATCATGATCAGTGAAGAATGGGGGAACGGAAGGAAAATGGAAGAACAACAGGAATGAGCCGATCTCCTCCGGTACATATCGATGTATGATATGATCATCATCAGTTATGACATGACTCGCGAACTCATGACCAACACAATCGATGTCTTGGAATGAAGTTAGTTCAGACACTATGATTTTCCGCCCGGGAAGCCCGTGGCGAAAAATGCGTTGCGAACGAAAGATCCGCCTTGAAAGCAAAGATTGCCTTTCTACTTGATTCGTGGTCGATTGACTTCTTTCGAGAGATATTCAATATCCGGAGGATCACCCGGATCACCGGATAGCCAACCGGACGCGGATTCCACGCTTCTTATATTCCTCAATCTTAGCGAGAACTCCCCGTGACATGTGAAGAAATCAGACCTACGAAGCATTATACCGAAGACTGTGAATTTTCCTCTGTTGCTCGGAGACTTCCTCCATTGAGGATTTATCCTATGTTTTCAAATCTGGTGCATGGGCACGTGCGGAGCGGACATGGACGCCAAGGAGCCCCCTCCGCGATGATAGCGTCGGTGTCGCGCGAAATCCCAAGCGGCACGAGCGTCACTTTGTGCGAAAGGAGAGAATCCGGTTAGAGACGAGAATCGTCTCCCTCTATCTGCACTCAATGACTCCACGAGCAGCGTTTTATCAAATCCTAGGCGCTGATATCGCGGAAGCTCTTCTATGGAAATCAGGAACGAGCTACTACTTTCGAAATCGGCGAAACATACCGCTGCGATTTTTGTCTAGGCCACAACGGCTCGGACTTCTTACGTCGGCATCCATACGAGGATAACCCGCTCGGGACGGTCCCAACCTGGTGCTCTCTGGCGCCTTCTTACGCTAGTCCCTGCATAAGTCTTGAGTATTTCGCAATCCTCTATCCTGCCTCGAATCGAATGCAAGAAGGTCCCATCGCCCATTTTATTTTAAGTACTTCCGAAGTTCTTGAGAGTGCTTCTTCGCGTCTTGGATCATTGATTGAAGCTGTTTGGGGTCGACAGAAGTTCCTCCTCCCTTGTGTAGATGTACGACAGAGTCGTCTTCGTCTATGACAACCATCGACTCGCCATTGGACAACAAGGTCTCTTCGTTGCTCATGTCCACTACGAGCTCATCGTTGATAATGCCGAAGCCGACTCCGATGGGCTGCGTGCACTTCACCTGGGGAGACCACAAACATTGTTTCAGTGCTCGATCGATCTATCGGAAGTCATCGGAGATGGAATTGAACTGTCGTAGAGTCTCAACCCTCTGCCTTACATTTTGATAATTATCATCCACTTGTAGAATATCCAATTCTAAATCGTGATGTGCTCCCGGCAGTTTCAAGGAAGACAGCGCTCCCGAGATCGCAGCCAGCGATGCTCCTGTGAGATTCCCGTCGTAAGCGAGACACGTGATCGTGACATGGAGAACCCAGAAGAAGCGGTCGGAGATGGGACTCGGCTGGAATGCTTCCGCCGACATCAGAATATTCTGTAGTGTCTGGGAAAGGGCCTGCTCCTCTTCTGATGGATTCGAGTACCTTGGGAGGGATTTCGATCGTCAGACTAAAGGACATTGCTTTGAGAGACTCCCCAGACAAGGGGCCTTTCCTTGGGGCTAATTCACCAACCCTATATTTTTGAAGGGCAACTTGACTTCTACGCCGATGTTTGCGCTCGGCACACCCGATTCGCCGAGTTGGATTTCCGCGATTTCACCTCTCAAGCCGCACACGACGCAGGTGTCACCGAGCCTCACCAGGGATGATCCGTCGGCCGTCCCTATAGAACCTTTCGAAATTTCTATAGCTCTAGAAGGATTAAATTCACGTGATGAAAAGCTCTTGGTACAGCAGTCCCCGGCCGGCGGATTCAAAATTCGGTACGGGCTAAATATATCCATCGGAATCAGGCCTGATATAGCGAGGGGAATCGAGAATCGCTCACCGATGAGAGTCAAAAGCTCTGCCATCCTTTCTTTGAAATCTCCCTTCTGCGAGCTCTGCTTGGCTTTGCAGAATGCGGAGTTCTTCTGCCATTCTTTTTCGTGTATGGCGAGGAGGCCGGGGAATTCGGGCTTCTCTTAAGCTGGCGAACAAAGAGATTTCTCAACAACGAAATCTTCAGGTTGTTGAGTGTGGTTCCGGGATTTCGATCAATTAGAGAATCTCCAGAGGGCTCCTATGGCATAGTCTCGTATAAACCTGTTCTCAAAGCGCCATGTGTTCGAGCGTATTATTTGTAAACAACACTTAAAGCAGACGACAAAGGAGTCACACGCGCGCGGAGAGCTATCTCTCTTCCTAGCTTCGCGCCGTCGCGGCCATAGAGCTTCGTCGGAAGCGAACCGAGTTCTGTCTTGAGGGTGTTTTCACGAGATACATGTCCCGAGGTGATACTGAAGACGAGTAGAGCCTCTCGGGTACTGTAAACAGACCCTGATGCGATACGAGACATTGGAACGGCGAGAGACAGAAATCGAAATCGACCAGCTCCGACGAATCGATATACCGGGAGATGCGCATATGAGACCAAGATATTGCCATTTGCGAGGATTTCCAGAACGCTTCCGAGATGACCAATCCAATGGAGTACGATCGGTCGACCGCTAGAGCCTACGTCGAGACTGATGAGCGTTATCCCCTGAATCCACGAAAGTTTCATTCGGAGAGCTCCGTCGCGCAATGAGAATATGAACGAGGGAACGAAGGAAGAGAGTTGAATCGATTTAGGAATATCTGGTCGCTTCAGACCTAATCTCGCAACCTGAAGGAAGCTCCCCAAGGAGGACTCGCTGCTCGGTAGGAATGAGTCCCGAAGGCCGAGTTTCGATGGATTCGGAGCACGGAGCATTGACCAATAAGAAGTAACGGCGGCAGGCTCGAAAACTGTTGTTTCGGGGAGTTCGTACATCCGTGTGGATGGTGACGCCGCATGGCCAAAACCGCTCGGAGCAGATCTCAGCCATTTCAATATCCCGACTGGGAGCAATGTATGAATCAAGACTAAGCTTGCAGTCCATCATTAGCACCGCGCCAGTGAATTTTGTGTGCCCTCAAGCACCTAGGTACTCAAGCGCCCCCTCATCATAAAATGGATTAGATTCCCCCCAACCCCGGAATCATTTCCGACGCTGAACTCATTTCGAACTCCCCATGATATCGTGGGCGATATATTTTCCAATGTCATCTATTTGAGCCGTCACTGCAAAGTCAGAAACCAATGGTAAGTCTCCGATTCCCCCAAGACCTTAGGGCATCCATTTTATTTATTTTCCAGGGGCATGGTTTGTGGACCCTTGAATTATGGGCGAGCTTCCCCCGCCGTTCTATTCTAAACAAAAAAGAACTCCAATACGACTTAGCCCCCGATTCTCGCTCGGTCATCGGAGCGAGGCAAGGCAAGCTTCGCCGAAACCTGAGCGCTGCCAAGGAATCGTTCTTAAGGGCGGACCATGCTTTGCTAACTCATTCCCACTTAGAAACTCAGGGCAGCCAATAAGGCTGGATCTCGTTTGGAATCCCTACGCGAGTCGACTGAGCTTTTATCTCTGAAAATCTGTTTCGCGGAAGACCCAATCTTCCCTATCGATGTATTTCGGCGGCAGTGGTGTATAATTTTCGCGTTTCCTCCTCTCCATGACCAGTCTATGCTTCTGTTTCATGAAGGCCATCTGAGCGCTCCGCTTGATTCCCATGTCTCCATATTTGATGAATAGGTTCACCTCCGCGTCTTCAAAGTCCTTAATAACTTTGGCGCAGCGTTTCACATGATCAGGTCGTTCCTTGAGGTAACAATCCTCGCGTCTTCTCCGGAGAATACGAACGATTTGGGAGTCTACTTTCCTGTGGAAAACCCGATAATTTGAGACCACTGGCGAAGCCCCACCGGGCACAGCAGGGATCCTTCGTGGCCTATTCTCGTTGATGTCCTCATCCTTGGTTGCATCAAAGAGTCTCACCTGTCTCGTAAAAATTGCTCTTCGGCCTCATAGATGCAAGCAAAATCATCCATGTAGCATTGATCGATATCCTTCACACGAGGGAATTTCCGATGATACCACGGGTAAGGCTCGCCTCGGTTTGGGAGCACGACTTTCTCTGCAGAATATGAAAGAGGACAATTAGAGTATTCCTGATCAATGCACCGGACCTTTCGATAGTCTCGTGAAACATCATCTGTCTCGGCGTTTCTCCGAAGAGTTGTCTCACCTCGAATGAATGTGGCGGGGCCCTCGAAGATGTTCATGAAACCATAGGAGAGCCGCGCGAAGAAGTTCGGATTGTTATTTTCGTCCCTCATTTTGATGTTGGTTGCACAGACCTCCCCAGAAGCTCTCGTCGAGAGCTCTGTTGTGGGAAGAGGTCACTTTTGCCGTGACCGCGTCTCAGATTGGGTAACCCGTGCGGCCAACGAGATCCGGAGCATTGGTCCCTTAATCATCGAGGAAAGGTTCTCACTCCCACGCTCAAACCGCGAGGAGGTCCTACGGCAGAGATGCGCTCCTCGGAGATCTTGTCCGCGACCCGTGCGGGTGGGATCTGATCAAAGGACAGACAGAGCGCGCACACTCATATCGTTCCGCAGCAGTCGCTATAATCTGAGCGTTTTCAGTAAACAAAGCAGCGGCGGAGCTCACACCTTAAGCCGCTCGCCGCCGCTTTCTTTCTGTCAGCGATATCACCCCGTATACCCGATTGCAGTTGGCCGCTCCGGTCTGCCGACATGAATTTGGTAAGTCCCTTCGTGATTCCGTAGCAGGCGGCATCCGGAACGGTCGAAGCCGGATAATATCAATGTTCTATGTAATGTCGAGATGTAATGTCCCCAGAAATCGGTCTCCAAAATGACCACAAAAAATGATTCGAACCCACCGAACCCCTTGGGCATATCGTGGCACGATAGCGCCTGGATCAACGTACTCGACGGGAGCAACGTTCTCGAATACTTCTCTGACAGATCCAATCCCTTCTACGATCGAACGTGCAATAATGAAACCGTCAGAATGCAGAGACTCGATCCCGAAGTCATGAACGATATGACCGGTCTCGAATACATCCTATTGCACGTCCAGGATCCGATTCTGTACATAATCCGGTGAGTGCTACAGAATCCGCGGGATGATGAGACTCAGCCGAAGCCACCCATTCCATTCTGTTCAGCTCGGTCACCGGGATAGATTCGAGCGTTTCTGCACCCTGCCCCATTGGCTTCTCCCCTTGAAACCGTTGCTTCGGCTCGACGAATATCTGAAGGCTGAAGGATATTGGGTAAGAGTTTTTTGTCCATTTCTAGAAAGCAGCACCGACACAGCAGGACCCAGGTGACTCCGCAGGCCGACTATTACGTACTGGCGGGGGTCGTTTATCAGGCTCCGGATCTCAATACGGCTCTGAACTCGAGATTGCTCTCGACAGTGTACCATCTTCAAGGTGCTTTCGAACAGACACACTCCTTCAGCAGGTGAAGTTTCGGCATTCAGAGCACCTCGCTTTCATAGTTCCGAGTTCCCCTCAGGAGCAGAATTCGGTATGGGTACTTTCTGAAGTCGCCTGAGCAGCCCAGATCAGATGAAAATTCGACTTGCAGGTATCATCCCTCTAGAGGATACTGGTGGGATTTCGGGAAGGAGGAGGACCCTCAGAAAGACAAGGCATCTGACCAGAAAGAAAACGGAAGTCTCTTCCAAAGACGTCGCGTCGACCTTCTGCTGGGAGAATTGGCGCGGAGATTCCCACCGAAAATCGCAGCACCGGCACAACCCGTTGCCGCATCAGCCGTGACGGCTAATCCTGCACCGCAAGCGTCGGCCGCGGCTGGGATCGGTGGTCCTGCTCCGGTTCAAAACGGGAATTCCACCTCTGCCGGTAACAATGCGGCGCCTAGCGCTGCGACAGGGGGTGGTGGCAGGGGGCCGATTCGCCCTGGAGGAGGCGGGGTCTCCCAAGGGAAGTCATGATCACGATTATATCGAGGTTCGATTATAGGTTTCAAATAAAACTTTCACCGTGTGGACGAATCGCGAATTGCGGTCTCTCTCCCGGATTCGAATATATGCCGATGTATCGCGATTCCTGTCGGAATGTTTGGTCCGTCTAACCCTCAAACTTATCGGATGTTGATTACAATCCGAGAGAAGGATCATCGCCCGGAATTCTCGACCTCCGAATGTCCGTGTCTCGGGGAATATTATCATCGGCTAGCGACAAAGTTTTCACTCGACGAGGCAAAAGAGAGAGGGGAAGGAGGAAATCAATACAAAATCGCAACTCTGAGAGCGATGATTGAGTAATATCATCGAAAGTGCCTGAAGGGGTCGCGTCCCAGAGCCCGTGGACGAGAGAACCGAGTCTGGCGCCTGACGATCTGCGGACTGAACCGATAGGCCTGAACAGTGCTGGATCGTCGACTGGATCGGGTGGGAAAACGGATACAGGAGACTGGGCTCGCATTTTGCATAGATTGAACGGCGAGCGGGCAGACTTCGTTTTTTCCTTCAATCATCTCGATCAAGTCCCACATCGACTGCGTTGGACGATGAGACTTCTCCGGTACGCCCCCGCCCCCCAATAGTCCGTGCAAGGATCAAGCTATCGGCTTTGATTGCTCCAACGCTCCGATAACAATATAGTTCACTGTCCGCGATTCGTCTTCGGCAAAATCATGAGCCGGATCCGTGGAGATTCTGATGATTATGTGCCCTCTGGAGTGGCGGTCCATTTTTTCAGCTCGAAAGCGGATGATGAGAGCTTTTCCACATTCCGAACCCAATCTTCGCAAGTTTCGCATGCGAAGCTCGCGCGGGTTGCCGAATACAGTGCAACGAATATGCCGCGGGAGCCTCGGCCCACTTTCTCACAACCGACGCGCCGGGGAGGAAGCGCCTTTTTTTTCGAATTTGGCGCCGCCACAGTCGAGCCTTGGCACGATACCGAACGTCAACAATCGCTTCGGAGTCCCGTCCCAAGACAGGAAGTGCTCTCGAGAAAGGTATGGGTTGCTCAGACATCTTTCCGTGATTTCGGGTCTGACAGGCTCATGTTCCCATCAGACATCGAATGCATAAGCCTGCTCGGAGGCTGCTAGCTTTGTGAGCCCACCGGAGAGACCAGCTGGAGCGGTATCATTTCAGCTGGAAGCATCTAGCTGGAACAGATGATCTCTGCAGAGGAGTCGAAGCTCGGCGGCCCCATCTCAATGTTTGAAATTCGAGATCCGTTCCGAGCTTATGGATCACACAGCATAGCGCTAGTGCGACGTTTCATAGATTCTCTGGTTCCTTCGTGACTCTGACGCAATTGTTGATATTGGGTCGTATGACGGCACTCGAGAACGGACGGCAATTCTTCCGGTTCGGAGTTACGACCGCTCCGGACCGTCCAGCGTCTCCGGAGCTCGTTGCCCTCTCCGAGCTTTCCGCACAGAGCTTCTAATCTCCCGCTTGAGCTTCCGATATCGGAGTGACTCACCGCTTGTGTCGACATATCCCCCGGTCAATTGCTGATAGCTTACCGTGCAACAGCTCGTGTTCTTGCGAAATCCTCGCCGAATTTCGTTGAGCGGTCATAAGCGTTTAGCGGTGATCGACGCTCCCGACTGGGACTTCCTAAGAGTGGTATTCCTATCGGCAGAGAAAATGCCCAGTGTGGTCGTAGATGCGAATACCGGCAATGTGCTGGTCGTTCACCGACGCTCTCTCGGACTCGCGAGCGTGTTGTTCTTCGTCGCGATCATCTCCTTCATCTTCGGTGAGTATTCTGTCTATTGCTAGAGTAGAACGTGTGTTCTAGAGTAGAGACGGATACTTGCGGTCTTTTCTTGGGGGATTTCTGATTTCTCCGAGAACACGCCGTCGCGGTTTTTCGCCGGTTCCTAACTGCATGAGATTCATGAGATTGGTTCACGCGTCTAGCCTCATTCATTCGCGTGCTTTTCTTTCAGCTGGCTACTCAGGAAACCCAGCGGTGTCTGAAGGATTGTACTCATTCGGGTCTTTGTGCTGCCTCCTACTTTTAGTCGTTCTCTTGTGGCGATGTTGCAGATGTTGCTGCGCAAGCCACAGGGCCGAAGCTACTGGATACGTCGTTGTTCAGAGCGCACGGGCCAACACTGTGAGTCCGGTTGCTCGCTGCATGAGCTAGGCTACCCAACAACGGCCGCATCGGATGCATAGAACGAATCCAGGAAATGGAAGCCTTCAAGGGGTCTGAATTAATCGGAGCTTTCCTCTCTTGCCTCTTCCAGAACGCTCAAGTCCCTCAAGCCTATCCCACTCAGAGTTCGCAAGCACTTCTCATGCCCGGTGTTCAGCCCGCCTACAACCCAAATATCGTGGGTCCCACTGTGCCACAGGCTGAGGCACCCCCCTCTTACGCGGATGCAGTCGGCATACCCATCAAGCAGTGAAATCCTTCTCGATGGGACACGATCGGGCTGATCGTCTTGAAAGTCTGTAACTTCGAACGGATCGTCAAGCGAGACCTAGAGATTCAACTCAAGCACATAGTAACTACTTTTCGTTCAGATTTTCAAAGTGCAAGGAATGTTATATAATGATTACCTCACTGTACAGTACTGTGTTCCAAGTGTAAATACGCTGAACTTGTCGAGGACTAGCGTCTTCCAACGGGGGCGAAAAAGAAGGCGTTATGAATGCAGGCGGATACCATCGAAGCCGAGTATCAGTGTGATTAGACAAGACAGTATTCAATCGAAGTAGCTTCTGTCAGCATGAAGTTTTTCACAAAGGTTCGATCGCTCCAAAAAGGTGACTCAGGTGTGATTGTACTTGGAATTTCGAGAGCTTTACATCGGCGAGATTCGCCCGATCTTGGTTCTTCGCGTGTATGTATTCGGAGTTTGTCCAAATAACCCCACGTGTGTTCTCAGGAAGAAACAGAGGCATTCCTTCGCGAATCTTCAATAAAATGATTTTATCTCCGAAAGGAGGAATTCTCCCGAAGCTTTTGCTTGATGAGTTCATTGTATGATATTATCGATTATCCTTATTCGGCTGACTCTAGATCATCTCATGCTTCTGCTTATCGTCGTCCTTGGTCAGAGCCTCTAAACGTTCAGAACAGATACTTTTGCCCATGCATGGCTTGAACGGTTTTCACGATGAACTTTTGATACGTCGAAACTCGAGTGTAGATGCCGGGATAATTCCGAACTGCGCAATTGAATCCGTAGGACACGATCCCTACAGCGAACTGTCGAACAGATCTTTCGCCGTACTTCCGCACGACCGATAACGCACCTCCGGAATCGCCCTGAAAGCGAGCGGAATATTCCAATATATGTACTCCCCTCGATCACAATCTCCCAACGCTCCTGGGTTGAGACGATCGGAAGGCTCTCCAGATCGGGACACACTCACCTCGCACGCATCGGTTCGGCCTTTTCTGGTGAGAGCCAAGTAGGCACAAATGTGCAAAGAGGTGTCATACAGATAATCCTTCAATCTTGGATGGTTGGCGCACGTTTTCTTAGGAAGAATCTTCTGCACTGTGACTTGCAGAGTCTCGGCATTTTTCTTCGACGTCGCCGCTATCCCCGCATGAAGTCGATTCAAGCATACAGTTCTCGAGACCTTCGAAAAACTTTCTGACTGACAGAAACCTACTCACATATTTTTCCGAAACCGAACACGACTGCCATGGCGCCCTCCACTGCGTAATCCTTTTCTTTCTCGCTCACGAGGCAAATCGGTCGAACACCTCTGACGCGGATCTCCTGGCCAACGTCTACGATCATGATGTCATTGAAGTAGTAGTGTCCGTTGAACTTCGGATGCCTGCATGAAATCAGAGTCGATCAAAGAATTCCACATGGGCTCGCTACTACGGCTCGCGAGACCGATTTAATACCGGTATCACTCGGTAGTGATTCAATACCGGTATTATATCCCCCGATATTCCCCGATAATATCGATATTCCCCGATAATATCGATATTCCCCGATAATATCGATATTCCCCGATAATATCGATATTCCCCGATAATATCGATATTCCCCGATAATATCGATATTCCCCGATAATATCGATATTCCCCGAGTCCCATTTCCAAACAAGAAATATTGGCCGGCCTCGGGATCGAACTAGGGACCTCCCCGACGATGAGGGCATCGCCATGGCGCTCATGGCTGCATGCTTCGCACGCACTACGCACTCGGCGGCCACCACCCGCGGGGGACCCGGGGTGTATCTACCGAGTCCAAACGCCAAGAGTGCTTCGCTCCGCTAAGCATGACCGGATTCTAGATTCTAGTCATCTGTTTCATCAGGCCAGGGGAATCGTGGCAGACCCTCCTAAAGGAAAAACTACCTCCGGGAACCGCAGCGAGAGAATAAAGCATGAGTCCTCGAATTCCGCCGCGAGGGCGGCCGAGTAGCCGTTATTTCGAATCGTCGAACTTCGCCGTTCATTTCAACGTTCGCATGGCTCTCGTTCTCGAGATCCAGACGTGCCGCGTGGCTCGTTCGTCGATGCAAAAGCTCTTTTTTGGATTGACATTCGTGACATTGCATGATTCTCGGGTTCTTTTCGTCACGACACTGTTTCGATCTTTGATCTTTGAGCGTACTTTGATCGCATGGACAGTGGCAGGTGGCGGAGCAGTCTGGAATCGTCTGGTTGCTCCATCGAAGAGGATTCTGGTCAGTTCATTATCATCAACGGAGAGTTGAGAAGATGAGTTCGAGTGAAATTGTCGCAACAAGCCGTGAAAGTTGGGTATGGCAGCACTTTACTGAAATCGAATGATCTGGAGAGGCGACATGTCTACATGTATAAGAGGGCAAAGGAGGCAGCACCAGCAATCTCGCGTCTCACTTGCGGAAACAGCACAAGGTGAATTCGAGTACGACACCCTGTCGATTCGAATCCTGCCCCCACAAACTTCTGACTGATGCTCCCACCTCGGTACAACCGGAGCGGGACATTAGCACAATGTACCACATCTGCTCGGAATTCAATCTCGCCGAAAGTTCTCGACGGCTGGGTGTTTCTCAGAGGGTATTTCAAATGATCCTTCGATCTCGTTTCATTATTATGTACATCGGAATAAAACTCATTATTGCGTGAGAGTTTCTCCCTGTGAGCTGATCATGGTGTATTCTCAGCCCCCCTACCCAACCTATTCTATGCTTTAAGGAGTTCATACGAAGAAGTCGATGACGATTCTAGATTCTATACTTACTACCGTTCGATACCGTTCAGGGGAATTCCGGGATTTTCCTCCCACACTGGTATTGGTCGGTATTATGACCGGTTTTAGAACACCGGTATTCAGCGAGCCCTACTTGCTACCCAAATAATCCCCGAGCTGGACCACGCAGCCAGAATGTTAGGTCCCTATCATCATCGATAGATAAGGTTTTACATCGACGGACGTGTTCCGGGAATGAATGTACGCGGTCAATATGGGCCGAGGCATGGAGGTGTTCCTCCAGCACAAAGGATCGAAACGCTTTCCCCCGGCTTGAGCGATGCAGCGCGTTCCCACAAGAAGAACCGACCGCGCTGACCCTTCGACAAGTCGTCGACTTTAGCCGGACTTCCCACTCGATAGCTCGCTATGTGAATAAATCCGCGGAGAAAGTGAAAATATCCCCCGAAGCTCGGTATTGAACCCTCTGGGAATTATCAATCGATTTGGGAAAGAACCTCCTCACGGCTACCGGATGATAAATCTTCATGTCGCTGGCGATCGATGATCCCACCTTGACCCTCAGTACCTTCAGGAAGCCCGCAGGATCTCTCAAGCTGGAAAGTAAGCTCTGAGGTCAGAGAAAATTCCGTCATTAGCGGAGCACCTTCAGACTCTTCCCGAAGTGAGCACCTGACGGGGTCCAATTCCTTGGCTCGCGATTCTTCGAATGCTATGGAGGACAACATCCGCCGTCGAGCATCATGCATCCAGGTCTTCCAATGTGAATATCAGAAATATATATTCATAATAAAGGTTGAGATATGGCCCTGCTTACTAAGCTTTCTGAGCTCCGCAATGAGCGGCGGACATAACGTGGCGCAGTGTTATCAAACTCCCTCCACAAAAATATTTGTCGAAAACAAGCTGCACGAACCACGGCGCCTGATTGATGCTGGCATCTACTCCTCCGATAATTCGCGGCGCTACTCTCGTCAGCCCGCAATCTATGGAGAGTGTCTACATTAGCAAATTCAATATCCGTGAATCACTTGCGTTAACGGCGATAAGCACGAATTGCACATCCTCCGCTGAGCTTAACCCACCAGGAATATTGAGGAGGGTGGGGTGCGCTGAGCTCCGATGCAAGAGTATCATGAGCAGGAATAACACCATTTTGCTTCGGAATACTAGAACAAACGCTTGACGGAGAGATTTTGAATTTCAGCTCGCAGACCTCGGTCATGTACGGCTTCTCACGATTTTTCATCAAATCCATCTCGTGCTCTCTCTGCTCGGCTGGATCGTCTGTGAGCGAATGCCATACTCGACGGTCGACATATTCTGAGCGGTGGTGATCCAGCCTGACTTAGCTTCGTCGCGAAGTCGAACTTCCCTTGGAATTCTGGGCATCCGAAGGCTTTGAGCGAGACTGGTCGATCGAAAATCAAGCCATCGACGGAGAGCGCGAAACTTCTTCCGTTGATCATATAACATTTATTTCCTTTTTCGGTCCAGACTATATAGCTACTTTACGTTGGGCAACTCCAACCCTACAAGATTCGCAGCTTCTTTGACGCTCCGCTCTCCTTTGTTGTGGTACATCTTCTGGATCTCAGCGACCCTTCGATTACTCTCCAAGTACGCCGTGAAGGTGTCCAATCTAGGGGAGGGGGGAAGGCAAATTACTTTCAGAACGGCATCAAGCAAACATCATATGATATAAACTACATAGTATCGTTTTTGTCCTCGGGATATTCGGTGGAGTTCAAGAGCGGATCTTCGGGTCGGAGTTTAAGACGCGGAGCTGAACTAAATTGTTGGACCGGGGGAAATTGGGGAGCGTGGGAATTTCGGGAATAAAGGATGATCGTGGTCAGGGCTCCTTGGTTTACGCTCGAGACGATGCCTAGGATGACACCCAGATGAAGAGCGGACAGAAGTTATTGTGCGATCCCATGGCGACCTGGCGACGGAATCAGCCCCAAAAGGAGGTACGAAGAGACTATGCAATGAATGCCGAAGGGCTCCCCCTGGGCTTTACTCGAGTATGATTGGCAAGACAATGCGCATACCAATCGAGTATGTGTTCCCGCCGACTCCACGGGCATAGGTTCCGTAAATCATGATTCTTCAAATCAATCTTCGCTCAGACACTAACCTGCTGACTAGCTCGTTCCTTTGATGGCATAATCTCTCGTCGGTCGCTTGGTGCTTCCGTGCGGTAGACAGAGTCAAGCGAGTCAGCGCGGTATCGCGCAACTTCGTACTCTTCGGCAGCTGTTTGCGGAGCTCCGCGAAACATCGCCGCATAGAGCGGATCGCTACCTGAGGGGCCACAGTCATTCCGTGTCGGACACGAGTCCGTCCGGAAGATCTAGTCCGAAGCCCGAGCCAACTCGAACTCAAATCGCCTGTACGGACGATAGTTTCCCCTGTCTGCTCCCGTAGTCTTCCTCCTGCTGATGACCGGAATGTTGATTCTCGGTGTAGCGTTGCGTCGTCTGCTCCGAAATATGGGCGCGCCCCTGATATCATTGGCTTCCGAGGGATTTGAATTCTGAAGCTCTCGATCGGATGGAATTCTTCCTTCTGGGGATGAATCACAGACATGGGCAACATGTCCGAACTGTAAATTGTAATGATGATGCTACGAGAAAGACATACGCATCCAGACGGGAAATCGCACAGAAAACGCTCGCAGCAGCAGCGGTCGGGCTGTCGGATTGTCCGTCATCGGATTCGTTCCCACAATTCTTGGAGCTGAATATCTCCCTGAACACCTCGTTCCACTGGCCAGCAAAGACGAACCCACAAAGGAAATCGATTCGAGGGCGCTAAAATGAGCTGTACATATTTGCGCTCTCAAGGATTCCACGGCTCTCTCTTCTCGATCGGGTACTCGGTAGCGGCTCGTCGGGGACACTGACTGACTGACTGACCCCCGGGGGTACTCTCGTCGACGACATCGACGAAGATCTGGCGTCTTCTCCTGCTGCGGGCCATCGGTCAAGACCGCGATCACATGGCGACCGGCTTCCGTCACGACCGCTACACAGGCCTCGCGCATTCACGGAGAGATAGCATGAAGGCCTGAAAGCATGAAGCATGAAAATGCCGTGGATTTCCGGCAAAACGCCGCGCAGTGGTCCAGCGGTGGCCTAGTTTTAGCTCCCCAGTCGTCCGGCCCGATGTTATTTTTTAGGTTCCTCGTCGCCTGACATCACGAAAAAAGCCATTGTCACTTGCCCCTTTTCGCAAATTATTGAGATCTGAGCCTGTCTACCTTGGATCGATATATGAGGGAAAAATGATTGAAGAAGAGCTTCCTCCGAGCACACCGTTTTTTCAAAGATAAATCGGCAGTTTCGTCGATTTCATTCTTAGACCTCAGACTTCAGCGGATGCTTTATGAGCGCATGGTCATATGGACTCGATTAGAGTGCGGGGAGAACGCTTTCGCCGAGAGCTTTCGATAGGGTTTCCGATCGACTCTAAGCGATCAATTCCTTTTTGAGATAAAACATCGAGGAACGAGAATCACCTTTCCCTATCTATCGATCCAAGGTCGACAGGCTCAGATCTCCTTCATTTGACGGGAAAGGGGCGAGTGGCAGAGGCATTTTGCGTGATGTCTGGCGTCGAGGTACCCATGAAAAAAACATCGGGCTGGACGACTGGGGAGCTCGGCCTCCGCCGGACCACTGTGCGCCGCGACGCAAACTCGTCCTATCGGCCGTGTCTCTTGTGAGCCTCAGCTCATTATCATTGTGGAAAGCACGTTATAGGAGGTCATGAATTGCGCGAAACATTTCCAGGAATCATGAATTGATCCCGGATAGCCTCATGTTAAAATTGGAGCTTGTCAGTATGATCACGCATCGGAACGAGGCGACAGGAATAATCGCCACATAACTTGTGTGCGTCCCCAAAGAGGCTTGTGGTGATAGGGTAGATGACCAATATCGAAACGATGGAACCCGCGTTCGAGGGATGGAGAGATGATTGCTCGAGGCTTTCTCACGAAGCTTGAACCTACGACCGCAGCCCGTAGACTTGACCCTAGTGTTTCGAACCGACGTCAACGAGGCGAGCTCAAACTTTCTCCACGCAGAGCACGGATTCATGTCAGTGCATGGTGGGACCCTCCCGCAGGTGTTTGAGAAACGGCTAGACTCTCCGTAATATTCCCGCCAACGTTAAGTCACACCCTCAGGATGAGCTATTGATGCTCGTTACAGGTAAGTGGTGTTTGGTGACGTTCACAGAGGCTCTTAAGGAACATTCTGCGGAATCGTGCACATCGTTTTAAACAAGGAACCACCTCACATGCTCAAAAAGTAGGTCAGCAAGTATTATAAACGCGTATCGTCCAAGCGGTGATTGTGACGAGGCCTAGATCGCGATCTCTAGAACAGCAACGGTTAGACTACATCTCAAGAAAGTATTGGATCGATTTTCGGCGGAACTCGATACCTTAAGTTGTCTTTACATTTCGTCTAGCCTTCCTGGCTACCAGAGAGCTCTTCTGTTCCTTCCCCAGTCCGGTGTTCGACGCAGCACGCATCGGTTCCATCGAGAGACAGGCTACCGACCGAAGAGATCGACCGTGTAGTGATAAAATGACTTTCCCCGGACAGAACAATCCCTGTTTCGGGTGTGTGCCCTCGGTTCATCCGTTCCTCAGCATTGCGGAGAAACTCTTTTACCTGAACTCTCTGAATTCTTTACGGCCTGCTTTCGAAGTGCCTGACTTTCCGCATCCGAGAACCCAATACACGAGGAGATGTTCATGCCCGGAGCCTCCATGCTCCCCCTTCGTGAACACATCGAATGTTTGGGGGATTCCTGCACCGAGATCAACGAGCTCCGCTCCGCAGCGTCGTCCCTCCCGAGATCCCCTGGCAATAATTGAGAATTTAGCCCGACGCCGCCGGAGTTGCGCGCCTACGAGCTCGAGCAATTCTCTCCCCGCGGAACCGAAACGCTGCTGGAAGGGGACCGTCGGACGAAAGAGCCAGATAGGGCCGTCAGCGATTTCTCGCAAGGTATGTGCGTGGAGCCCAAGCCAACAATCCCTCATACTATACGAAATGATCCTCAATTCCTGAGAATGAACCTCTGACCGCTATCGTATCCACGAGCCAGGTTTTCGTCGGCGGTCTGTGCCGAGACACGGACTCTGATTGCCTCAGGAGGGCCTTCAAGGAATTCCAGTTGGAGAATGTCGAATGGTGCGACAAGTCCGAGCGAAAATTCGCCTATATGGTCTTCAAAAGTCAAGAAAGTATTCGCGAGCTCCTGAGACACTGTCAGAAACGGGATCACAATCGATTTTATTACAATGTAAGTCGTCCTCAGTATCCATCGTATTTCTACGCTTCTCCCCGAAGTTTTGCATCATGTTTCGTCAATTGACACAGATCAATACAACGCGACCGAACCGCGACCGCTGGGTACAACTCATACCTTGGATCATCAGCGATGCTGATTTCATAAAATGTCCTACCGATTTCCCGACCACGGTGTCCAGCAGACAGAGGCCACAGGTCACCGACAACACCGTTTTCGTCGGTGCACTCCATGGAGAAATGACGGCTCACGATCTCTTCGTCATCATGCAAGAACTCTTTGGACCGGTCATCTCTGTAGGTCTCGATACGGACAAATTCATGTGAGTTTCCCCTCTTCCACCTGAATAGCTGAATTACTACCCGGATCGTTCGACGCAAGCGGTGGGACCACTGGTTTGAGGCGGAATCTCCGATCCTTCGCAGGTACCCGGTAGGCACCGCGAAGGTTACATTCGAAACTAAGGCATCACACGACAGAGCCATTGATGCCGAGTACATCTCGGTCGTGAGCGATAGGTTCACCAAGAAACTTCAAATCGATCCGTTCCTCACGGATGTCAATTGCTCGAGGTGCTCGAAGAACGCAGGACCAGTATTTTGCCGGTACCCAAACTGTTTCACGTACTTTTGCGGGGAGTAAGTATGGATGGCCCCATGGCGTTCTATGCGAATCATTTCGAAATTCATTTCTGAGCTTGACACTGGTGGATCGGACGGGTAATTATGAAAAGTTTCAAAATAGATCGTCTTTGAACGCTTCTCAGATGCTTCTTCGACCATATCGAAGCGGGAGGCGGCTACAGAACAGAACCGGTCGAGTTCCACGTCCCATTGATGAGGAACAGGATAAGGAAACAAGGATCATTCCAGAGCTTCGAAACGTCGAGGAAGCATTGATCAATGTCTACAGGAATGACATTCTTGTCGCGGCAGCATGTTTGAGGAATTATTTATTTGTGCTTGAAAATATTCGCTCGGTCGTTTGTTTGTGTCGCCGAGAGCAGAGTATAGATATCACCGTGCCAAGTTCGGCCAATACTCAAACAACTTAGAAAGTTGAGTCTGCGAACCGACGGCCCATCTCTTATCGGAGCCAGAGCCATGAGCATTTAGCTTTTTATTCGGATTGTTACCTTTATTTTCGATCGATTATTGAGGATTTATTCAAGCCTTTCTATAGAGGACAAGCCAATCCTCTCAATGACTTTATTCGCAGTCATTCATCCATTCAAAGACCCTATGATCCGGATGATGACGGCGCGCATAGCTTTTTGATCAAACAGAATTACATCGCTCCCGACATTTGGTCGGAGGGGAATGGTCGGCTATGGTATATCCCATTTGATTTTTCTTTCTGGTGCTGAACATTATTCCCTCTGATTTGATCCGCGATTACGTTCAACGCCACTCGATCTACGTCCCGAGAGTATCTCTCGACTATTTAAGTTCGTCTACAAGTGAAGAGTGGAACCTCCGACAGACTGAGAGATCAAGCTCAGCCCGAGCTGAGAGCTTTACAGACACCTCCGAATCCCAAGGAGAATCTCGACTGTACAGCAGAAAAAAATCCATGGAAAAGAGAGTCGTTAACGATACATTCAAATAAAACAATCGATTATCTAAAGCTCATGATCAGGTCTCCGCTTGGTTCTTTGCACTCTGTCGGAATCTAATTTCCCCATAGCCGAGGCAACGTGGTTCATGACAACTCCAGATGGAAGCCGAGGAAGTCGATACATCGTCGCCGATCATGGAGAGACTCAGGAATGTCCACATTCCCTCCCCCTAGAGATGGATAGATGCACAACGAGAACTTCCTCCTGGAGCTCGCTCAATCCGATGGAATACTTCCAGTCTTCTCTTTCTCAATAGAACCAGTTCGGTTAAAGGGATGAGCGGATCAAGAGTCCCGGGATCGATCGATCAACGCCCTCCCAGGCTCTCTGCTGCGACACCAATCACATATCCTGTACGCGAACGTCCTGCTGCCCTAATGAGATTCTCTGTAGCGTGAACGACGAGCGAAAAGTAATTCCTTCCGGACGAGAGAGCTCTAGCCCCTCCGAACACTCTATTCCTGTCGAGAAATTTTCGAGTAGTACAGCACCAGGAAGCTGTTGCGGCTGGGCTCTAACGTGAGATTCGCAATGGAATCGAGGATGGTGTCGTCATATCGCACGCGAGCGCAGGCTCCATCGATCGACATCGACTTCCGGTATTCGATCCTTGAGCTGGGCTGATCTCAAGAGAATCTTGTTCGCGAGCTTCCAATTATCGAGCTTCTAGGGTCTTCGCGTCGCTTAGATCCCGATCCTCCATTGTCGACCGCATGGATCTTGGACTACACACATTCTCGAAATCGGGTCTGATCCGAGGGAGATGGTGACCCACTCGCTAAGATATCCGTGCTATTCAGAGCTAGGAAGGGGCTCCGGGACGATCCGAGTCATATTGAAACCTACTTCCTTGATTGCGCGTTATATGTATCAATCTATCTATCGGAAAGATGCGCGACTCCGGACTACATCAGAGGGGAAACGGGGGAGCCGCAAGCTGGGGCCCGCTAGAGCGAGATGTCTCGTGAAAGTAGCTCAACCCGAATGTTTGTCGACAGCCCCCGCAGTGTCTCCATGGAGACGAGAAACTTTGTCCGCACGAGGTCCGTTCGTGGCCTAGTTCACTAGGCCAGTAGGTCTGAGGCGAGCTGAGCTGAGGACGATTCGCCTCCATGCGTCGTGAATACGGAGCCAAGTGCCATGTAGACAATAATTCAGACTGTTCAAGAATCTCAACCTAAAGCAGAAGCTGACAAGTGCTCCGGGTCGGTTTCCCGTAGACTTCGGAGATGCTACAAGTGTCAAGATGACAAAAGCAGCCGCTCTCACCGAGTACTCCGCGAACATTTTCGAGATCGACAAGAGGTAAGAATCTTCCCTGCCGTTCGAGATGATGATTTTCTGCTTTCGAGAATATAATTCCGGGCGTTGCGTCTCCCGATCCAGCATTGAGAAATGTCTCGGCGATATCGAGAGCATCCTCAAAGAGGACTTCGCTACCGAAGGAAAACCTAAGAGCGACTTCCTCCAATGGCGGCTCCAGTACGATGCCGCTCTCATCGAAATCGAGTCCAGCGATATGACATCGGCTCTCCGCTCCGTGGTAGGTTCTAGTAGAGTCGATGATATGGCAGAGGAGACGGACATCGTGCCCGCTTCTCATTATGCTTCATGATCGACTCTGAGAAACTTCAATAAGGAGAGGATTACTGACATCAGTCAAAGCCTACGAACGTGAGGCTTTTCTATGCCTTTGCGTTCGGACACCAAAAATCCATTTTTATTCTCTCGACAGCTGGAAGTAATCCACGAAAGAGACAACAGCTTGGAATCGATCGAGGGCACCATCCTGCCGCTCGTTGATTACGTAAAAAGCGTCATCTCCATGCCCCCCCTGAATTCGTATCCCGCGTCATGTCCGTTCTGTCCGAAATACAAAGCGCCAGACGCCCCCGAACAGGAGTCCCTCCAGCTGCTGTCGGCCATCGGTCAGCACATTGAGGCTGACCTACTCCGAACCTGCCTGCCCGCGAAATGTGATGTCTCCCTTGATGAACAGTGCACTTATTTTGATTATCGACAAAAACTCGCTCTGCTCAGGAGTCTCTACGACGCGGAGCACATCAATGAACTCCATTGGAAACTGCGGGAAAAACAAATGGCGAGCTTCCACTGCGATTGTTGCGGGGATCAGTGTCTGTTCTGTTTCCTGGAAACCTGCGCGAAGTATCTCGCTCTCGACATGGCATTGGTAGACTCCGGACTGTTCCAACCGCTACAGGTTTGCGACAAGCAGCTGCATATGCTGTACAACAAATGCGTCTTGGACTTTATTGAGGTGAGCTCGACATCCGGGATTGAGTTCTGCGGTTCTGAGCTCTGCTCTTCTTGGCTTACGTTCTGAGTCGCGCTCTACTTCCAGATTCTGCTCGACGACAAACTGGAGGAGCACCATCTGGTGGAGAATCGGAATACGTTCCGATGCCGGCTCCGGGAAAAACTCCTCGGTGTAGAATCGGTGCCCCAGCTGGCAGACGAAGGCATAACACAAATCTTGCAAGATATGAATTGGTTCGACTCACGGCTCAAGTACTACCTCGCGAAGTATGCCTACGGAGACACTCACATCAGCGTCGGTAAGATGATGACTGATGATAGAGCTAAAATCTTCTCTCGGGAGACGAACGCTCCATTCGCCGGAGCCTCGAAGATCATGAGGAGAATCGGAATTCCAGATACGAGTTGGGTTTCCCAATCAGTGCGGAACCTCGTTTCTTCCTTGGAGACTCTGATGCCTGGAGTTACAACCGCCTGGCAACAATGGTCCTCAATCCTGGCCGAGCAGGAACGTTTCAAGACGGTTCCCTGTCCGATGGATGGCTCGGAGCGCACGGTTCAAATCTTTGGACCTGCGTGGGACTTCCTTCTGCATCTCCAGAGATTTTCGGCCATCGTTGGCAAGAGCAACAGCAAATCTCTGATCGTTTCGCTCAATCATTTCCTCCACACCGGGATCGATGTTGTTACTTCGACCTGCAGCGCCATCGCGAAACGAGACGAAATCGACGAGAAGACCTACGTGGCGTACAATAGCGTTGCCTACGTCCGTTCCCAACTGGAGGCATTTCAAAACAAGTGAGCGTGACGAGCTAAATGCAAGAGGGTCGTCGCGTCGGATACAACGACCCTGATTGAAATCATCCGTCTCATGTCATCATACAGATATTTGATCAGATGTCATATACAGAAACCGTATTGCTCATTGTTGACGAACGAGGTCCAATCCATGTAACCCACTGTCCCGACGAACCATTTTCCAGGAATGGAGACGTCGCCGACCTCCCCACGGGAGTTGTGCAAAAGCTGTATACGGTTGAAGACTCTCTCGAGTACCATTTGGTTTGCCATCACATAAAATGGTCCTCGAGTCCAGCACGCCATACTCTCTATGACTTCTCGTCCATACAGAAACCAGACATGGTAAAATATCGAGATTTCTCCTGCCTGGTCCGTGCATTTTTCTGCGCCAGGAAATGATATTATGACAAAGATCGTTCCCCTCTCGCCAGGACGGTTTTACGTTGGCTCCTGCGTCGCTACACATGTACATCGAATCCTTGTGTCTACAGCTGTCCGAAGTCCTCTGCCAAATCGGCTGCCGAAAAGTAAGCACCAGACACTCCCGGGACCAGTCGGAAAATCAAATAATTATTTCTCGCACACGATGTATATGGAACAGGAGCGGAGTACGGAGGAGGAAGGATGGAGGTCCAACCGAACCTGAGCTGCCGCACGTTCCCGCTTCCCGTACACGTACATGGGCGTAGTCGGTACCTAACCGAGCTGTTGTACCATGATGCTCCTATTCCGCGATTATTAGGTTGATACGTCGCCGGGCTCCGGGGCAGGCATACCCTATCGGAAGCTGACGGTGGCAGTCAATTCTGATGCGTTTCCTTCTGATAGGTCGTAGCCCGCGTCTGGAGCGAACTGAGCACAATGCTATGCGCAACATACGTTCAGGCCCGAGTGAGTGAACAGCAGGTCGGTTTACTATCGCGTGATATCGATGTCGTTCTCGGTACGAGTCTCAACGTCCTGCTCTTCATCTGCGACGGAGTGGATGAGGTACTCGGCCTTTTGGAGGACAATTGTGATTTGAGGAAGGTGAGATGAATGTCGAATTTGCCATCAATTTCGAAATTCGAGCCGATGTCTCCATCCCTGTCTAGTCTACGTTCTAAGTGGAGCCATACCTCTTCAGATCCGGCACATCAAAAACATTCATGCGTGCTGCGTGTTTCTCTTGAGCACTCGCTACATAAGCGATTCCCCCGTGGAGCTTCTCCATCAGACATTCAAAGGGGGTTTCCTGTCGGAAAGCAAGTTGTTGCCCGGTTTGTTTTGGGTGTCCCATCTTTTCCAGAATTCCCTGAGCGGAGCGTCTTTCAAAGTGGACTCTGCTCCGAACGTTTTAGTTTGGATCATGCTCGAAATGATGCGGGTCCAGAAAAACTTCAACTTCGTTTCATGCATCAAGGTATTGCACCGCTAATTAATGGATCGATATGAAGCATATAGCAAATACGCGATGCCTCTGCAGCCTCGGTTTCGAGTCAGAATTCTCCAACCAGAGATACCATCAAATGATCTCGAGGAACGACGGACCTGGTCTTACGGAAGGAAATTAGCTCGATCCGATAGCCCGGACTCGTGCGTCAGTTCTTTTCTCTCGGCCAGCTCGGACTCGAAGCTGTCAGCCGTCGGCTGAGGTCGTAAAGTGAAACCTGCGAACCACTGTTTCGGTTTCAGGCCATGCGATCTTTCAACCACATGCTTTCGATTCTGCTCGTTCGCCAGGGCTGCACCGGGGGTCATCTCTCAGAAGAAGAACAAACTCGCCTAATGGACTGTGCTCTGTCTCTGGGCACGGCAAGACCTTCATGCGAAGTTTCGCACAGCTTCGTGGGGGACATGCTCATACCCATCGTTGAAAAGTGAGCTATCCTTCAGGAACCTTGCAATGATGTATCGGCGAGATTCGCGGCCATTCTACGACCACGATTCTCATTTACAGAACGAACTCGTGGCAGGTCTTTGGCTCCGACTCATTGAATGCGAAAGTAAGTGGCCCATTGAAGTATCTTCATGGGTTCCGGTCGTTGCATGGCGTCGAGTGGCACCCGAATCTCTGCTTGACCGAGGCACGCCGTCCATACATTGAAATAATTATTTTTTCCAGCGGCCGTGGTGGTATAAGGTTTTACAACACAGGCTCAAAGAATCTTACGGCAAGAGGTAGTCTCGTCTGATGACATATCGACGTCAAGAATTATCATGCGGATCTTTTACTCATACTCAATTTCTTTTAACGTGACACGCATTCCCAGCATCCTGTTGAGCATGTGCGACATGACCATGGCACGCTCGAGAGCTGCCCGAGAGAGTGATCGCTGGAGAAGTACTTATGAAAAACTTCGCGGTTTCGTAGGACAGAAAACCGACGAGGACTCCGAGGCCGTGTCGCAAGTGAGGATGAATACTACGAAGACATGAGAAGAAAATTAAGAGAACTTTCGCCGCCGGAGAGGCATGAAAGAACGTCCCGTCGCCGATCCATTCGGGAGCGATAATTCTCATTGCTTTCATTTACAGGCCGGTCGCATTCTACAGCACATGATCGATCATTTGGGTCTGGTGTCTCGAGATATCTTGGCGTGTTTCGTGGCCATGGATGACCGCAAAACTGATAACGTCCACCCCGTACTGGATAGCATAGGCCTACAGTTCTTGTTGAACACGGTTTGCGATTTTCTGAAAGATCCAGAGTTCCTTCGCGACGTCTACGGTGTCTCCAGCCCTGGCATCGAGGAAAATTGTAGACGGCTCTGTGAAGTGCTCCAGGGAGAAGTTTTCGGCGACGGCAAAGGTCGTGAAACGGCCAGAAGTGTACGAGGAAAACTGAGAGTCATCAGGAGCATCATCAACAGAAGCAGGTTCGAAGAGACTCGTTGTTTCAAAATTAGCTCGATATCGACGAGATTCGGGATGGAATTACCCGCTTGCATTGTCTGATCTAATTCATTCCTAAATTGAATGATTGAAGGGATCTTCTACCTCCTGCCAGCGTGACCGACCATAGAACGAATACGGAGTTCCTAGAGGCGCCTCTGACAGCGTTTGATCACCAGATTTGGGCCCAATTGACATCGGAAAACGGTGAGCTGATCCGGAGATTTGCCCTTTATAAATTTCACTTGATGACTTGATAGACTACGCTCACCGAGGTAGATGAGCGAGCCCACTCCTTCTCCACAGATTCTGTCAAGCTGGACACTATCCGTGAAGTTTTGAAATGCAATGATCGTTGGTTCAGAAAAAATTTGGGCGTTGAACAGCTTGTTACATTCGCTCAACCAGGACTGACAGGAGACCGCGAAGTGACGCTCAAAGTTTCGTGCCCCAATGAAATTCAACAACAGAACTTCACCGTCGACCCTCTCCGGAGCTATTCACTGTGGAAGGCCGGCTGCGCTGACAGATTCGAGTCTTTGAAAGGTACCCTCATCTACGCATCTGCCCGTTTCTTTTGCTATCTGCTGATGATATGTGTGACTTGGCGAAGTTTCATTGGCTTCAATTTCATTCTTGAATCGCAGGGGTCAACCCTCAGATAAGCAGCGTCGCCGACGTTCTCTCGGAATTCAACTTCTGCGTCCTGCTGCGGCAACACCCTGGTCTGAATTCGAAAGATGAGAACGAGGAGGCGAAAGAATCCAAAATTCTCCGCAGCCTGTTTCAACTATCGAAAATTCCGGACGATGAACATTGGCAGAAATTGACGAATTTCTGAACGCGACAACGATAATCGCCACATTCGATGCAATACCTGGTTATCGGTCAAGCCACAGATGAATTGGAAGGAATAGTCACCCAGTGTCGATCGAATGAATCCGAATTTCATATGGGAATACCAGCGGAGCCACTCTATATCGAGTCCCGGCTGCTCCCCTCATTGCTGAAAGAAAGTTGTCGAATAAGATTCTTCATCTGTCGACTGCGGTTTCGTGCAGTTTTCCGTGATTCTCTCGCTTTTCCTCTGCTCGGCTATTCAGTTTCGACCCTCGTTCAAGCAGGCGATCCTGCTCCTCTACAGAAAAGATGCGACTCTCCTACATGCCGATAGGATCTTCGTTATTCTGATAGGTAATCCGGGTAGTAGTTGGTGCAGCAGGGCAGGGCTCTTCCAACAGACTCTCGTGCAGTGCTGGAGCTGCGGATGTGGAGGACCGTGCTGTCAGGGGCCGTCGCAGTCTTGGAGCATTCGTTCTACGATTTCGAATGCGGGAATGAAATCGGCAGTTCACTCCCCACCGAGCTGGATCTGATCGAAGTCCTGGCGTGGATTTTTGAGGTGGATCTGTCTTCTTCTGTATTTAGGAAACGCTATAGAAATTATGATCAGAGGCTCTGCCTGGATCGAACTTCAAACTAGGCAGCATCAAGGCTCCCCGAGATTCGTTGAGATTATTCGGAACATGATCTCGTTCGTCTCGGAAGGAACTTACACCCTCTCAATTCCCAGATTTCGTCTCTCCCGAATCCGCTCTTATGGACACCGTCTTCTTCATCGACGCCGACTCGCAGAATGTTACTTGGGCGGAAGCTACCGTCAGAAAACTTGCGACGAGGCTTGTGGAAGTCGCGACGGATGCGAGGGTCAATTCGAAGTTTTTCAGAAAAAAGTCTTGAGATACCACGATCTCAGAAATTGAGCGGACATCCTAAAGCAATTCATTCTATTCAAACTGTGTCCCTCGAGAGGTTATTGCATAGAAGCTTCGAGGAATCTTCAAGGCACCTCTGTGGCGGCCCTGCTGCCTCTCCTCGCCTGTAGGAATGCATAGTTGACATACCGGAAGCATTAGAGGCATCACCGCCCTCACCGCAGAAGACCGCCACTCCTTGCCGGAGTAATGGCGACGGATGGGAGCCGACTTCCGTGGCCTTTATTCTTTCGAGTCCACGGTGAGCTTGAAAATGGGGTATGTCAGTTGACTGGTCGAGACCCGAATTCGGCGCAGGGCAACGAAATTCCGGGAATAAAAACTCGTGTCAGGTCCGTCCTCGGTCGAACCGGTGTACACGTACAGCTCCGTCATGGAGGGACTTGGCGGAAGCGAAGTTTCTCCTAGCATTGCGATGGTAGGCCTGTGGTAGCTGTATGTATTTTGGAAAAAATTGTCAGCCGCTCTCTACGCTCCGATTGACGTACATCGACGTTAGAATCCCCACATATGATCAAAGAATCCGATTCATCGAATTGACAAGCTGAATGGATGATTTTCTGGAACTTCACAGAAAAGCGTTCCAAACTTTCTGGGGCCGCTTTTGGACTAACACACACGCAGACAGAGGTCGCGGCAGGTTGATTTATCGCGATTCGGGCGGAAGAGAGATCACCGCAGTCGTCCCTCGCTAGAAGAGGCTGATCGAAGTTCGGGAAGTATTCTCTCTTGAGAAGAGGTGCGATCTTGGATCGCAATACCGCCCATGTTGATCTGCGCACATGTAGCGGACACCCGCTCGTAAGGGACTGTTTTTCGAAGTCCCCTGAAGTCTGTTATAACGAGGTTCAACTGTATAGAACTTCTCGAGGCTCACTGCCGGTGTTGATCGACTTTTGATATCATTCTCAACCAAGATTGTCAGAAGCTTAGGTTCTCGCAGAAGGCTTATCTGAAAATGAATGTGATTGTTCCGCGTTCGGGAGGAGAGTCTCCATCGTCCAGTCGATCCGAAAAATTTGTCTACGCATTGGCTGCATACCGGAGGGAGCAAGCTTGGAAATATACTTTGCGGATCCTAGTCGAACTTCCTCTCCACGATTTCCGGAGCGTCGGCACAGCTCAGCATAGAGTTAGGACCTCATCTGGAGGACGTAGGTCTGGCTTTTTGCTCGAGGCGAGGAAGGCGAAAGAACAGTTGACCGCTCTCTTTGCTCCTCCGCCTCATTTAGTTTTTCTTAGAGACGTGCCAAGTCAGACTGAGGAAGGTCACAACTCAGGAGAATACTGCACTCCGGTCTTGGAGCTCTTGTGTCCTTCCACGGAGTAGAATAGACATCCACTCCAGGGAGGGGCGATCGGTGGGCAGTAGCACCAGGTCTTGTGTTAGGACTGTTTCGCTGGGAAACGCAGATTCAATCACCACTTCCGAGCACTCGATCTCCAGCACAGAGAGATATCGTATCATCGTATTTGTACGGCTCTCTCTTGTACACTCTCCGGGAATTCGGAAAATGACACGGCTCGCTCCTTCGCTCCATTTGAAGAGCATACCGTTCTACTTAGAGTTGCATGTCCGTCGGAAAATCGGAAACAGAACGAAACGCCGTGCTGAAAAATGGTATCCACTCCTCGAAAATTCCTCGCTAGAGTTCCTCGAGAGTTCCAATCGGGGATCCCCTCATCCTGCATCTTGCACAGTGATCGGAGCCAACCAGCCAGAGATTTCATATGGGATGTTGGACCAGAGTTGAGGAATGAGAGTGAATTCTCAATACGGTCTTATTCCTCTGTCCGCTGAGCGCCTCGTCGACTCGCGGGGCCCCTCCCGCTTGGGCGAACGCTCGTACGTAAGGAGTTCGCGACTCGCGAGAGGCAGAGTAGAAAAAACACGCCATCTGAGACCGGTGCGGAAGGACGACTTTGGACGATATCCAATTTCGTGGACGGCAACAACGGTGAGAAGTTCCGGACCAGCTCTAGTCATCTACCGCCAGAGAAGGAGCATCGGATTGTCGAACTTTTGAAGAAGTTCAAGAATGCGTTCGCGAAATGCACATTCGATGTGGGTGGTGACGCTAATCACGAGGCTCAAATTATGCTGCGAGAATTCAAATATTTCTCCAATTCTCTACAGATCTCTCACACTAGATCGAATGGAGATAGACTTACGAATAGAGACACTCCTGAGTGGAGGATCGATCGGAGAGTCCTGAGAACAGTGACCTTCTTTAGCACTATCTCTCAATATAATTTCATTCCTGCCGTGTGTCAGCGGGCTACGTGCTTCTTTCTGCTCCGACTACGGAGTATTCGGGGAATGCAAGGGGTCAAATGACATGATATGCGTATAATCCTCATGAGTACGCTGCTTCAAATTGTTACACGCAGGAATTCATTTCCCTTATGTCATTGGGGGATATCGAAGTTCGAGCGGCGGATTCGTCCTGAGCCCGCGCTCCTCCGAGGACTCGGCTTGGCTCGATCACAGTCGCGCCAAGCAAAGATAAGTGTCATCATTATGCTCGTGCGGCGTTCTCATTCGCTCGAAAGAGGAACAGTTCTTCAGGCAATAGATTCTGTGTCCAGTGGGGCGAAGTTGGTGCGAAAAGGTCTGCTAGAGCCTCGCTCCGAAAAGCCACCAAGAGTCCATCGAGGTGGGCCTCTACCACCTTCACCGAGGATCGAGTGATTTACTCCTCTGGATTCATTGCTTCTGCGCAACGGAAGGAGCCGCCAGTGAACTTCCGAGGCCAGCTGTATTAGCCGACTTGCGCACGAGTAGGTGGGGTAATATTTTACTCTTGCTTCCAGCACTCAATAAAATAGTCCTCAAAACTCATAGTCGTCACGCTATCATTAAGAAAGACTTGGTTGAATCCGTCTTGTCTACTTAGGGAAAGCTCTCGGAATTCCGCGACGGGGACGAGTCTCCCGTGAAGGAATGACTCCTTCCCCATAACTGTCTGCCAAGCTGAAGGCCCGGCATGCTACATGCTGTGTTTTAGGTCGTCCGTCAATGTGCCGTTTTGTCGATCCGCAATCGGCTACGCCCCCGGGGAATGCAGATGGGCTCACCGCGGTCAGCATTAATATTCTTGTATAATCACTATTCCGCGGTATTCCATTCATTTTGCCACAATCGCCGATGGATATCTTTAGCATCACGCTGATTCAAGCTGCACGCGATTCAATTTTTTTAGTTTGACCTCAACATGGAGATGAGGTTTCGCCTTAGTCGTAACGGTGGCTCCTCCCGCTCCCTCCATTTGTCCCCACAAGTCGATCAGCAGAAAATCTGTATCCTTCCGCGCGGCATTCTTCAACCTGAAAGGTGCATCCTTGAATTCAGTTCAGGTACATTGTCTTTCAGCGTCAAGAGACCAGGAAGTCCTCGGTTCCCGAAATGGCTCTCGGTGGCAGTCCCCAGTCCCGACCAAATTGTGCGATCCTGACAGATCTTGGGTCGTGGATAAAAACCTACAATAGGAGTTTGCATGGCTTCAAGTCGCTAGCTAGGGGGTTGGTGGAAGACAGGATCGCAGGTAAGAAGAAGACAGGCTCGGAGTTGTTGTCCTGAGCAAATACGCGACGTGAATTAAAGCTTCATCCAATCTTACAGATACTTCTGCTGACCGATTCCCTATGGAATGGGAAGTAGCCTGCTTCGTGGTACCGGCGAATTCTCGCGAGGAGAATCTCTGTGAGTTTGTCTTAATCGTAATGTTAAATTCCTTCTGCCAGAGGAGCATTGGCGTTCTGTGGGACAGAAATGTGGTCCTGAATATCTTCCAAACTCGCTCGTTTCAGTTCCCGGGCCGAGAGCCTACTTCTTGCGTACGATTAATAGCGATTCGGAGCTTCTAGCGTTCCTAGAGACTGAAATCGAACTCCTCGGTGAGTTTCCGTGCCCCCGTGAAGAGCTGTCGGACATTCCCGTATGCGGTTTACTCGCTCTGTAAAGGATATTAGGAGCACCCACATTACCTTTTCGTCCATCGCTGTCCTGAATAGCTCCGGGATTCTTCTGCGTTTATTTTCAGACTTTCCCGTGGAGCCAGGCTACAAGATAGAAAGCTGGTTTCATCGATTGAGCGGAATCGATTACCGAAGGAGGTTGAGAGGTAGGCGTACCAGGGTACGATAGGTTCTCGATTTCTCTTTTTTCTTCCCTCCATGAAGTAGGTATTCCGTGTTGTGCAGGGCGATCCGATAGGGCCTTTCTCGTCTTCATCCTGTAATCTGCATGTGAATTCCGCGCCCTTTGTGACCAGTTTCGACGGTGGTCTGGAGACAAGTTCATGCCTGAGGGCTCGAGTATCACTGTTGGCATCAAGCGATACTGTTGCCACTCGTGTGAGGTCAGCCGTCATTCTCGAAGCTCGGATTTCGAAGCCGCTCTCATTCTTTTCCCGGAGGCTCCTGCCCCCCTGCTCTCTGTTCTCCTGCCTGACTCGCTTGTCTAGGGGCATTCATAATCTGATCGTACAACTTCTGATCGCGAAGGTTAAGCCTTCTAGCGACCTAGGCACCAGCTGCTTCTCACGCCTTTCTGTATCGCTGTCTCAACACCATCTTCAGTGTCTTTGGTGCGCCTCCATCTCAAAGTACTTTTCGATTCGTATCCGAAGTAATGTCGTCCGATGGTACTCTCCCTGCTTATGTCGACAGCGATAACTGATGACCGATGAGGCTATGATCGCTCAGGGAAAGGATATCCTTGTTTTCGACTATTCTCATGCTGAATACGTCCTTGTATTTCAAAACGTTGCTCAGTACATGCAGTTCATGCCGGTGACCTCGTATTCGTACCCTGGATCCATCAGGAGCTCTCTTGGTCTGTCTGTTACCCGATCTAAAAGAGTAATATGGGCGTTCACATTCTGCCCATCACTGGTCACGTGTCATTTGAGACTCTGTCTCGAGCGGGGTCAGCCATTTCATGAAATCATGATAATCTTTCATTCCGAAAATCTTTGCCAGGGGGGGGTATTCATGTTAACATCAACTTATGCCAGTGAGACCGTTGGCATACGGTAATGATCCGTGGACCGCTGCGGCATTACGCTTCCGCACCTCAATGAGTACGCTCTGTGGAAGAAACTCTTCGGCTCCCTTATCCCCTAGTTTCAATTTGATCCGATTTCCCGAATCTCGGAGGAAGGCCTCTGAGTATCCTCCTATGACCCCCAGCGTTTCGATGGCGACCGGCTGAACAACGAAACGACTTTCGAGTCCTACTATTTAGAAAACTTGGTTTTCTCTGGTTTCTTGAAATTGTTTCCGATTAGGATACAAGTCAACGGTAGCGGCATGGATGGAAACAATTATCCACGACTGGCCCACCATCTCACCCTGGAAAGCAATGGAATCCGTCGGCTCTGAGGTCCAGCTCGATTCGTCCACAGAATTTCGCGGGAGTGTGCCACTTCTTCTGGAGGACTCACTACCGGAAGGCTCCTTTCCAATTATCGCGGCGAAATTAGAGCCTCAATTTTTCGAAAGTACTTCGTCATTCATGGTTTTCCTTCATTTCATAGAAATCGAGGCGGAGAAACGGGGCTTGCCCCGATCGAGGAAAATTCACCCCCACTCGGACTTCTTGAGTGAACCTTCATTTCGAGAAAGACTGGACCGTAGGCTTCGATGCCTCGAGTGAAGATTCCATCTCCCGGGCTGTCCGCTTGGTTCCGTTCTCATTCTTGACTACGATCTGAAGCCAGATGTATATAATCATCGAGCGCTCGCCCATCGCCCCCGGAAACTTCCAGCAGCCTTCCCACTGGAATCAGTCAATCACGAAAAAACTACTGACGATGAGGGGGTGCTTCGAAATTCATCCCTCGCCTCCACTTGTTCGATTCGTGTGAACTCATGGTTCGGTATCCTCAGGTGATGACATCTGGGTTTAGTCGCTATGATGAATGCATCAAAATATCTGAGTTCCGTGAGCTTGGATAGACATGAATAAAAAACGCAATTTGTTCCGCCGAATCAATAAAGATCTCTTATGTCACAGTAGGTACTTATGTCTTGTGTCAACCTGTGCAAGACCTTTTGTCTGGGAGTCGCGGAATACTCGGTATCGCGGCATCGATCCGAAATGATCTCACATTATCCTGCGTCATCCAGGTGTGGTCGTGAAAGATGCAGCTGAAAGACAGCATCGGAAGATGACCGAAGGCTCTCTCACGGCGGAGATGATCAACATTATTTGCCTTTGCTACATTCCTACGTCGAGATATATCATTTTCCTGCAATCCTAACACGCGTCCCTCTCGAGCTATGGACTACATCATCGACTGATTGGATTGGGCCGAAGTCTTCTCCGTCCAGCTGAGTGAGGGAGGGGTGTCACGGAGCTCCGCTACGTGAGTATAATGTATTCCAATAAATATAGCCGACGATTCCTTTCCCCCTTCCTTCTCTCCCGGTCGAGATCGCTTGCACGTACGCGCTCGTGCCGGAGAGACCACTTCGCTCTTGTAACTGACAGCGGACGGTCATCGTCCGGTCAGCTCCCCATTGAATCGTCGGCCCTTTTCCCCGAAAACGAGTCTTTATTCAATCAGCGTCGTCGAGCAACTTGAGAGAGTTCATAAGGAACTTTGTTTACCGCTCTCCCTGTCTGGATGGATCGGAGTTGAGCTCTCCGAGCTGAATCTCCAAGCGCCTCCACGGATATGGAGTCTCATTCGGCCTCGATAACTTGAAGACCGAAGGATTTAGGCGCCGGCTCACTTAGATTTCCTAATTCGAGTGGCTTATCGGGATCTGGTTGATTGACAGTTTCATCGCCTGAAATACACCCTCATGATCATGGTTCGCGCTGGGTAAGCGACTGTTTTTTCCAAATGCATCGGCCATGGAATTCTTTATCTTTTCGTTTGTAAACCTCATTAAAAAACCGTCGCATTCCCCCTAAGGAAGCAAGATAGAGTCCAGGTCTCCGCAGTCGGAGCAGACAGAAGCACGTAGGAATGGGTGTAGGACGAACCTTTGGCGCGGGGCAAGAAGAGGAGGTACGCTCCCCGACCGTTGCAAAGGAGGAACAGAAGGAGTCAAGAACTGCCACCGCTTCAGACTCAGCAGCAGAGGGAGGGAACAGGCGGGGAGAACGTGACCTGGAGCCTCAACCACAAGATTCATTCATAAAGCGCCAAAGCTTAGCAGGGGACTGCCGAGTGCGCGCAAGTATGGAGGGAGTGTACTTTCTTCGGGCAACGGAGATGCGAGAACGATATTGACCGAGAGTGGTATAAAAGCGTCGCTTTTCGGCCATAATGCCAAGTTTGAAAAATCTGAAGCCACAGATGTGTAGCCTTCTGCGATCCCTGGCGAGCGACTTAGTGAACCAAGTACCACTTCTAGCGCGGCTTGTGAAGGGAACAACTGGGAAGGAGCGATCGTAGACATGGAACAGGGAAGATGAGAAGACTTCGTAGGCAGAGTCAACATCAATGTGGCTGAAGAGGAGGCTTCCGTCATATCTAGAGAGAGCCTGGAGGAAATGTTCGTAGTTTGCCGAGCTGAATATTCGCCGCCTGACAGGGAGGGTTGAGTTTTAATGGGCTGGTTTAGAGATATGAACTGAGATAGCGACCGGGAAAAGATCGGAAAAGTCTAGACACTGAGACATAACTCGGGCTTCGGGGATTTCGAGAGTGCCTTCGTTTGTGATCCAGACATGATCCAGACAAGTAGAGGAGGACGGACGCGTGACTGCGCGTATTAACGGAAAAAGATTGAGTCGTTGCATTTCAAGATTGAAAGAAGAAGTGGGGTAACGGTCTGATAACAGATCGAAGTTGAAATCGCCAACGATTACTAGGGGTATTGATAATTGGGAAAGTCGGTTGGAGAGTAGATCAGTGAGTTTAGAGGCCTGAGCAACATTACTAGAGTATAGCGAGGCTACACCCAGGGTACAGACTCCCAAGTCAAGCTTCACAAGAACCATCTGTACGAGCTCGCAGTCTGTTTGGGCTATCATAACATCAGCTGAACGCAGCGAATCTTTGATGAACATTGATACCCAACCATGAGGGGAGCGCCGACAGGCGAAGTTATGAGAAAAATGTTTGATTCGGAAAGCAGCGGCTTCATGTAAAGTGAGCCAGCTCTCCGAGCAAAAGATAATATCAAAATCCTCTGCAAACAGTTCAACAAGTGGATCAAACTTGTAAGTTTGGCGTATCGATCTGACATTTAGATGAATGATGCGAAGTGGGGTCCCTGCAACGGCTGTGATGAGGCCTCCACCAGCGGGGAGACGAGGCAGTCCTCCGGAAGGAGCGTCAGAAGGCTGAACATCATCCGTATCGGCCGCAGCGGCTCCGGAGTCCCAACCCACAGAGTCCATGGGGACAGAGAGAGCCTCCCAGGAGCTATGTACAGTTTCGGGATCATCGCTGGGCTGCGATGAGTTCGCTGGCAATGAGGACCCCCTCGAGGCAGTCGGCAACACGGGGGCAGCCGGAGCAGTCTCAATGATCCTGTCCTCAAAGACTCGGCCCCTGAACTCCTTGAAGATAACCGCAACTTCGTATTTCAGGATCCCAAATTCTATATACGGCTCTATGACGCCATTGTTGTATCGAAATTGCATGGTTGTCCGTCTCTAGTCAGACATCTAGTCAGAGCCATTGATGAATTTCATTCGTATTTTTGAGTCGATCCCTCGACTCAAGCTTTGACGCCTTCGTGTCCATCGAACCCTCCCTCCAAACGGATTCAAGTCCAACCCCTAACCCCGGCCCACTCTGACAGAATATCTAACTACTTTGCCTGGTGCCTTAATCGGTGCTTCTCTGAGTGAGTGAGGAGGGCGCCCCGTTTTATTTTATACATATATGTACGTTCCTCGAATAAAAAGCGATATGGAACTGAAATCGAGCTACGGGAACATCCTTATTCCTGATGGCCGGAGGCGAGATCTAGATAAAGATGACACACTGCCGATATATTTGGGAAATAAGATTTTAATGCACGCTGACGATGGATACGTTCAGTCATCGACAACCTTCCCTCTCTCTAGAAATTCCTAACGATGCTGAATGGACGGCGCTGAGAAATGTTACGTGTCATTGAGTCACTCAGCCAGGCGGTCCTGCGTAATGACTGATACTGAATCGAAAGCAATACAGAGAAGATTCTGAGTTCTATTCTTATAGTAAGAGCCGTAACCTCCCTGGCCCTTCTTCTTGTTCTTCCTCTCCACACGTCCTTCGCAAGCAGAGCCGAAAGGCGATCTCGCGTTGAAGTCGAAATATTTCTCAGAGTCAGGTCGCACAACGAAGGATGGGATCTTGACGACCTGCTTTCGGACTCGGATGTGTCTCTGGCGGATGGGCACTCGAGCGTGGTGAATTGACTTAGCCAGACCGTGCTTGAACACCTGAGGGGAGAATCGAGAGTCGAGTGATTAGAAGTTCAGAGTTTCCCGATCGATGACGTAGAGGTTCCCCAAGGTCAGACGCTTAGATCTGATCTTCCATAGATTATACCGGGCGGAATACGAACCTGGGTATGAAGTCTCCTCTCAAGGAAATCTTCGAGCTTGAGACCTAGCACGTAATCGAGCTTCATTTTGGACTCGTCCAAAACTCCAATACGCACGAGAAGTCCGAGGAGAGCGTTTCCCTCGAATAATCTCGCGGGATCCTTGTCTTCTCAGGTGAGTAGATCACGGGCAGCCTTGCGGATTTTGGCAAGCGTCAGTTTGACCCGCCATACCTCGCGCTTGTTGCAATGGCATTAATGGCAACAATGGCGGCTTTTGCGCTTCTCGTCCGGTCGGCACGCATGCCACTAGTTACTGTTAGTTCAGCGTCGATCGTCTAATATCTAGCGGGACCACCATAATTAGTTTAGCAAGCGAGTTAGCAAGAGATCGAGGAACCATTGAGGCGACTAAATACTTACTTAGCGAGCGAGACTTCAGCCCCAGGGTTCGAAGGAAAGTTCACGGGATTTTGAGCCAGGATCGGCGATCGAATGCCTCGGGATCTCTCGGAATCCTTCTTCAGCACTGGAGCACCAGGATCAGGAGAACCCCTAGATGTCCCTGAAATAATCCCCAGGGGATCTCGACCTCCGAATTTCGATTCCATGCTCTGCCTGTCCCTTCTCCCTGCTTCCCGAGAATCAAGATAGATGAATCTGCTCCATCGAAGCTTTTCATTGTCTTCAGGAGTCACCGATGGTCTCCATGCGAATTGACTAATCAATAGATTGAAAACAGGTGGGTTGTCGAGTGTTCATCCGTATCAACGTACCTCTGAAGCCTGGTTCAATTGTACATTTTATTTGCACTCCATTTCCAGTTCGGTTTTGTCACGGTCTACTCCATCAAAACGTACAAGAACAAGGAGTAGAGGTAGAGGAAGTAACAGTTGAACAATCGAACGACCATCATACACTTAACGTCTTGAGCTGATTTTCTCCTTGAGCCTGAACTCGTTCCACAATTAGCCTAGTCGGCAGATCACACGAACCAATTGGTGAATCAAAGGGGATTCGAATCGGATGTCGTAGCAAACACAGAGTTCGAAGAGGAAAGTATCCAGAGCTTTTCGGTGCCGTCCTCATGTTCAGCTACTGTAGAATCTCTCGATGTGCTCTCCTTCAAACGGCGACGGAATTAAGCAATCAGGTTGGCGTTACATAAAAAAAACCATGACCAACACGGTAGCCGCTCTTACGAGCGACCCATCTTCGCCTTTGGTACAACACTCATTTATTCAAAAGGAATAATAGAGGACAAGTGGGCCGACAGGGCGGCATCATTGTTCAGGCGTTTGGAAAGACGCCATTTGAAAGACGATTCTATGAGATTATTGCGGGAGACCGGTATAACAAAGGTACATTTGGCACGCGTGATAGTCTGGCGGGGGTCGAAGAAACCATGGAAAACAGGACTCCTGAGGAGGCTGATCGCAAGTCTCAAGTCCCGATCGTCCATCA